TAAACCTACTAAATTGAGCAATACCGGCTCCCACACTAAATTACCACTTAAGAATACGCCATTTCCAAGTTTTGCACTCGCATCAAATATGATACGTAGTTTTATGCTCGATTTTCAAGGTTTAAATGAATGATACGGTAGATAAATAAATGAAAATTTGTCAAAGATATTTCTCTGTAATGTTGTTATTGAACTGCAGAATGATGATCTAGTCATATTTCTCTAGTTTACTCCCGCCTAGACGGTTGCAGAAAGTTTTAATCGTCGCTTCCAAGCACCCAAGATTCGCCATAGTTGTTTGGTATTTTTGGTTGCGATGCTTTCTATGGTAAAATGACTCGATAACGCCCTTCTCTGGTTATTTCCACATTGTTAACAAATTGTTGTATAGCTAAATTCGATCCCCATTCGTTCTAGTGACCAGAACTCCAAATCTAAGTATTTACAGTTTCACAGGCATCACTCCAGTGCTTATCTTTACAGAACGTACATGCTCCATGCTTTTGGACTCGTTATGGAATAGGCTGATATGTGACGTTTGTCTCTATTGTCCTTTGGTTTCGGTTGATCGATCTTTCATTTCATTTCAAATTTTTCTAATTCAAATTTCTTTGATTTTTCTTGATTTGTCGATTGTGTGTTGTCATTATTTCCATTTTCAGTAACAATTTTTCCAACAAATCTCGCAGTTTCGCCAAGTCCTTATAGTTATCGTCTTTATGATCTGGATGTAGATTTGGTTCATTTTCGACTAGTGCCAGTAGCGTTTCTGACTTCACGTTATAATTGGCGCTTTCTAACTGAGGCAACATCGGTATTTCTCAGTTTCATAATCGCTTTTCGTACTTTGTCGAACCCTCGGTATTCTTCTATTAATGCATAACGTCAGCTTTCCCCTTGACCATAATGATGTTCTAGCGTATCCAGTGTTCATCAAAGCAAAGTAACCAGTGCAGAATAGTGAAAGAATAGTGTTGTGAGAAGGAAAAGATCTCAAAACGAATGCAAGTTTACGGTGTGTTTTTAAATTTTGTCTATTAAGTCTCATTAAGATCTATTAAGTCTCATTTTTCACTATCTTGCTGATATGCCGAAAGGTTCAAAATGGCAGCCAAGGTATATAAAAAATCCTTTTGTTAATAGTCCAAGCGACGCTTCTCAGCAGGTAATTTTTTCTTCATTTTTGTAAATAATTAAATATGTGTTTTTCGATTGATCAATATGGTGGAAAGAAAAAATCGCTTCAATAAAAATTATTTGAGGTAGAGATGGTACTTTTTCATTACCCCTTTTACACTAGAAAAGCTCATATCTGCTTATCCCAAGATGTGGTTAAAGCAATTGCTTTCGGCATGAAGGTGTAGGAAAAGGCTGAGGCAGTCAACTTTATGCAGCTATATATAGTACATTAAAGCCTCAGTCAGTGTATTCTATCGATCCTCTAGTTGCATTTTTTCAGTTTCACGCCAGTCAGTCATTTCAATGATGTTACTGCATCGTAACGCATATTTTTTCGTAATTTGTTAGTTATTAAATATTCGTAGCGGGCATTTTTTTATAAATTGTCAGTGGTGACGTTTTAGGTGAGTAGTGAATGGTTGAAACATCACGCTTCTAAACTGATTGCTGAAATATTGAAGTATAATATAACGATGGATGACTGTCAGAGTGGTGCTTATACAGGCGCTTGTGGAATTGCATATGCATTGCTTCGAGCAACAAGACACTTTCCCGAACGCAGAGCTGAATTCCTCGAACAATGTCAGCGATTAAATTCACAAAATTTGAAAATTATTAAGGTTCTTATTCGTTTTTCTTGCTATAAGGTTTTATAACACTAATTTTTCTTTTGCTGAAAGAAGCCTTTTCTTTTATGTTTAGAGAGATATTTTTCACAAAAATGTTGGATTTATAAGAAATTTTTATCAAAAGATTTTTCGCATATTCTAATTTATAAAGAAATTTTTGTATTCATGATAATTGGAATATACTATTTTTTTTAGAAAGATGATGGAAGACCTCGTGAGTATCGTTTTTTGCTTGGAACGACGAGTGTTTACATCATTTCTATCCTATGTGATCAAGGAAATGAATACTTTATGAAACGTTTGAATGAAATAAGCAAAATCGTATCGCAAAATGATTATCAAGGTGATGGCGATGATGAAATGTTGGCTGGTCGAGCTGGATTTTTAGCAGCTGTTTTAAATCTTAGGTTGAATTATATGGTAGAAAGCTTTACCAAGAAACATGATAAGAAATATGTGAATGATTTGTGCATAATTTTTAGAGAAGCCGGTAAGGGAGAAATTATACCATTAATACAAGTAAAAAAAGTGGTCAAAAAGATGATAGATTCTGGACGACTTTACTCTTATACCCATAACTTAGAAATTCCGTTGATGTATCAGTATCATGGTCGTGAATATCTTGGATCTGCACATGGTCTTATGGGAATAATTCAGATGCTATTGAGGTGCTTTTTCAGTAATTTCTCTCATTTGTCACATCTCTGATATACCGTTCAAAAAATGGTTTTTTCGAGGTAAGTTTCAATTTTTAGGAGGCTTATTAATTTAACGGCACTGGTTGTCTTTTTTGAAAATTTTTAATTTGTGTAAATTTAAACGTTTTTGACCGTACGATTTTGTTCATTTATTTTTTATCAATTAGTTTCCAAGAATTTCTTGATGATGATGAAAAGAAAGATGTTGTGGAAACATTGGATTGGCTTGTAAGTATACAGTTATATAATGGTAATATACCAACAAAAATGAGTGATTTAAACGTCGATCATGGTGAAAATGAGCTGGTACATTGGTGTCATGGTGCAGCTGGCTTCATCCATCTGATGATTGTCGCATACATAGTATTAAAGCAGACCAAGTATTTGTCGGTATATCTATAAAAAATTAAATTAAAAAAATCGTACAATTTTTTCTTTAAATTTAAATATATTTTAAAATTTCTGGCTTTATTTCGATTTTGTTTTGTGATTCAATTCAGGCTGCGGAAAAAGCTTTAAATTTAATTTGGCACAAAGGCTTTCTTACAAAGGGACCAGGAATTTGTCATGGTGTTGCCGGCAGTGGTTATGCGTTTCTTTTATATTATCGATTGACCAAAAATGAGGTAAAATTTTTTGTTTCATTATAACGATTTTTTATCTGATCCAATAGCAGGAATAATCATTAGTGATATTTTTCCATACTTTCTATGCTGTCAGAATCAAAAATCTTTTTTCTCTTCTCAATTTTCAATTTTCTCATATGTTTGTTGATTTATTTTGATTTCATTTTGATTTCAATGTTTGGCTGTCACATTTCGATGGAATTGTCCATTTTTTGTTTTAAATTTTAAATTTTAATTTTTTAATTTTTCAACTTGTTATAGCTGAAAAATTTAAAATCAATAATTTGAAGCGATTCCTACCATTTTCTTTGCAGAAATGGTTAGATCGTGCAAAATGTTTTGCTGCTGTAATGTTAAGCGAAAATTTCAAATCAAAATCGAGAACACCTGATAGGCCATACAGTCTTTTCGAAGGAATTGCTGGGAGTCTTTGTTTTCTGTGCGATCTACTGGACCCAGAAAATGTTCAGTTTCCTTTGATTCCTATTTGTTTCTGAATTGTTTCCCTTTTAAATCCCTCTTGATACTATGTTTGCTTTTGAAATATTATTTTTCTCTTTCGAAAATATTTTTATTGTCTTATTTTATTTTTAGTTTAGTTTTAACGATTTTAATTTTTAGTCCTATTTGTTAAGGTTGTGTATTATAAATAAACGATAGTACTTGTAATTAGGATAATTTTACCTGTTTTTTGTAAAGCTTAACAAAATATTACCACAGTTGAATTCTATTTTGGATTTAATTATTTAAATTCCGTTTTTCGAGAATTTCATATTTTTTCGACTGTTTGATTAATGAAATCCTTTTATTTTTTTGAAAAATATTAACTGAAAAACTTTAAAAAATTTAAAAGAAAGAATTGTTTAAAACAGATTAAGTAATCAAAATCATTAACTATTATAAAAGTAATGCCTCGACGAATGCAAAATAGGTCAGCATTGCCGCTTTTTTGTGGCCTGCGAAGCAAACTTCGTAAATCAAGGAAGGTTGGAAGAATGCGTTATTTTCCGAATCCACATTATATGGATGCAGTTAGCGGAGCTCGAAAAGTTTGATCAATCTTATTAAATTCATTCTTAAATTTTTATATTTTGTACTTTTTGTTAATTAAGATCGGTAGGTAATTTAAATTCAATTTTTAGGTCACAAAAGAATGGTTGCAAGGTGAAATAATTAACATGGTTAATCAAATTATGGCTTATCGCGCGTCACGCACTGATTTCGCCTCAGGTGTGTATGTTGGTGTAGCTGGTAATGCATATGGAGTATTTACTGCATCGACGTTCTGTTTGCAAGATTTCAGAAAAGAGCAGTACCAATCATTCGCAGCAGAAGCTATTGCTGAACATTTAAAGTATTGCGAAGTATGTTTCTAATAAAACTCATAATTGAAATCACTTAAAGCGGCAGCTTAAAATGTCATTGCGAATATGCAATGGTCTACCAAAAAATTATTTCCAGGATTAGTTATTAAATCGTTTCATGGAAGTTAACTTGTGCATTATGTCTGTAAATTTTGTAAGTTCGAGAAAATGCGAAAATTTATGATGTGAAACCTGCAGGGGCATTCCTGTAAACAACTCAGAGATACGCAATTTTTTCTTGGCTCTCTTGGCGTATATGTGGTAAAGATCATATTTGATTACCAAACCAAAAATTATATCAATCAAGAAGTCCTTAATATAGTTGTCTCTGCGGTTGATGTGGTATGTACGGATAATTATATGGATTGTGGTTGTGATGAAATGTTGGTTGGGCGAGCAGGATTTTTGGCTGCCATCCTTAATTTAAGGTAATTTATCTTAATTTAAGGTAATTTATTAAGGATTAATTAATTATTAATTCATTAAAATTCGAGAATATATATATATATATATATATAGAAGGGAATTTTATTTTAGTTTAAGAATACTGGAACTAGGAATATTAATGCATATGGAGTATTTACATCGACGTTGAAAAATTTAATTAAATTATTAAATTATTAAATCCGAATGCCTTAGTTTATTAATTTAGATTCAGTTCATATAATATCATATAAATCTATTTTTTCTTATTTGCTCCTTTATTTCAAGGATGCAATTGAATGTGGACGTTATATCTGATAATATTCTTAAAAAAGTTATGGATAAAATTATCGATTCTGGACGTAAATATGCTTATCGTAAAAGATCTCCCTCTGCACTTATGTATCAGTATTATGGAAATGAGTATTTGGGTGCTGCACATGGTCTCATGGGAATACTTCAAATGCTGTTGAGGTAATATTAATATCATTCTTTGAAAAATAAAAATTTGACCAGTCATATATCTAGAGTAGTCATAATTTTTTAAAAAACTTTGGATTATGTATTATTTAAAGAGAAAGAAGTTAGAAATTTGGAAATTTAAAGGGGGAATAGATTAACAAGTAACAAATGATGAATCACCAGAAAACAGCGTGTTCTCCAATTTTTCTTGTTTTTACAGTTTCCCACATTTGCTGGATGCTTTAGCACTACGTGACATTGAAACTACTCTTGACTGGCTTCTGAACATTCAGACATCTGATGGCAACTTCCCGCCGAACGTTAATGAAATCGGATTTGATCGAAAAGATGAGGAATTAGTTCACTGGTGTCATGGTGCAACAGGAGCAGTTCATCTTTTTATTGTTGCATATCTTCATTTTAAACGAGATAAATTTTTGAAGGTAAATGTTTTCAAAAGATTTTATGCTTACTTTATAAGTTGACTTTCTTATTTTTATATTGAGCTATTGAATTTTTATTACTTATTTCCTTATTTAGGCAGCAGAGAAATGCTTAAATTTAATTTGGAAAAAAGGTGTTTTGCGTAAAGGACCTGGTATTTGTCACGGTGTTGCTGGTAGTGGATATGCTTTTCTGTTGTATTATCGTCTTACACATGATGAAGTATTGAGGATAAATTTAATATTTCAAAAAACATTGTTATCGTTCAGTTGGAATGGAAATTTTGCCGAGCATTAATATAAATAATTTCTAAGGACTTTGCATAACTGATTTGCCAGTTATATTAATGTTTGGAAGGAAATAAATCTTAATTAATCAAATTTTTTAGAAATACTTGCTCAAGGCTCGTTGCTTCGCAAACATTGTTCGTGATCCTGATTTTATATCGAAAGCTCGCACTCCTGATAGTCCTTTCAGCTTATATGAAGGGATTTCTGGTACTTTATGCTTCTTTTGTAGTCTTTACGATCCGATGAAAGCTCAGTTTCCTTTAGTTCCTATTCCTTTTCCGTAGTTGTGAAATTTCTTATATATAAAAATTGTTTTTTAATTTTTATTAATTCCCATCATGAACAATATTCATTTCATTTTCAGTTTTATTCGATTCATTTTTCCTAACCTTATTTTAATCAATACAACTTCATTTTATTAAAGAATGAGCTTTATATTATTTGCTTTATTGTCATTCCGCTGGAATCTTTTATTTTTTTGTTTCGATATTAGATTTATATATTTTATATCAATGTTCTTTTCGTGTGTATATTAATTAGAAATACTAAAACATAGAAATACGAAAATAGTTCCCTATAACTTTCTTCACTATTGATAAATATACTTGCCAACATTGGAAAGATATTGCATGAATAAAGGAAGATAAATTTCTAATTCCTAATTTTTATTTTATGTATTGCTTATAACCACTTTAATTAAATTAAAATTCTAAAACAAATATAGACTCGGTTTTTTTAAAAAAGGATCAGTCTTATTTACAAAATTATAAAATTATATCTAAAATTTTGAGTGTTTTATTGCTGTTGTTTTGAAGCACTGTTACCACTTCTATTCCCGTCATCCGAATTTAGTGATAAAAGGTTCAAAAATCTAAGCGATGCTGACGACTTATATCGCAAAATTTGACAAAATTTGCCTGGTCCGACAAGCCAATGAAACGTTTTTATTAAAAAAACTAGTTTATTTGAAATATTCGCTGAAGCTTATAAATTTTATAAATTTATAAATATTTATAAATTGTAAATTTATATATAAATTTATATTAAATTTATAAATTATAAATTATATACCTTATAAATTTTTTGAGAATGAATCAAAATATCAATATATTACAAAAATATTTACAAAAATATTTTGAATGGCAGAATTTTCTGCTTATCATATATTATCAAATATATCTTGTTTGAGTGGCCAAATGTGGAACAAACGCTTAAATGACGTAATTTGGCAATAGATATTTGAAATGAAAAATTGCATTTCATTTCAAGAAATTATGAGAAATAGAGAGTACTCGTTTCGACCATTTGGCCATGTACGCAAAAAATTATTATGGATAAAAAAAAAAATATCACGGAGATGACGAAACAAAAAACCACACAATGAATCGAAAAAAAAACTTAAAAAGAAATTAGATAATCAAAATTACCTAAATGCTATAAAGTATTAAAAACGAGTAATTTAGGTGGTACACCTAGAATGAACTGTCGATAAAATTGACACGTAACGATGATACAGTCCACTGTATTATTATTATTAATATATTATTTATATGTAAGCGAATTTAATGATAGAATGATTTTAAGTTTTTTTTGCTCCACTTTTCGCAGGGTAGACAACCTGGAAAGCTCCAGAATTCACTAATTCCAGGTTTAACTACTGAAATGAGATCTCTTCGTCGTAGAATCACTAATTCCCTCACATTTTCTTCTTTCGCTTTAAGGCACCGAAAGTAAAATTATGTAACATAATCCATAATCCATATAGCCATATAAAAATTGAAAAAAAGGTTAAAAAAGAATCTATTTCTTGCCACTCCAAAAAAATATTGGAAGTCGATATGTAATGGCTTGTAACAAAAATAACATTGCAAGATGAACTAACGAAAGAAATCGCATAGAAGAGTTCGTCTCTTGCTCTCAGCTGTATGCATTTGACTTTCCAGATCAGCCCTATCTGTATTTTCAGCACGTTCAACTTTCCAGGACAATTCTTCGACTTCTTTTTCTAACTGTGCTTGCTGATATTCAAACTAAATATTGAAATTTAAAATTTTTTCGTAAACATTTCGCAGGTAGAGAAAAAGAATGATTTATTTCTGTGCAAACAAATTACGGAAAATATTAAAGCAACACACTGGGTCGACTTTTTAATTTTTATAAAAACCAGTAATCCATTAAAACTTGCAAGCGCTTTCCTCGGTCCATTTTCCAAATAATACGCAAATGGATAAGTGTACTTTAGAGTATAACGGCATTTTGTTAGCAATGTAACAGCCCTATGTAAATGTTGCCAATCAATCCAACTTCCTTCTCGGATTTGAACTTTACGAGTAATTTTATCTTTTATATGAAGTCGCAATTTCTCTTCTAGTTTCAATGACTGGTTATGATTTTCATAGCGCTCTATAAAAAAATTTAAAAAATATAAACGGGAAAAATTATGACATGCTGCCAAATCATTGAACTTCATAACAAAGAAATTCTCGAAATAAATCTCAAATAACTCACAATAATAAATTCGTATCTTCAAATTAAGACACTAAACCAAATTTTGTCAAAAATTTTTATATTTTGCTTAATCTAATGTAGGTAAAATTCTTTTTCATTCAGTCAATTCAATCAACAACATAAGGATAAGTAAAAAATAATCAAATTTGACTAATTTCAAATTTTTTATTTTCCGTAAAATTAAGAACAGATCAATAATTCCCAAATATTTTTTGAAAAAGTAATGATAAGAATGTTATATAAAAGAAAATCTCAATTAACCGAAATAATGAAGATATTTTTCCAGAGCTTTTCTAGCTTTTAGATGCTTCGCTTCTTGTGCCACACTTGGATCTTCTTTGTATCGACTGCATTCATAATATTCACTACCGTGAGTTTTCCAATCTATTATTTTTAATTGATCTTCGAAATTGATTTTTATAAACTTTATAAATTTTATAAAAAAATTTTACACAGTATGATGCTCTAAACTCACGAAAAATTTCGTGCCAAAAAAAAATTTCGTTAAAATGCCTAACCACCAAAACACATCCAACAAAAGTGATGTTTGCATTTGGTACATTGCATATGATTACATCCACCATTTTTCTCAATACACGTGTGGCAGTTTGGACAATCCTTAGTATGAGCACTAAATAAAAATATTGGTGGGAAAGAACAAACAATAGTTTTAAGTAAAAAATTGGTTTACTAATGATTTTGTCAAACTTATAATAACTCAATTAAATCAATAAATGAAAGAAAAGTATTTTTTACATTTGAATTTGAACAGCTGTTTATTTATTTCAATTAAATTTAATTAACTTAAATTACTTAATATAATTGGCCGTCTCACTATCATCTGCACATTTGATTAGCCATTTACGTATAGTTTCACAAGAAGTTGGAGCATGATAATCCTTACCACAAATAAAACTGCAACTACCAATGAGATTAATAAAAAAATCTGACCATTAAACTGTAATTACCACCAAATATCTGGGTGGATAAATACATATATAAAAACTTATTGAAAAAAAAATCAAATTTTGTTTAAAAAATCAACTGACCAAAATGTAATGTGACAAGAGACACATGTGACAGCCTTTGGCTTAATTTCTTTCGAAAATATAACTCTTGTACAGCCTATTCCTGGACAAAATCTTAGGAAAGGATTAGAATCAACGTAATCCTTAAACAAAAGCTGTTCATATTTAGCCCGGAATTCAACATCATCACGCATTATATCCAAAACGAATGCTTCTGGGCAATAAACCTTGCAACAGTTCGCCATACAACTAATTCTAAAAATAAAAATAAAATAAATAAAAATAAGAATAAACCTAACAAAAAACCGATAAAGTTAAAACTTTGTAGTTCTAAAAACTTTATAAACGGCTAATCCTTATCACTTCTGGTTAGATTAATATATTAGCTCCACCGAATGTCGATAGGATTGAAAATTTTTATCAGAGAGACAAGTGGAAGTGGATAGTTAGCAACATCTTTAACAACAAGTTCACTGTAGTTGGCTTAGTTGTCGAACTCTTTTATCATTTCAAACTTTTTATAATTTCATACTAAATAAAAACCTTGTAGAAATGCCAAGGGACAACTGTGTATTGAAATGGCACTGCCAACAAACTTTGCAAAAATTATGACCACAGTTGAGTCCAATAAGTTCATTAACCTCTCTGAATCTGCGACAACAAACCGCACATAACATTGTCCTTTTTGATGAACATGATTCAGCGCGCAAATAACAATCTATCCGAATTAAATTATCAGAATTCATTATTTATGGAATTAACTGAAATCATCGAATGATAATTCGATTCATTAATTAAGAGCCACGAAACTGCAAAAACTAATTTATAAAGATAAATATATATACTTCTTATCATCTAAATGAAATTACCTATGAAGAGCTTTTGAGAATTCTCACTGAATTTAATAGTGATTATATCAATGTCCCACTTATTCACATAAAGGAGAATTTTAGCTTCTGCAGGAGAAAGTGGCAATGAATTTGTTAAACGAGATATCATTTCATTGAAAAAACCTTCAATCTGAAAATTATTAAAAATATATCCATCACCATATATCCTTAGACGGAGGTAGAATGGCTCAATGGGTCGTTGTTTAATTCCGAGTGCTGATGCTAAAGTTCTACTCCTCGCAGGAATAAATCTGTCCAAAAATCCGAGTGATGATCGCGATCTCGCGATTCAACTGCAGTTTTGTCGCCAAGGGACTCCCTGGCAGTAGTTCAATGCAACAAACCAGCGGTGGGAGTTTTAACAATGGTGAAGGTTTTTTAAAAAAATAGCTCTTAGACACAAAAAAACAGAAAAAATGTAGAAACGCTTACCTGTGTTGCATCCAAGCAAGAAAATTCTAAATGTTCTGGATCATCAGTTTCATTAAGTAAATCTGCTTCATTACATTCACGTGCAAAATCATCATCATCTTCATAATAACCATCTAAAAATAATATCAAAGTGAAATAAAATCAGTCCATCAAAATAAACGATAATTAAATCATATAGTATAATATATGGGTCCATAAGATACAACAACGCCTACAGCAAAATAATTTTCTGTTTGATAATTTCAATTTGTCATAGAAAATCTGATGGAGCCAAATGAAAATATTACAAAACAGACAAAAAATGGTGAAAAACAAGAAACTCATCTATTTCCATATTTCCGTCATCATCTGAACTAGATAAATAATATATAGACTGAGGATTCTCCATTGAAGCCTATAAAAATATTAATAAATTAATAAAGGCGAGAAAAAAATCGAAAAAAACTTACACCCTAAAATAAATTTCATAAAGTTATGGTATATGGCTTAAGACCTTAAATATTATTTAATGCAATTTCGCAAAACAATATTGCAATAACGGACATAAAAATGCCAATCACGATAATTGAAAATCTAAAAAATATTCGATTAACATATTAACATGTTCCCCCAATGTCACCCAGATTCCTATGCCTCCCAAGAGACTCTTAAAGCCTCCTTACATTTCTCTTCCTTAATATCTTCTGAAACTTCTTGGAGTTATCACACAGAGAAGCCGACTTCCACAAGCTGCGACTTAGCATTACCGTTGTAACCGTTTAACTCTCCCACATCGCATTTTATTCATTCCTTCGGTAATTGCTCAAATCTATCTTTATGGAATTGGGACTTGGGACTTCATGGACACCTTCCATTTGCTAAATTTTCTTAGCAATTCCTCATTATGATCCCGCAAATCTCGTAAAAATAAAATTCTCCAGTATGAAGTGAAATTAAATCAAAAAAAGGAAACTAACCGAATTTTATTGAGCAGATGTTATATTAAAACCACTTGAGAAATGTTTGTTTATTTTCATGAAAATAAAAAAAATTTATCAGAAAAGATTTCATAAGATCTACTAACAATCTAGTAACAATCTGACAGCAAAAAAGAACCTCCTGCGGATAATTAGAACCGCAAATCCTTTGAAACCCAGGTTTCTTCACAAGATTTTCTTTAAATTTTCTTGGTATTCGTCGAACCCTAATATTTTCACACCATTTTCACACGTATCATAGCACCACCATTACTTCTTAATTAACACCTTCTCATCTAGACTTCTTAATAACATTTAATCCCCTTTATATTCTCTTATTTAAATATAAAGATTATAAGCAAATTTTCAAAATTTTAGAAGATTTCACTGGTAAATGAAATTTGATCTCTTAATTCCAGTCATTCATCACATTTTACCTATTGCGATTTTATAACTTTTAATTGTCATCTCAGCGAAGATAATATCTTGGAAGACTAAGAAAATATAATGATGGATAGCATTAAGGGTATACATCTGTGTCCGAGGAAGGTCGTGGCAAAAAAAGATATGATATGAATTCAAGCTAATAATTGATAGTAAAAAAGGTGTTTCATGCGATGGCAGCAAATAGAAGTTTTAAAATATTAATATTTTTTGAAGTGTTAAAAGGGTTATTCTTATTAAACAATTGACGAAGAGATCGAACATATCTTAAAGCTGTCGACCAAATGTAAGGAAAAAACATAATAAAAGAACACGTGAAAGAAAGAATAAAGCAAAAGGGAAGAGAAAGGGAGATGAAATGAAGAAAAAATACGCAAATAATACGACCTTCAACCTTCCTCGTTTTGCCTTCAGTTGGTGATAATTGGTGATAACTGATAAGTAATCTTTCTTCAATAATTGGTTAAGCCAAAGAAGCCCCCTTTTAGTAACTAACGTTAACGAAGATTTGCAATTAATCATCAATGCAGAAAATAAAAAAATCAAATATTATCAAAGTAATATTTTAAAGACACAATTTTCAGTCGAATAAAGTTCATTCGTGTGCCATTTCCTCGTAAGTGTAATTATAGCTTCCTAAAAAAGCTCACTATTGCTAGTTAGGCTCGTTGGCTTGCCGTACCAGACAAATTTTCCAGAGATAGAAGGATAGAGGCAATAGAACTATAGGGCCTCGCCCGAGTTTCTGAAGGACTCCTGTTGGGCGTAGAACCTCAGCACCGACATTTCGAATTAAATAACAACCCACTGAGCATCCCATCCTATCCCCTTTGCTTGCTCTAGCCAGACGAAGTGTGGTATGTCGACAGGATCCGAACCGCAGCCATTCTCGATTCTCGGTGGCACTCACCTTGCCACCGATGCACCATAAATAACTCTCTGCTGAGAATCTCACTTTGGTACTTAATCATAAAAGGCAGTCAGTCAAACTGGAAATGATGCTACTAGAAGGAAAGGAGAAGAGCACATGAGCTTTTTATGCGCTTTCAGCGCACTACGACCTCCTCCCCGATCGAATAACTTAAAAGTAATCAAAAAACTAAGAGTAACTGAAGTAAAGAAAAGAAGAAATATGAAGCGATTTCTGTAAGTTCCTCTAAACTTAATTTCCTTCCTTAGTTCCATTTTTATTAATGTCTTTAAAATTCCTAATATTTATGGTTCGTCGAGCTAATAGGATTTAATCAAATTGATTAAACACCAAATCTGAAAAAGGAAAAAACTGCAAAAATATTTTGACCTAAGAAAAACAAAGTGCCACGACATTCGACAAACAAACGATTCAATGTGCGTGGTAAGCTCGCCGTGTTTCATGGGCCGCGACCGCGTTTATTTCCACTGCCCAAAGACGGCTGCGCATTTTCAAGCGAAGGACCGTGTTAAGTTTCCACTTAACTTTTTTGAATATTTTTCGAGTTTTTATTTCCATCGAATTTCGCGATTGGGTTCGGTTGTTACCAATTATGGTTGACGATCGTTTAATATTGGATCCACAGGAAAGGATGAAATCCATTCTAAAAGAAGCAAATCCTCAAAAAATAAATTCTTCGATACCTATCAATCGGTTGGTTTTGTTTATTGTATTTCTATTTTTTTTATTTATGAGCTGCTTTTTTATTTTTGTTTTTAGTTTTTTTTCATATATTTTACATTTGAATCAATTTATTATTTTTATTGTTTTTCCAAAAAATTTTTTAAAAATCTTTTTAAATTTCGTGCGTTTATTCAAATATATTTTTCTTCTTTGTATGACTTATTGAATTTGCTCATTAATTGTGTTTTGCGAACGTATTTGTCGGATTCTCAGTGATATATATTTATTTTATTGCCTATTTTTGAATTGTCCTAACCATTATTGATGGCTCCGAAGAAGGTACATTATGGTTGCGCACCTAAACTTTGGTTGCGGAATTTAAATCACCACTCGCTTGACTACTGAATCTGAGAAAAAGGAGGAGATAATTCACCAATTGTGTGAAAAAAGAGGCTATTTCTCAACTAATTGCATCTTGATTAAAACTAATCAGAGCTTTTCAGCGTCGAAAGTGAAGAGTTTTAGATGCCTAAAAAATTAGGGTCACAGGTTGATTATTTTTTATCCAGTATGAGTGATTTTGAAAGAAAAAATACATAGTGGCTAATGATCCATGGACAATCAGTTCAGTATTGCGCAACTCGTACCTATATTCATGGAAGTTTCCTACAGAAAGGCATTACAGTGGCAGAGTTGGACTGCACCAGTAATGCTATGAAACCAAAAAATCATTGTCAAAAAATTTGTTACAAGCTATTTGAAAGTGTTAAGAATTCAAAATTTTCCAGTCTGAAAAAGTAATACATAAGGTACTATAGAGTTTTATATGCACAGTCTCATACAACTATAATAAATTAAGATCTGGTTTTCGTGAAAGAAATTGACCGTCTTCCAACTTATAGTTAATCTCCATGATTGTCTGTTGATCATAGCATATGATTTCGGTAGTCTATTTAGATCCAACTAGAGTTTTAGCGAGGTTTGGGGTAACTTTTTTTAGCGAGGTTTGGAGTAAATCGAAAATGCAAGGAAAAATATCAGGCTATGGAAGTGTATAAATTGAAGTGGAAATATGTTACGAAATAAATGGGATCTTTTATTCTTTTGACTTTTCTTGTGCTTGTTTCGGCCATCACTAAGTCTGAATCTTCCAAATTATATTATATTATCTCAATGTGACTTTCCAATTAAATTAATCAGTATGACTTTTCAATTTTAAAATATTTCACTATATGTTGGAAAACATTTTTTCTTCAGCAGAAGCTTTATAAAATGTCATATTGGTCTGATTCTGGTGATTGGTAACAAACATAACTACCATAACTACCAATATTGACTTCTCAGATGGAAGGGCTAACTATTCTTTGGGATAATTAATTTATAATATTAAATAAGCGTAGCAAATCTGTAATCGGCGTGGTACAGATAATCTGTAACCTAAGCTAATTTGAGCAAAATTGCTGAAAAAGTTAGAAGAAAAGCTGTTGTATATATGCAGATCAATAATATCAGTGTTTATTGTACGACGATCAATAGAACGAAGAATAACCGCTATTTCGCTGAGCCACAGTTATCTAATATCGTTTCCCATTAATTTCTGTTTTCTGTTTTTTCCATGGCGATGCATAAATCTCAGAAAGGTACTTTCGACTCGATTGTTTATCAAACATTCGCAGAAATTTTTATACGGCTATCACGAGTAATAGATATCAAACAACTTTATATTGTGGTGCCTGATAATGAACAACGAAGTCGATGGTCCATTTGCAAGATGCGTTATTTTCTCTAAGTCGTTTGCTTACAATAGAGAAAGTGAGAGTGTTGATTATGAGTGTAGCAGAAGAGGATCGTCAATTTTTTTTTTCAAATTCAAATAGATATCTTGCTTCTTTCTGAGACTTGGCTAATTAATTAGGGTGATATAAATATATCGAATTTTGATTGTATCGTCCATTTTAAACGTCTCACTATTAAATTTATCTCAGTATTAATGCCAAAATAAATATTGTCACTCTTCATATGAATTATATACTAGAAGCAAATAAAATTTAACAAGACGGCATCAGCCACTGGTGAAATATGTGCTTGTCATTGTGGAATGCAGAATGGAAAAACTGGTGATAATTACTTATATTTTCGTTGATCAGACAGAAATAATTAAATCCATTAAGTTTTACTGGCATATATTGAGACAGTGCTTGATTTCGAACTGAATACTGATAATAAGCAATGGTAATAAGCAAGGGTTTCAATATAAATTTCGTCTCAAAAGAATTAAAGCACTAATTGAATCTTTAAGTGGGAAATTCAATTTAAGAATTATAAATGTTTCCATAGAAGCAACGATGTTACTCTCGTTGCACTAGATTTCTCGATATGCAGTCGAGAGACTCATTTCACATTTTGGTTATCATAAGCAAGTTGGCTATATTAGGCTGTGGCTGTACGGTAAATCGCTATTTTAAGTGAATTTAACTATATTAATTAAATTTTTTATGGAAGCTATCTTATATAGCTCTAGAACTGCGAGAAGTTTCATTTCTATTGTACAGATTTGACGTACGCATTTTTTTTATTTTTAATTTATAAATTTATAAACATTTAATTTAATTTATAAACATAGTGGCTAAAGTTAGTTAGTCACTTTTAGTTCAGCTATTTTTTTAATTTACAGATGGCTATAAAATTTATTTTTCCTATGGCAGACAATGATTTCTCGCTTTTCAGAATCATCTGGATAATATAGTTAATTGCTTCGTGAAAGACGGATTAAGTTATCGGCAGATACAAAGTTTTATATATTAGCATTAAATGCACCTATCATCCACTTCATTTTATTTGTAAATTTACATTAACGGGAATAATAATTTTTCTGAGATCTCACTTTATACTTGATTAAAACCTTGAATTTAATGTACATGTAAAGATATTAGAAAGTCTTCTAGGGTTTAAACCTTATTCAGAACCTTCAGGAGGAGGTTAAATGTCAGTTTCATGTATAAAATATTCTTTTTGTATATAACAGCTTTTTACCACAAGTTAGGATCAGTGAAGTTAATCAGATGCTTGCAAGACTTTTCTAAATTCCTACCATTCATTAAATTTTAAACCTAAGCTGAAATAGAATGATATAATCCTGATTCGCATAGAGGTAAAGGAATAAAATAAGAGCTTTTCTTCGTTTAATTTTTTTCGGCCATGTTAATATAAATTTTAAGCCTAATTACAAATTTACAAATAAAATGAAGTGGATGATAGGTGCATTTAATGCTAATATGTAAAACTTTGTATCTGCCGATAACTTAATCCGTCTTTCACGAAGCAATTAACTATATTATCCAGATGATTCTGAAAAGCGAGAAATCATTGTCTATCATAGGAAAAATAAATTTTATAGCCATCTATAAATTAAAAAAATAGCTGAACTAAAAGTGACTATTCGGGAATATAGAAGTAATATAAGTATGTCCAAAACAGCCGGAACAGCCGAAAGGTGAGAATCGAAACAACCATTCGATCATCATGTGCTTACTATACTAAATATTCAGAAAACTGAGGGGCAAAATATTAGCATATTCGCATAGTTATTTATTATTAATTTGGCAATTATTTTATTGTTGATTTATTTTATATATATATATATTACTAATCGCTCATTTTTATTTTTTTTTTTTTATTTTATTTTGTTATTTTTTCGAGAAAGTATTAAATATTTAATAGTTGAACATTTCTCGAGATATATTTTCATTTTTTATTATTTGAATAATTATTTAAATTTGTCCTGCACTTCGCTTATTTTTTAGTGTTTTATTTTTTTTTCTAAGAGCGTTCACTGCGGATCACTCCGCTGACTTGTTGGGTCACACAGATTTTGCCAAGTAACATTTATTCACTTGGCGTCAGAAATACATATAAATTGCTTTCCATCCAGATTTTTGAAAAACAGATTTACTGCTGCTGTGGAACCTACTATTGGCGCCTCGAATTAAGCAACAACATATTGAGCTATTTCAGCCCTTTTTGATTTTGGCAATATTGCCTACCCGATTAAGTATGGTGTTTCGATCGGGACCCGAGTATTCTCAGTTCTTGGTGATTTTTTTATTGTTTTTATTATTTTCTATTATTTATATTATAGCATTATTTTTATGTCTGCAATTTCAGATATTATCGAAGTTTGAATGAAATTTATCGCGTGGCCGGTTTTTGTTTGGCTGATAAAGATTTTGAAAAGGCTTTTATATACTATATGCGGTTTATTTGGTTTGTTAACATATAACATCATATAAAAATTCAGCTTATATAATTTTATTAAAAATTAATCGATTTGCTTCAAAAAGGCAAAATCTGGGCAAGAATGAGGGAGATTGCAAAGTTGTGGGCATAAAATAAATAAATTTTCTCGCATTAAATATTAATAAGTGTATAAAATTATCAGTGGGATTAAAATAAACGCTGAGGATATGTTTTGTAGTTTGGCCCTTGAAGAATTACCGAATCATCGGAACTTTCAAGGATTTTCATCCGCCGAAAAGAATAAAGCTGAATCATCGTTACAGAATGCTGTTCAAAATGCTGAAATGCTTAAGAAATTGTTGAAGACTAAATTTGAACAAGATGCAACTCAAGCTCAGCTTCACGTTATCAGTCTTGAAAACATTCAAGTAATCTTATGTACATCTTGTTAATTTATCCAATTTTATAAATGTTTAACTGTCTTAATTTCCAGAAAACTTTGGCTGTTATTTAGAATAACTAATCATCTTCCATTTTATGATATTATCACAATATTGTTAAATTTATAATTTTAGAATCTTTAAAAATAAGATTAAGATAAGTTTAGCCAGCCGCCGAAGGATCTAGATCTGATTGGCAATCATTAACGGATGAAAATGAAAAAGCGAAAATAATCAATGCTAACGTTTCAACAGACCATATTAAATTCAGTCTTCTTGGAAATTATGATAAACCTGGCAAAGAATTAAAAACACAAGATTCGTCTAAAAACCAGTAATATCTTTCAAAAGTTTTGCTTTTAATATTTATTAATGTTAAAGAAGGAGTTACAAGTTGTAAAATGAAAAATTAAAAACTTTATTGAAAACTTTATTAATTATTTCGATATAAAGATCAGATGGCAAATCTCCTAATCTTTCGAATTTTTTTAGGTCAGACATCGAGAAATTGGGGTTTAAAGGAGTCGTTATTGCTGGAGATCTTATTGAAAAATTCACTAAAGCAGCTGAAGGTAATACGAAAAAAAATGTGGAAACTTGTGCAATTATTTGTGGGTTGCCGGTTCGTTTTTTTTTTTTTTTATTTCATGTATTTCATTTTCATTTCATATGAATTTCATTTATTAAGTTTGTTGTTGATTTCTTTTTTAATTTTAACTTAGATAATGGATAAAGCTACATCTTATCGTCTTTCAAAAGTTTTGCTTTTAATATTTGTTAATGTATATTCGAATATTTTTTCTTTTTAAAAACGTTAATGATATGTTGATTTTTTGTTGATTTATTGTTTAAAATTTTAATTTATAATGATTAAATTTGTATTTGTCCTACATTCTTTAAAAATTATATATAGCTCTAGGAATTTCTTTTTTTCAATGAAAAATAAGAGAATATTGCATGGCATTGCAATGTAATATTATACATTTTATCAAGTCCGTTATAACATACTTAAGACAAGAAGTTAGATTTCAATAGCGGAAGTATCATCAACCATATTCTTTACCATGGATACCGTCATATTATATGCTAAAAGCGAACGAGATATGGATTTATTCAAATTTTTTGTCTATCTTAAGTTTCTTTTAAAATTTCTCTTTCCTTCCTTTCATTCATCCTTTTTTAGATTCTTCGCAAATTTAAAATTAACTGAAGAATTTTTGTTTGGAAGGGAAAATGTAAAAATTTTTATGGAATTTTATTACATAGTTTCCCATTTTATTCGTCGTAAAATAAGTGCTATAGTATTTTATTGGATTTTAAATTTTTTAATTCAAAAATCTTTAAGTAAAAATTTGGCTTAAATTTTACATTATTCTATCTATTTTTCTTTTGCAAGTAAGGGCATAATCTATATTTTCTTACTTTCATTACTTGTTTTTAAGTTAAATTTAGCAATTTGCAGGCAAAGAGGGGTGTTTGTCAGATTACACATGCTGTTATTCCAAAGCAGATTGGTGCTTCAGATAGTTGTAATACATTTAATGAAGAAGAAGTATTTGCATATCAGGATTCCAATAACCTTATAACGATGGGTTGGATACATGTTAGTCATCTTTGTTTAAAATTCATATCAATTTATTTAATAATCTCCGTTTCACTGGTATTATTGTTTCATCTGTAATTCAAGATTTTTTCGTTCCAGACTCATCCATCGCAAACTGCCTTTCTCTCGAGCATTGATCTTCATACACATTGCTCTTATCAATTGATGATGCCGGAGGCAATAGCTATAGTCGTTGCTCCAAAATACAATGAGTTCATCTTTATCATTTTCGATTTTTCTTATTTTTTTGTTGAAATAAATTTGTATTTTTCAGATAATAATACAATAATGCAATAATATTTTCATTTTCTATCTTATTTCTTAGAATTGGACTATTTCGACTTACTGATCGTGGAATGGTAGAAATTGGTGAATGTCGAGTACCCGGTTTTCATCCTCATCAAGATTCTTCTCTTTTCTATTATTGTTGTGAAGTGAGGTTTGATACTTCTGTTGAAGCTGCACTGGTTGATTTCAGATAATTGATGGAATGCATAATATATTTATTACATATCGAATAAAAATATTTTGAATTTGAATGTGCATAAATATTTATTGATGTATTATATTGGATTTAAGATTTTTCGCTTAGTATAGGATGGATTTTTTGTTTATTATCATTTTCCATACATTTGACCAGTAAAATAAGGCGATGTTTATAGGCCATTTTAAGCATATACCTTGCCTAAGTGAGAATAATATTTTTTTGTAAATAATGCTTTAAGTATCAGTATACCTATATGTTTAATTTAGGCTAAAAATTGTCTTCCACTTTTTATTTTAATACACTTTAACAAAATATTAGCATCATTCAGAAGTCATGTTTGTACCACTAGTTTTCATTAGTCATTAAACAATTTTTTTATTTTGGTAATTCATGATTTAGTTAGTCGTAATGATAATCAATAAGGATTTATTCAAATTTTTTGTCTATCTTAAGTCTATCTTTTAAAATTTCTCTTTCCTTTCATTCATCCTTTTTTAGATTCTTCGCAAATTCCTTTTAAAATTAACTGAAGAATTTTTGTTTGGAAGCGAAAATATAAAAATTTTTATGGAATTTTATTATATACTTTCCCATTTTATTCGTCGCAAAAATGTAGAAATATATTTTATTAATGTTTTTGATTAATGTTTGTTAATGTCTTAATATTTTCTAAAGTGACGGTTATTAACCAAAATTGGCAATTTTATTATATAAAACTTAAGTGACTTAAATGTAAATTTTTTAGTTTTGTTTTCTTCTAAGCATTTTGTTTTAATTCAAAATTTTATTCATTTTACTTGCCAATCATTGTTTTTCAGTTATAAACCATATAGTATGGATTATGGATTATGTTCATATTTGCTTGCAACAATAAAAATTTTTTTGAATAAAAGTTATTAAAATCTTTTTATTAATATAATATAATAATATAATAATAATAATAAGCCATTTAAAGATTTTATAAGAAATGTTTTAGTTTGCAAATTGTAGATTTCGAGTGGAAGCGAGCCAATTCATCAGCTGCAAAGTGATTGGATAATGAGGTGATAAGAACAAGGCGCTCAAGTGTTGTTTTGCTCGATAATTCTTTGATTCTTATGAGCACATGGTCTTCAGGAGTTCGTTGTCGTAAATATGAAAGGAAATGAAAAAGTTGGCTGGCTGAAAGCAATAAAATCCATCTTTCCTTTATTAAATTATAAAGGAGGATTTCTTTTCTTACACAAAGTTTGAAATACAGTTGATAGAACTGTTGATTTATTAAACCTAATTAATTTAGCATCAATGTTCTTTAAACTAACTCAACGAACGGTAGGGATCAATTGCAAAAAGCGATAAAAGGCGATGAAAGAAACTCTCATTTCGAAATGCAGTATAGCTATTCTAGTGGATTTTTAAAATCTTCAAATTGAATTTTTTCTAGTTTAAATATTTAAAAAAATCTAGTTTGAATAGCCTAAACATCATTTATTTATTTAAATCCTATATTTTCCATAGTATACGACAGATAGTGAACCATTTCGAAGTAGAAGGAACGGATGGTTTAGCAACATCCGAATTTCATTTTAACGGTATAGATGACTTGATTTCCTTAAATTTGTATTAGATTAAGGAAAGATCATTTTTATGAATGCTCAAAGAATGCAACTTCTTCTAACAGCTTTTATCATTACTGGTTAGGTTGGCTCCAACGGCTACAAGGGTAATACGTTTCCAAGCGGCGCGGTCTGATGCCATCGTCGACAGTTATAGAAGATATTCCTTTTTCCCTCGTCTAAGTCCATATATTGTTGATCTACGTTCAAAATCTTTTTCTATCGTATCAGTCCGGGTCCTGATTGGCCCACCTCGCTTTTGACGCCACCCATCACATGACTTAACAAATAACGAAATATGCGTCAACTGCTGTGGTGGACGGTGGAGAACGTGCCCTAACCAGGAAAGGCGATGCTCTGTGATAACATTATACAGATGGTGTTTGAACGAAGGTAGACGCTATCATGTGATATTTTATCCACTCGACGGACCCGTAAGATGTACCTTAGACAAAACTGATCAAAGGTAGATAGCTTCTTAATATCCTCCACTCTCATTAATCGTGTACTAGAGCAAGATCGAACAAATCACGGCTATATAGGTGTAGACTTTCATTTTAATGGTAATTTCACGACGGCTCCATAAAGGTTTCGGAAGAATGCATTTCTAGCTGCTGCGATCCGGATAATATTGTTTTTTGCCTGGCCATTCGGTATTAGAGTGGATCCAAGGTGTATTCAAAATCGCGCACTTCTTCAATTGGCAATGAATTTATAAAAAGTGAATAGCCTTGTTTAAATCATCACATCATTATATGCTAAATTAAATAAATATGAGATTCGAAATTTTAAATATTTTATATTAAAGAAATATAAGTCAGCTGATCTCTGACAATAAATAATATTACACAAAATAACAATAAAATAAAGATTTTTCAAGGAGCTGATCAGTTCTTTAACGTAAAACAAAAGTGTATTTATGTTCGAAGAGAGCAAATGGTTAGGTTGAGCCTGATAGAAGTTTTAACGAATCGATTGAGATATAGGATAATTTCTTGCGAGACTGTGAAATATATTTCGAATGATATTTCGAATGGTGATAGATGGAAGGGAATGATTGTGGAAGGAAGGTGGATGGAGATGATTGTTAAGAGTTTTAGTGTAAAGAGCTCGATGTTAGTATAATAGTTTCGTTTCAAATGCAACCCACTAGCGTTTTCGATACCTTATGGACGAAGAACCTATCTTGAAATTATTTGATTAACTGAATTAACCGTTGCTAGACATTATTCATTAAGCAAATGACGAGGCTGTCCACTGGAAACATCAATTTACGACTTTTTTTTTTCATTCTTTTGAAATAATTCACCATTTCTATTTGACGGGTTATACGGGTTATTATGATGAACCCACTTCGCCACAAAATCACTTGGACACTAAGTTATATTCAAGCGCTAACTCCTATCAAACAGCATAAATCAGAAGCATGATCGTTTGATCAGTAGAAACAACGTGCTCGACCACCTCGCTATATTTTATATATTTTATCACTTTAAATTTGGCGCTTTAGTATAAAAGCATCACTTTATTAAAGCTTTTTTGTATTTAAAAAAATGTGAAAATTATCCTTCAAACTTTAATATCTTTATATTATTGCAATTCTTTCTTAATGCGCTATGTTTTTATATATATTGTGAATTTCGAAATGATTTCTTTTCTCCTTCTAACATTGGTTCCACTGGCTCCTTTTCGTCATAGAGTCAGCTGCCAGTAGAAGTACACCTGAGTTTAAGAAAGAAGAGATAAGGACGTCTCACATACAAATATTATTTATATTATTTATTATTTAAAAGAAAGTAACAGATGAACGAAAATTCGTATAAAGTATTCCATGTTTTTTTAAACAATTGGAAAACTCATTGTGGATTGCTGAAGTGAGAAAAACGAAATTTTTTTAGAAATATATCAGAATATATAAAAATATAATTTTCACCATATTATTCGATCATTTTTATAAAACACAAAATGAGGTTTTCTTGTCGCGAAATTCATTCAAAAAAACTTTATTCGTTCAACAGCAACTTTCTTTTATTAAAATGCATTATTTCTTGTTTTCTGGCTTACAAATCCGATATGTAAATCGCGAAATTCATATTTAAGATAACAATGGCTGACATTGACGAGGAAGATCCATATGCACTTAGTTCGGATTCGGAGGATGAACAAGCAAAAGGACCACCACCAAAAATTAATATAGAAGAAAGGGCTATTGCTGATATCTCATCACTTGTTAGTTTATTCACCTTATATTCTTCTCTTTCTTCTAATTCATCATGTCTAGTTTATTTACTTAGTTTTGTTACTAAAACGAGATCTCTCCAGAAGCTCATTTAGGAATAGGAGTATGTGGTCTTAAGCACTAGCCAGATTTAAAGGAAAGTTTAAATCCTATTAAGATAGAGGAGTTGAATTTATAATGATTAATTAATGGAAGCAATAATTTTCCTTATTATGATATATATATATATATACTTTAAACACCTTATTTGTTACTTCATTATATTGGTTACAGCAACGGATGGTGAAATTAAATAATTTCAGTCTTTCCTCTGGAAGTTGATGTACATATATCATAATATATAATATAATATATAATAAGATGGTGTACATATATCATAATATATATAATATAATCACTGAAGTGATTTGTTGCAGTAATTAATAGCAGTTTTCGAAATGTTTGAAGTTTGGAATAGATGACGAAATTTTAATAATTAATAATAAATTTAATAAATTTTAATAATAACCTATAAATTTTAATAATTCCGATCCAATTTATTGCACCTTATTGCATTTAAATTGCATTGCATTTAAATTCGAATTTTCAATCTGTAATACCATAAAAGTCGCAAATATAAATATAAAATATAATAAAATTTAATTTATAAGTATGAATAATTTATGAATAATTTATTATGCACTTTCTATGATTGGTGCTTTCGAAAACTTGATTAAATACAAATACAATCTAATTGCAAGACAAAATAAAAAGCTGAAGGAGAGGTAAAACCCGCTTAACCTCCATTTGTTTCGCTTTTTACTTTACTTCTCTTTTCTCACGCTTGAGGCAAAACCAATGCTAACCAATATTTTTTTGCTAAAATGAAATGCATCGGGAAAATTGTTTCAAACATGAAAAAATAATCGGAATGCATTTATCAGTTATTTCGCCAATGATACTGCTACTTATTTATTTACTATATTTACTATATTTACTACATATAGATATATATATATTATTTTTTAGAAAGCAGCCCTAAGTGAGACGAAAGAAACAATCAAAGACGATGCACGTCTCGAAGAACTCAATGCACTGAAAGAAAAATCTGAAATTTCCAAAATAAAGCAAGATTTCACTGAAGGTTACATAGATATTTGTATAAATTAATGAAGTTATTAAGCACTGCAAGAGCAAGAAGCACAAAATTTGGCCTTTAAATCTTTGATATCTACAAAAAAAACTTTGAGCTTCCCTTAAAAAAATACATGAGAATTGTTGCTTTCTGTTGAATGACAGAGTTTATTAAATGTTTCTCGCGAATTTTCTTCCCACTGTCTGTTATTATTTTCTTAAGGGTAACCTTATAATATAACATAAGTTCGAGGAGTAATTAATAACAAACCAAAATAAGAAAGATTTGTTCTAGAAAATTTGCTAATTATAGATTTTGTGCAATATTAAGAAAATAAAAAAGAAGCAGCATTTCAGAAAGGGATGACACAACGCTAGAAAAACACCGAATTTTCAACTCCAGCGTCCCAGTTTTAAACGCTACCCACTATGTTTTAAAATTCAACTCCAAGTTGAAAACATTGTCCCCCTGTTTTTTCGTTATGTACTTTAAAAAATATCTACTAAGGCCCTTAACTTTATTTTATAGGTAAAAGAGACTTTGTACGAACTCGATACTTCACTTTCCAATTTCTTTTCAAATATAATTTTAATCACTGATGAAAAGAGACAAAGAATTTCATGAAATACGTATTTAAATAAATCTTTTCTAAAGTGCATTTAAGTCTTCGAAAACTGTGGTAATTTATCGGACTAACCTGATTTCTTTTTTTGGAAAAAAATTGAATGAACGATTTCTCTTTGTAAAGTTTGATTTTGATTTACTCTCTGATGAGAGGAAATTATTCTTAAAAAATATTCAACTTTTTAAAAAACTATAATTTTCCTACAATTTTATGAATTTTAATTTTTAAATTTTTTTATGTAAATTTATGAAATCGAAATTCATTTTTTTACAAATTTATAAATTGAAACTTCATTTTAAATTTTGAATTTTTACACATTAAAATTTAAAAAGAATAAATCAAAAAACGTTTAAAAAAATGATTGCAATTGATTTAATTAAGACAGATAACTTTCTTTCACCATTTTCCCCAATTATTTCCCTTTTCTCGCTAATTTCTTTTTATCCATTTTTCTGTCTCATTCATATCGTTTATAATAACTAAATTTTTTCATTCAATATAACCGATTTTCATCGAATAAACTTAAATATTTTGCTTTAATTGTTAATTTTTTCCAATTTCCAGCTAAGCGAATTCATAATGATGAAAAAATTGTGTTTTTATTATTATTTTAATATTTCGGCTAATAGCTAATAGTTGTTGCATAGCAAGTGGTCCGTCACCATTATCGTTGCTCCGATTTCTTAGACAAAATTCAAAATAAATGAGAAATCTGGAACAGCTAAAGGTTAAAATAGGAAAAATATAGGCGACCTCTATAAAATATTTCCGGCCATCGATAGAAATTTTATAGACTATAGGAAGGAAAAATGAAAAAAAAAATAAAAAATTCCCTCGAGCAATTTTTTAACTTTTTAGAACTAATTTCTTAATTAGTTCCTAATTTCAAAATAAAAAATTAATCTTACTTTCTTAAGCATTTTCTGGAAAATTGATATTTTTAATATTTTGTTTCTTCATTATTTGGTTTCTCAGCATCCTATGTTGTTCCTATTATTTATGCTTTTTCTAAAGGTTCTTTGGTAGATATATATGATTTCTAAATTTTTAAGTTTTAACTGGTCAGTTAGTCAAAATATTTAGTAAACGTGTGGATTTGCAGGAAAATTAATGAAGGACATGGAGGGAAAAGTTTTTGATGAAGAACGAGAACAGATATTTGCTCAAACGAAGGTATGTTCAATTGTAAATACATTAGCAAATTTTATCTTAGCTGGCTATATAAGTCGACCATCAAAAATCATAGTTTTTTGGAACCTGTGAATTTTTTAAATTGATTAATAACATTGTTTTTCTTTCCCTTAGGAACAATACGCAAAATTCAAAGACGCATTCGAAAAAATGCCTAAAAAGATGGAACAAGATTTGGAGGAAAAGCTGAAGGCTATTGAAAAAGAATTAAGTGGTGTGGGTAAAGAAACTCTTGCGAATATCAAAGAAGCATTTGAGAATCCACTGGAGATACAAGGAATCGAAAAGGAGAAAATTGTGGTTGAACGTTCTGAAGCCGACAAAAAAAGAATTTTGAATACTTTTATCAAGGTCACTTTGCTTGATCACATTAAAAATCGGATTTTAATGGCAAGAAAATTAATTTTTCTTTTCATAACAACATGAAATCCTTTTTTTCCAACTTTTTTTTTGCCTTTGTATCTCACAAAAATCTCAGAAGACAAAATTTTTCTTGTGAAATGGTCGTAAATTTAAGCCTGAAATGACAGCTGATGAAGCACCTCGTGAATGTGCTATATGTTCAAAAATTGTTTATCCAGTTGAACGAGTTTTTGTTAATAAATGTCTTTATCATCATGCATGTTTCAAATGCATGAAATGCGGAAAGCGATTAACGTAAGTTATTCATTCATTTTTTTTTCACTTTATATTTAGCTTTTGTATTTCTCGAATATTTTTCATCTTAAAAAGGCAATAATTATTAATATCGGGGTCACATTTTAAACTCAATTCCTGGTCTTTATCAGGAATAAGCCTACCAATAAGGTCAAAATTGGAGCGCTGAACCTGTATTTCTATTTCCAAAGAAATGTCTCTCATCCTAATAGCCAATAAAGAAAAAGAATTCTCATTCGTCGAAGAAATATTGCACATTTATAAAGTTATCTATATTTAAGTTATTTATAAAGTTATCAAAATGAATAAAAAGCATTAAATTGAAGATAGCAATTTTTCAGCTTTATGAATTTATTATTTTCATTAATTTTTTATTTTTACAATAAGTCAAAAGCGCTTATTTATTAAATAAAATAAACAAAAATAAATCATCCGGAACAATGAATATTATTAACCAATTTTTCTTCAAAAATGTGTTTTATAAATATTTTATCGAGTAAAATATTCAGAAAATTGCTGTTTAATTTTCTGCCAATTTCATTTATTGATAAAGGTCAAGGATATTTAATCAGCTAGGGCAAATTACCAATAATGGACAGATTGGTTCAGTGACATCATTTTTATCATTTAGTGATTAATATATCATACGAATTCATGAACGTTGTCAAAATTATTGCCAAATTTGTAAGAAATTTCATTGATCTTTCCCTGAATCACTTGACTAAATTGTCGGTCATGCGCAGCTGTTTCGCTTATTATATAACGGCACTGAACATATCTGGTTTGACTGGCACCACTAGTCATTAGTACTGAGGCCATTTCGCTAGAAAATTACTGGAATAAAAAAGAAGTAAGAAGGGTGAGGTTTAGAAGCGACTCCATTTCATTCTTAATTATAGGTTAATTCTCTTCAACGAAAAATAGGAATTAAATCCATGGCGCTTGATTTAAGTCACAGCAACCTTTCCCTTTATTTGATATTTGCTTATTTAAAATATTATTAAATTGATTATTTAGTGCAAATTTGTCGCGATGTTTTCAATTCTATTAGTATTGTATTATATATAATATTATCTAATTGCTTTTGTAATTAGGTAATATTAAATATGAAAAACATGAAATTATGAAAGGTAACAGATAAAACAAAAAGATAAAACAATTTTGATATGATAGCGATAATATGATAATGTGAAGGATCTTCACAAATGGATTTCCTTCAAAAATTTTAAAAAATTTCTCGCTGTGAAAATTATGAAAGAAATATATTCTAAGTGATTTTACCAAATAATTTTGGTAATTGGTATTTTTAAAAAAATTTAAAAAATTCTAAAAAAATTCTTTTTAGAATTTTTTTCCTTTTATAATTTAATAAATGGTTTTGTTTTATTTTTTGACAACCTTTATATAATTTTATATTGTATCGCATTTTAAATTTTATATAATTATAAATTTTATTTACAAGTTTATAAATTTTATATTGAAATCTTTCGCAGTTCAAATTTTCTTCTTATTCTGGTAATGCCCACCATTTCTAGTTTTACTGGCTCTAATGGCTGTTAAGATTTCGTTCAGAGAATTAGTTAGGAATTAGAATCAGTACAAGCAAATCTTTAGCAAAATCCGGATTTCATTTTTGATGACAATTACTGCGCCAAAGAGCCGAATTCAATATAACATTATAACGGGGCAATACCATTCGGTAATCTTGCTCTTTAATTCAACTTTGTGAACCGATGAAAGTAATTTAACATTTCCATACATAACGATTATATTATATTATATTACATTTCCATAATCCACCTTTGCATTTAGATGGTACTTCAAAAAACTCTTCATAAAAATAAATAACTTTTCTCATCCCCTGTGCATGGTCATCCTCAACCTGAGTTCTCTAGGTTCTCTACCAGAGATTAGGGGTACTATCTTAGCTGTTCCTAATAGTGAATAGGGGTCTTTGATATTGCTCCTGGATTCTACTGGAGCCACTTTTGTAATTTAGGGGTCACAGTTCCTAGTGCTCCAGTTATCACTGGAACTACTAGGGACTACTTCATTTTCCACACTTTTTTTAGTTCCTTTTTCAGTTCTTGGTTCTAATTCTCTAATTTCTCTTATTCCTTCTTTCTGGCGTTCCTGTCGCTTGGTATTGCTATATCAATCACCAATGCTGATTCTTGTTGATTCTTGTTGATTTTCGATTTTATTATTGTCTACTTCTTTTCTGCTATCGGTATCTGTTTGATTAGCTAGTAGTTGTTTGCCTATCTGTTCCCACAGCATCTCCAATTTATTATTCTCCACAGTTTTCTAAGGAATCTCTCATTTAATCTTGGGAGGGTCTAAGCCACATAGCTAGCGGATGTTGCTGTAGATAATGCCAACTATTTGGTTATGCCTTATGTTGTTCTTGCTTTCCTTTTGTATCCTGCCATTATGTGTTAGACTTTTTTTTCGTAGTCTTTATCTAGAATCCTAGCTTAGTGCTCGCTCTTGTGCTGTTATAACCTCAGTGTTGGCTTTTAGTCCGGCTTTCTCACTGAAAGATTTTTATAATGCAAAAAAATTTTCATGAATGTCCTTGTTTTATATATCAAGATAATTTCGCTGCTAGAATATGGTTTGATTTACTTTACAAAAAAGCTTATAGGTGGACCATTTAGTCGAAGCATTTGCGATATCATCAATAAGGCTTTTCAATGATTATAACTTGTATTATAATTACACTGACTTTAGGTAATGCATTATAATATTTAATAGATAGTAATATTTTACAACTTTCCCAGATCCAGAAGGAGCCTTTTCATAGTTTCACATGGGATTCCTAATTTTTCAATTTAATTCGATTTTGCGGTTTTATAAGAAACCTTTTCGCGCTTAAATATTCTTTTTTTAAGATTTTTTGATGCAATAATGCAGAAGGCAAAATTTAATTTATTATTTATTTTTGAACAGATTGAAAATTCTGCGAGAATTTTTTATAATTAATGTGTTTAAAAAATCTCTGATAAAATTGTTCAGTCATCTTCATCAGAAAAAATTTGCAGAAAAAATGTGGCAAATGTTTCAAAAGTTAGGAAAAAAGTCAAGAATACTTTAAGCGATTAAGTTATGTTTCAGACCGACAAATTACAATTGCCACGAAAAACAAATACTTTGTAAAGTGCATTACTTGGAGATCTTTCATCCAGAACTCGCAAAGACCATGGACCCTGCAACGACTGACGGTTCTTTCCTTTAATTTTTGCATGCAAGGCGAGCTAACTGGAAGAATTGTTCTTTTTCACTGCTAGAAAATTAATGAAATAAAGAAATTAGCTAATTCGACCTCCACAGGAAAAATTTTTGAATCGATATTTGGATCAAATTACATTTAAGGAAGGAAAGGAATTACATTTTTTCGAAAAACTGTAGAAACAATGTATGACAGCGGTCGAACTATTATATTTATCGGAGTTATGGAAAGTTTCACGGGATTCTTGCTTATTCAGCGGATTCTTTCCATAGAAATCCATACTTTTCTCATTTTAGTTATTAAATTCTTAGATGATTCATTCTGGTTGCCTCTTGATTTTTTGAAATCTCGCCAAAATACTAACATAGTGCTGTCTGACAAATGTTTTTTTGTAAATGGTATTTTAGAAGATGAAAGGCTGGCAGAAGATGATGATGAATTCGCTGTGTCGTCTCGGCCTAAACAACTTCGTGATGATGTGGTCAGATGTGCGTTTTTTAGTGTTGCATTTAACAACTTTGTATGCTACTATTCATAAATCTCTGCTTCCTGATGAGGGTGATATGTGTCGGCGCTGCAGAGATCTAGAGGGGAGGAAGAGCTATGCTATGGATACAACTATGCTTACAAATTTTGTAGCTGAAATAAATATTTCTCAAAAGAAGCGTTAAAAAGAATGGTGGGCCAAAAAAATTTGGGAAACTATGGTTCAAACAAATTTCCTTGACATTTCTGCGTAACCGACTGACCGAATGAATTCGGCTGATGACCACTAAGTTGAATATTCGCCGTTTCCTCCCATGTCTCAAGAATATTTATATATATTGAATATGTTCTATTTTCATATAAATTTGCTTCAATTGATTTATACCTGGCTATTAGTTTCCTCATTTGGAAATTATCAGCAAGAATAAAAGGAAAATTTTGCTTTTCAGCTGCTGTAAAAACTGTTGATGATTTCTCTAAGATCGCTTCACTGAAAGATCGTAAAGGTGACTGGGAAAACACTGCAAAAGAAGCGATAGTCTCAGTTGAAAGAAAGATGAATGCAGGAGAAGAAATTGTTGCTGGAAAGGTCAAAGCTAATCTTGAGAGGTACCAAATTGATTTATAATTTTTAATCCAACTTCATTAATATGTTATATAATGGTTTTTATGCATTATAAACTGGATTTCAATTGAAATTTTTTTTATACAAACATTTCAGGATTTTATTTTTTGTTTTATCAGTATAGCGTTATCTTATTTAGATTTGTTACTCGAGGTGTAAATGATGAAGTGGACGATGAGCAGAATGAAGATGATGAAGAACGAGATCCTAATATTATTCGTGAGGACAAGAAATATAAGGAGGAACTGAAATTTGATCAAGTAGTAGCATCAGATTTTAAATATTTATATTGCGAATTTTGATATTTATGTTTGATTTTAATTTTATTATGTTTTAGGTGGGTGATATAAAAAATCGTTGGAAAACCGGAAATATACAAGGGGCTGATATTAAGGAAATTTGCAAGGAAGATTTGGAGGAATTAAAAAGAGGTCCTGGTTTGAAAGACCGATTTAAAGAGAGGAATGAAAGTGATGAAGATGTGAAACAAATTAGACAATGGGATCAAAATGAAATCGACAAATCCAGTATGTTTGCCTATTTTCGTAAGGTAGTCGGTCGTGCAGCTTGCCTTTTGCTTGTGTACATAAAGATAAGTAGTGTTCTATAAAATTAGTAATTATGGTTGTTCCACTAATTTTTTAAAATATCTCTCCTATGTTTGGCTTTTTAATAATTAACTCAGAATAAAATAAAGAGAAATTTAGTTAATTTTATAGGAGCTGGATTCCCAGCATCTCATTGGTTTCACTCTTAGGGTTTATTCTCGCCAAGAGGCAGCAATCGAATCTATGCTGACTTGACTTTGATTGAAGCAATATACCATTCAACCTTATAAATCTGCTGAAAAGTATAAAAAGTATAAATGGAAGCCATTAAGAGCCCAGTTCAGGATTTTTATCCTTTAACTTTCTTTTAAAAGCCGCTTCATTATTTCAAAGATTTTTTTACAACTGTAATTATAATACGAACCAATTTAATTAATATAATTTCGTAGATCATATGAAAACTTTAAATATGTTTGGAGAAAAATTTGGAAAAAGTGGATTTCATTTGATATTCCGGAAATTTTCTTAAAGTCACAAAACTTAATGATTAATTTATGTGAATATAAAAATTTGAAAAGGATGCAATTCTTAAAAGATAAATAGAAAAAAAGTAAAAAAAAAATAAATTGCTAATACTCATATTTACCATGTCAGATCGCGTCTCCACTTGCTGTTAATGGTTAGAAATTTTTGTTAGGGACCTTCAGTATAATTGGTTATATCAGTTCAAATCGGTGAACTTAATCTTTAATTGTGAGCTTAATCTTGCCGGAGATATGGTCTGAGGCTCGAGATCTAATAATCCGCTTGGCTATCATGTATCTATTATAAAAGCTTTTATAATTTGTTATCAGGAATAAGTTTATTATGTGGCATTAATATTTAGTCGATTTTTAAAATTCATTGACTTTAATATTCCTTATAACTTTTTTATTTTTCAAATTCTCGCATGAATTTCTTTCTTATCAAAAAATTTTAAAAACAAGAGAAATGATCAGATCCTTGACATATTTTTGTTTTTTTATGAAATCACAGTTTGATTACCATCAACAGTAGAAGTTTGTAAATAATTAAAGATCAATTGTGTTGTTTCAAATATAGCTAACATTACGACTATTTATATTTATATTTGCTGACAAGAATTTCATCTTATCGAGATGATAATCTATTTTTGACCTTGATTATTTGGGTTATTGAACATTAAAAATATTAATTATCATGCCAAATATAGGTTATAAATATTACTAATAGAATTTTCAAGAAATACTTTAAACGTTGCTTTTCTTCGTTTTAATCATTTTTTTGACATGTTTTTTAAAATATTAATTAATATTAATTTTTTACTTCCCTAAAACTTTTCGCTAAAATTTACTATGGTTTAAAACTAAAGCGGATGAAGAATATTAACTCTAAATCTGTTTAATCTTGCAATTTTTCGTAAATTCTAATTAGTAAAATTGGTAAAATTGACCAAAACTAACAAATGCTGGAAGAAGTTGCATGATTTTTTAAACTACTTAACATCGAATTTATTGACTTTTTGAATTAGAACTTTTGAATTTTATCGTGTTAACATAGTTAAGATTAACATTCATACGCATAAATTTCGTTATAGGAGCGGCCGATGCTAGACGATCGTTTCTTGAAGGATCTGCTTTCCAGACTGGACCAGTCGAAAAAAATAAGGAGATCGCAGATATGGAATTCAAAAGTGGGTATTTAGGCAAAATAAATGAGTTCAATAATTCAAGCGATTTTAATGACTGGATCTTTTTTTTAACAGCATATTTTAATTAATCAATTGTTTTTTAAACGAAAATTACATCAATCATTGCATTAAATCGTAAAAGTAATGCATTTCACAGCTGCTTATTACTTTCTCGAAAAAAAATTAAATTCCGAGTTAAATTTATTATTTTTTTGGTCATATGAATTATCGATGAGGTGGATCTTCGTTATGATCTGTTTGTTAGAACAATTAAGGGGTTGAGCGGGTACAGCTCACCATTTCTCACCAAGGGGTTAGGTTGATAGCTCCGCTGGTTGTTAATGGTTAGAAATTTTTGCTAGGAGATAAGTTGTTGACAGAAATAGATCGCCAGCACCACTCGAATTTTTTAATGAATTTATCCTGTCGAGGAGCAAGAATTCGAACTTTTTTGCCCTTCAGTATAACATTTTTCATTTGAAGATCCTGTGATCTGCTTTAAGGAAGTTTACTAATGAATCTAATGTTTCTCGTCTAATATTGTTTATATAGGAATTTTTAAGGATTGGACGAATTTAAAGAACGTTTTGAAAAAGGTGAAGGTGATAGCGCTATTGAGAAGACTGCAATCGATGTTCAAATTGACAGCTTAAGCGACAAAAAATCTGCATTTGAAAAAGTCGGTTTTTCGTTTCTTTATTGAATAAGAACCAGTTTCTCACATAGTAGTTAACGCAGTAAATATATAATTAACAAAATATATATAAAAACAAAATGGGAGTAAAGTAATGCGTGGCATTGCCAAGCGGACAATGATTCAGTTTACTGTTAAAACCAAAAAAACTATTTCTTCTTTCTTCTTCTAACAGCTCTCACCATTACTGGTTAGCCGTCTGATGATAAGCGGTCTGATGATATTCAATAGTAATGGAAGCCTACTGTCGATGATGGCATCAGACCGCGCCGCTTGGAAGCGTCTTACCCTTGTAGCCGTTGGAGCCAGCCTAACCAGTAATGGTGAGAGCTGTTAGAAGAAGAAGAAGTAATGGAAGCCATTCCTTTTTCCATCGTCTAAGTCCATATACTGCTGGTCACCTATACGTTCAAAATCTTTTCTCACCGTATCAGTTCAGGTCTTGATTGGCCCACCTCGTTTTTGACGCCATCCACCACACGTTTTAGAAAGTAAAGAAATATGCGACAATGCGACAACTCTTATGGTGGTCGACGAAGAACGTGCGCTAACCACCGATGGCGATGCTCTGTGATTTGTATAGGCAATTGGTATTTGAACAAAGATGGATGCTATCATGCGATATTTTATCCATCAATGGACCCGTAAAATGTACCTAGACAAGAATGGTCAAAGCAGATAACTTCTTAATATCCTCCACTCTCATTGTCTCAGAACCATATAATAAGATCGAACAGATCACTGCAGTATACATGCGGACTTTTGTTTTTATGGTGATTTCACGACGATTCCATAAAGGTTTCGTCAACCGGAAGAACGCAGTTCTCTGATCCGAGTTATAATATCTTTTGCCTGTCCATTTGGTATTAGAGTAGACCCAAGGTATTTGAAATCAGGCTCTTCCGCAATGAATTTACAAAAAGAGGCATTTTATCAGCTTTTTGCACATAAGACGAAAAGACTTTCGTTTGATCCTGGGTCCGATTTTTGCTGGAGTTTCTGACAGTTATTCAGTATTACTTGCATTTCGTTATAATTATCAGCAAAAAGGACTACATCATCAGCGTATTCAACATCTGTGATACGATGCTCTGGACTGATTCGGACACCTCTTGAGTGCCGACAAGCAGTGTCCATTACCTAGTCTATCGCATAGATGAATATTGTGGGGGAAAGGACGCAGTCCTGATGGACACCTGTTCTTATTTCGAAGGAATCTGTCAGCTCCCCATATAACACATACCTGCACCGATGTGCGCTCATAAAATGCCTTTATTAGTCAAATGATTTTCTCTGGAACACCGCCACGTTCCATCACCCTCCAAAGCGCCGCTCTATCAATTGAATCAAAGGCAGCCGCAAAGTCGATGAAACACGTGAGTTGCAAATATTTGAAGCGATGTTCCAACACCTTTCTTAACGTGAATATCTAGTCAGCACAACCCCGCCTTGGTCTGAAACCAGCTTTATTAGGGCACATCGTGCTATCTCGTAATTCCATAAGTCTGTTGAGTAAAAGGAAAGCAAAAATTTTTGCTGAGACGTCTAATAGGCTGATTCCTCGATAATTGTCGCAATATATCCTATCACCTTTCTTGAGAATTGAGAGCAGAATTGCTTTGCTCCAATCATCTGGTAATTTTTCTTTTTTCCATACTAAAGGATACATTTGTTGAAGGTGCGTTATGAAGGACGATGGGCAGCATTGGAAAAGCTCAGCCCGAACACCATCTTCTCCTGGAGTTTTGTTGGCCTTAAGATTATGGATAATTGAAATTATTTCTTATTCTGTTGGAGACTCGCAATTGCAAGCGTATGCTTCGGCAAATGTATTAGCTATATCAGAGACAATAGATGGCGCTTCATGGTTAAGTTTGGCCTCAAAGAATTCTTTCCATCTTATCCATCTTATCTCTACATATTCTATCCTTAATATTTTTGATCAGACGCCATTGCTATCTCTTACCATTTCACTGATCGTTCCCCGAGTCATAGTTGCTTTATGAAGAAGACAGAATAGTTTCCTATTGTCGCCTAATTGAGCCCTCTATTCTTGAGGCCATGTCAATCCAATAGTGGTTTCTGTCCCGCCTTGCTGCTTTCGTTGAAATCTTCGAAGCACCAGATAGTTAGAATCACCTGACATTCGTGCTTTGGCAGCTTTTTCAGACAATTGGACAGTTACTTCCGATACCCAACTAACGCACTTCCTACTAGTATCCCCTAGCGTGGAACTGGCTGATTTTCGGAGACATTCTTTTAGTTTGGACCAGTATTCATTTACCGTTCCAGAAAAATCATTGATATTTGTATGCTTCATTGTATGCTTCAATAATTCGGTTTGAAATGTGCTCACTGTCCCCAAATTTTTTGGATAGTTTGATATAGTTGAAGGATCTTGAGGATCTTTTTTCTGTGAGTTAATTTATGCGGATCTTGGCTCCAACTATATATAACATGGTCAGATCCATGAAGATTGCCCGTTTCAGTTCCGCGATAGGAACGACTATCTAGTACGGAACTCTTCCAACGGCGACTGACTAAGATATAATCGATCTGGTTGAAATGTTGGTTATCCGAGGAGTTCCACGTGACTAGATGTTTTCTATGATGCCGGAAGCAATATTAGTAACAAAAAGTTCATCTCTTCGGCATGAAGAAGACGTTCCCCATTGGCACACCGGTCTCCGATGCCATATTTGCCAATTGTTGAGGTCACCGCAGCTGCATTATGACCTATGCGAGTGTTCCAGTCCCCTCCCCCCCCCCCCCCCCCCCCCCCGATTATGATTATGTTATATTTCAGTAGAGACTTTGTTAGCAATTGAAGTTCCGCATAGAACTTATCTTTATCTCGGTCATCTGCCGATAGGGTTAGAACATAGACAGTGATGACCGAGATATTGCAGAACTTACCCTTAAAACAGGCGTAGGCCATACAATCGTTTACCGGTTTCCACTCAATCAAAGCGGAATGGGCCTTGTCAGACATGACAATCGCTACGCCATTTCGTCCCGAGTTATTCGAAGCACCACGGTAGCCAGTATCTCTGTTCTGAGCCAGGATTAATAATTGCTTGAGACCCAAAGTGAGGAAGACGGACCTCCGACAAACAAGCGATATCCACACGATATTTAGATAATGTGTGGACAATGATCGCTTGGCTTGCAATGTCCATAAGCGTTTGACGTTCCACGCTGATACGGCTAATACCTTGCTGTGGGCTATTCCCCTTGATAGTTTCGAGCAATTACCCTAGCTTGAGAGCACATTTTATTTACCAGCCTTGGGATCGCTTTAGGTCCAGATTGTATACTTATCGCATGTACCACCGAGCTCGAAATATCATGCGGACGCCGTATCGAGTAAATCTGTCCCTTTCACCATAGAGTCACTTGGGGGTAGAGTTACAGCTGGATTCCCAGCAGCCATCCGGATACGAATTGTGCTGGCAATTCACTTCTATTCCTGGCGCCAAGTGAATTTCTGGCAAAAATTTTTACCGTGCTAAAAGCGAAGTTAGCCTAACCACATATAGTTTTCGATAATCTTTTACCTTATAAATGAAAACACGCATAATTTAAATTGGAAGTTTTTGAAAAAAAAGGGAATTTTATTGCAATTTTATCTGTTATAATTTATAGTTGATACATTAGGATCAATTTAATAATTTAATTAATAGTTTAAAGAAATTAGCCATATAAAAAATTGTTAAAAAACCTTCCTTTAAAATTCCATTTTTTTTTCTTATTTATGAAAATTCCAGTAGTTCGTTTATTAAAAAAACAAATGAGAAATTTTATTATAGGACGAAACACAGGCCACTGGTGAGGAAAGAGCCGAGCAGAAAAAGAAAGAGATAGAAGCTGAATTTCTTCGATATAAACTTGCAAGACGAGCTGCAGCACAGCGCCATGCAGAAGAGAAGGCAAATCGTGTTTCAATATTCATAAGAAAATTTTTCTAAACGAACTATTCGCAGTTGTAATTTAAAAATGATTGTAATTTTGTCGTTTGTGAAATCCCTTTCATTTCATATCAAAATTCCACAAACAGCTATAGTCACAATTAATTAATCTTTCAATATGCTTCAAATATTTCTTTTGATATCAGATCAAAAATAGAGATGGATTTTAGTTGGATTTTTAAATGAAAAAGAGAGATAAATTGTTTTAACTATAATATCCTAATTCTCTTAGGATAGTGAAGGAAACGATCCTGGAATTGAAATTCCGGAGGTGGAGGTTGGCCAAATTAAGGATCGCTTTGAAAAAGGAAATATTTTTACGAGTCAACATGGAGGTATAACGATTGAAGAACACAGACTTGCAAATTTTTGTCGTTATGAAACTGAAATCTCAAAATAATAGGTGATTGCCATTCAGAAAAAAGTGATTTATAATGCGAACAAATTTAGACAAATCGGAATTAGATGTCGAAATTAAGATGGCGGGTAAAGCACGCGAGAAATTTAAGCAAATCGACGCAGAAGGTTCACATCCAGTTGCACCTTCTCATGAAAATAAGGTATTTCATTTTTATTTTCATCTTTTCACCTCTCTTTCATTTGGTTCCCATAGTAGTGATCATAATTTCTGTTATATTCAATTTAATCAGCTATTCGCGAAAAATTGGAGAAATTTGGAAAAATAATTGAAATTCTGTAAAGAAATTTAAATTATTGCTGAATAAAGTTATCTCTTGAAATTATAGGAAAGAGTTGCGAGTAAATGGGACAAAAAAGATAATATTATTGTACCTGAACCAGTAAATAAAAGGGTTATCGAAGATGATGGTAAAATCCTTGATTATCCTATCATCGTTTTGTTTTGCCATTTCTACTTTTTTGTTCATTCCTGCGATGAACTATATAAAATTTAATTAAAACAAACAAAAGATTGCATTTTTCACATCCAAGTGTTCCTTTCGATAAATACAACCATCATTGAATGTTCTAGTAGATGAGCCCGAAGATGAAGATGCTTATGACGTTAAAAATTTAATGAACAAATTCAAGAACATTGAGAAAGAGCCAGTTAAACTTACTACTCACGAAAGGCCAACTGATCTTGAAGGGATCAAAGTAGGTCAAATTCGTTCATGATTGATAAATTCATTGATAAATGTATGGTTTTAATATAAAAATTAAATGCAATGAGCTTCAGGTTGAAGCTCGAAGTCTAAAAGAGCAATTTGAAAAAGTTGGCGAAAGTGAAAATGAAAATATTGATGAAAAGAGGAAAATAATTGAAGAGGAGTTCGCTCGACTTAAACGTTTGTATAAAAAAATTTTAAATTTATTCACTGTTTTTCACATTTTATGCTTCTAACAGCTTGGTTGCATTACTCTACTCCATGTACTTTTAAGATAAGATGCTTCCAAGCCTCCCGGTGCTATTAGATCTATGCTTGAAACTGAAGCCAACGATTTTTCTTACAACCACTTAAGCCTTTTATTCTCTCCCTCTCCCAAGCCAAATCAGCTAATAAAAATTTTAAAAAATTATTTGATGTTCATTCGATTTGATTCCATAGTTTGAAAAAATTGAGCCAACATTGTTCATTTTGGTGTTTCAGAAGAAAAAGAAGCAGCAGCTGCAGCTGCAAGAGAATCGACTCCAGAGGAAGAAAGGACTCCAACTAAAGAAGAAATTCACATTGCCGCTGATCATGCTTCAAAAATGACTGCCAAGTGGGAAAAGATTCAACAGAAGGAAGCAAAAAAAGCCAAAAAAAGTAAAATGCCGGCGAAATCAGCTGTTCATGCAGTGAGAAATTTGCTATCAATATAATAAAATTTTAGTTAAAATTCATTTATTAATTTGCTAGAATTTCACAGAAGCAAAAAGTTATGTATAAGTTTTGCCAAAAATATTAATTGGTCTTTTAGAAAACAGAAAATAATTATCATTATTATCCTTTTTTTTACAAAACTAATGGAGTTAATTTTAATTCTAAAGTTTTCCAAAGATCTTTCAGGATAAATAAAACGTCTGTAAACGAGTATACGAGTATTTATTTGGAAATTTATAAACTTTTTTTTTTAATTTTTGTGATTTCCCATAATTTTATTTGATATTTTGATAGGAGTTGTCAGTAAAAATTATATATGATTTGACATAATAAATGCACAAATATCATATCAATATTACATTCAATGAATATGATTACATTTTTCCAAGGAATTAGTTTTCCAGAAAACTTCATATTCGTTTTTTATTGTGAAAAATTGCATCCAGAAGTTGCTAAATTAATACTAATCGAAGAAATAGTTAATAATCCGAAAATAATCATTTTTTTCTAATATGCATGGTGGAATTGCGTGATTGAAAACAGCTAACCGTTTTAATGAATTTTTTTTCAGTTGAATAATTGCATGCTTGATCAATGTTTAGATGCTAAATGCACGAATTTCATCGATCCCTCGATGCAGTTCTTGTGGCGGCGATGTCTATATAACCGAATTGTTTCAATATTTATCCAATGTTTATCATCGTCAATGTTTTCGCTGTACCCATTGTAGCTCTATACTCAGGTTCGTTTTCCTCGTTTCCCAATTAATGTTTTTAGAAATAAATCTCCAATCCCCATCACAAATTTATTTCATCGTCAGTTCTAATGAAAATAATCGACTATTGATTATCGTCTACAACTGCTAAAAAAAAGAATTTAGAAATATTATACAAACCTTAAGCATTGTTATTTAAAACCTTTTATTTGAGAAGTAGAACTAATTAGAGGCGAAAAATTTATAGTTGTGGGAATGGTTTCGAAAATATTTCTACAGTTTAATAACTGAATGCTTAGTAGATTTTCCTAATGTGAATAATAATATTCATACATTCATATTTCCTTTCCGGTTCATATTGGAACATTTTCGACTGAAACCAAAAGTTTGAAGCCAATTCATAAAAGATTAACTTTTTATCATTAAAGAATGGGAAAAATTAATAACATAAAAATTTTTTGCTATTTATAACTTCACGGAGATTTTGAAGCTGAAAATATGAATTTTAAAAGAAAAATCAAATTATTGCTGAATGAATTGGTTTTTATTGTGCTACCTTTATAATTTGATAAAAAGTTCAATCAGCATTTCCAAATATTTTTTCTCAATCAGCATTTCTAAATATTTTTTCCAAATATTTGCGGTTAAATGTTTAAATATCAGCATTTCCAAATATTTGTTTTAGACACTTTAAGTATTATAAAATCAAATCATGTAAAAACTACAAGAAAAAATTGGTATCACAATTTGTCCAGTTAATTAATCCAGAAAATTCTTCAGAGTCGACAATTGCCAGAGATCACCTGAAGGCTCATTATTTTGCGAAACTCATTATCGACGCTTTTTTATGCTACCAAATTTCGTTTTACGCGATAAACAGTCGTTTATACTTTCTGATATATAACATATAACTTTTTGTTATTGACCTTAGTTTTGTCCTTTGTTATTGCGGTTAAATGTTTAAACAAGTTTTAAATGCAACTTTTAAAATATGTAGTTTTATAAATACGTGGGCAAGACTTTGTAAACTAGATCTAAGTATGCTCGATAAGTAAATACATAAGTAGGAGTAATGCGGATTTTCAGAATTTTTATCCATTCATAAATCGAGGCATTGCATTAATTGAAAAGAGTGTAAAATTGAATTACTTAAGATTTATAAAAATTTTCTCTATTTTAAGTTGTTTAATTTTAATTTTCATCTCTCCGAGTTTGCAATTATTTCATGAGATTGTGCGAAATCGTAGTCTCTTAATTTATTTTAGATTTTTAGATGTAGTAGAAGTATCGTGAATGCGATGAAACTTGACTCAAAAAGTAATGACTTAGAAAAATTCGAGCTGGAAGTGATGGTCGTCATTGTTTCCACTTCTTTTACTGTTTCAAGAGGTGAAATAAATATATCAGACGAATTAGCATTGATTGAACGAATTTCGTCGATCGATGTCGCTTTGACTTTACCAGATTTGCCAATGAGCGATGGTACTACCATTTCAGGATATACAATAGGATAGAAAAAACTTTCGGATGATAAATCATGAGCATTGATTTCTGAAAATTGCACAAAAGTTCTTTCATTGTCGATTTTGTATTAAAAAAATTTTATAATATTTTGTATGGTTCAATGTTTCATTTATCTATTTGTAGCTTTTGATAATTAGTTATTATTTCTATAAAATGTGATTTCTATAGAAATAAATCCTAACGCAATTGTTTGCAGTTAATAAAAAAACGAAAAATAATGAACGTTGAACTAAGTAAAGTAAAAAAGTTATTGGTTAGTAAGTGGTTAGCATTTATTATTTCTAGTTAGGTTCGCTCCGCTGATTATTAATATTCGCCAAGGAGTCACATAGGGATAGATAGGATAGACCGCTTGCTTGAACCATCTGGATCTTTTAACGACGAGGTTAAGATTCCTGTCAAGGAAGCAGTAGCCATGATGCTGAAGGTGCTAATTTAATAAAAAATTTAACTATTAACCATTAAGATTTTCTATATTAATAATCAACTATTTGTCTGGGTGATGCTGGGGATTCACCTGTACTTTCGCAAGGGACTCTCTGACATATTTGTCCAATGCGACAAGCCAGCGGAGCGAATTCAACCAATAATGTTCTAAAAAAAAAAAAATTAACTACTTGTAAGCAAATCATTAAAAATACTTATGAGAAAAAAGTTGGCGGAACAACAGAACAATTGGTTCCACATGCATGATGAAATTGATTAGCTTAGGATATGTGATATTTATGTGATGGATATTCATTGTATAATCTAGGAATTTCAATTTTCTTTTTGTTTTTATAGATTTTGAGATTTTATGAAATTTATTCCCAATTAATAATTTATTGCAAAATTGCAAAACAAAATTTTGCTATATTTTTAAATTTTTTCACGTTTAGCAGCCGAAATTAGTCCACACAAATAAAATATTTACCATTCATATTTAATCTTCAAATGATTCATTACGAAAGTGATTTATGCTTACAAAGCTTGCAACAGCTGACACTCCCAAAGTTAGCCTTTTTCGACTGAGCTCAAATATTATGGGTTTAGTTCTTTGATGGCAATGAAATTATTATTAAATTGCAAGTGAAGTGCAATTTATCTTACTGAAAGTGTAAAAAATGAAATTCATAATGATCTAAAAAAGATTATTCCACAAAATCATAATGTGTAAAGATAAATTTTTCTGATTCAAATTTTCGCGTATAAAGCACTATTTAAGGTAAAATGAATAAAAAGCACCAACCATCTGGTTGTGCAGATCCTGTAACGCCAAATATATAAAAATTGTCATTGAGATCCCATGCTCGATCCTTTTTTTCGCGAATCTGCGGTTTTATGTCGATGGAATAATTGCAGTACAGGCGACCATCAATAACAATGCTCGAAACATTGTGAAAATATAAACTGCGTTCGCTCTAAAAAAATTTGCCCACAATAGAATAAAACACGCAGAATGAATAAACGAGTGGTCAAGACAATTTGTCTTTTCTCACGCACGATTTTTTCTCATATAAGTAAGGATAATTCTTCTTCTTTTTCTTCTTCTTCTAACAACTCTCACTCTTACTGGTTAGGCTGGCTCCGCTAGCTATAAGGGTTGCGCTATCTCTACTAGTGATAGAAGCCATTCCTTTTTCCATCGTCTAAGTCCATATATCGCTGTTCCCCCCCCCCATATATTCTTAAACAAAAGTGGTCAAAGGGCAGATAATTTCTTAATATCCTCCACTCTCACTGGCAATGTCTCAGAGCCATATAGTAAGATCGAACGAATCACGGCTATATTGATGTAGGCTTTCGTTTTTACGGTTATTTCACGACGGCTCCATAAGGGTTTCGTCAACCGAAAGAATGTATTTCATTTGGTATTAGAGTGGACCCAAGGTTTAAAATCGGGGCCGGCTTCTTCTTCGACCGGCAATGAATTTACAAAAAGAGCATTTTATCAGCTTGTATATAAGCCTTTCGTTTTATATACGTTGATCGTCGCTGAATTCACTGGTAGACCTACTAGTATATCCTAATTTGGAACTGACTTTTATAAGAATATTTTTAATTGGGACAAGTATTCATTCGCCTTTCCATAGATGTCATTGACATTCATTTTACTAAATATTTCGATAATGCGGTTTGAAATGCGCTTATCGCTCCCGGATCTTTCAATTTGAGGAAATTGAAAGATCCTGGGATATACTGCTTCTTACGGCTTGTCAATTTCTCGTACCACAAGATGATCTGATCCATGGCGGTTACCAGTTTCAGTGCCTATGAACGACTATCAAGTATAGAACTCTTCCAGCGATGGCTGACCAGCATACAGTCAAGCTGATTGGAATATTGGCTGTCTGGAGAGTTCCACGTTGATATTTCCTCTGATGCCGAAAGCATATATTAGTAACAAAGAATTCATGCTCCTCACCAAAATGAGGAAAGCGTTCTCCATTGGCACACTGGACCCCGATGCCATATTTGCCAATTAGCGACTTAATCGAGAGGCATCATAACCTATGCGCCCATTCCAGTCTCCTCCGACCATGTCACCTCTCAGTAGGGATGTTGAAGCTCCGTAGAGCTTATCGCAGTCATCTGCGCATAAAGTTGGAGTTCGAGCATATACACTGATGACCGAAATTGTCGCGAAAAGACGAAAAAAGCTATAAATTTGAGCAAATCTACCGGATTCCCGCGCATCTTAAATTAAATATAAGCTCCCAAAAGATCAATTTTGGTCATTTTTGTGTTTTAATAGGGGAAACGAGTGGGAGAGCGATGGGTGAGTGATGGGCATTTAGTTTTTATATTTGATTTCTTTGAATGTATTATTTCGTTGTAGTAGGGCAATTACTTCGCTTTATTTTCTTGTATATATTTGCGTCTTTACCAATAAAGGTTTAATTACCCATGTTTGAGGTTCGCAACGAGAAAAATAAGAATAGAACGCTGGCCGCAGAGTTTTTTATAATATTGATAAAAAAGAAAAGTCCCGCGTGGCAGGAAAGCTAAATGTATACAGAAAAAAGATAGTGGAGCGGATTACCAAAAGGAATTGTTGTAAAGGTAGAATATTGAAAGGGAATTGCCATGCTCCCAACGAAAATTCCGTACTACTATAAAAAATTTCTCCCTTTTCTGCACAGAAATATTGCAGAATTTTACCTTGAAATGCGCATAGGCCATACGGTTATTTACTGGGCAATATAAAATGTGCTTGCTTAAAAAAATTTCCACAATAAAATAAAATATAGAAATAGCAGAATGAACAAACAAGTAGTCAAGTGGACAATTTTTGCTTTTCTCACACCAAGTTTTTTCAAAAATAAGCAAGAAAAATTAGTTAAGTTTGTTATTAAATTGTTTTTATTTCAGTTAAAATTTAAAACTGAGATAATTCAAAATCTCATATCAGACATTTAGAGGCATGGTATTCGAGTGGTTATTGCTCAGATTATCGCATGGAGCATCAAACTTCACACCTTGTCTCTAATGGGGTTATGCAGTGACTCACCATTCAAAATTCTGGATCTGAAGTCCACATGTTCTATCTCCAGGTAAGGTCTCTGGCAAAAATTTTGCATCATTCTAAAAGCCATTGCTATAGAACGAAATTGAACAGTGATGAAGGCATCACTGTTTTTTTATTTTTACCTGTGCAAAACAATTATGTATTATTATTTTTGCTTAAATGCAGTTTTATGCATAAAAACAGTTTAAAGGGTTTTCTTGTTGGTTTCTCGCAAATAGTTTTAAATCGGAAGCAGTTTGGAAAATAAATGATGCGCAATTTTCTAAAATTTCCTAAGAAAAACGAAAAATTTGAGCGAAAAACCTGATCCAAATAAATTCGATCATTTGATTTACCGATATTATGCGATAAAAATACTTCAGGACCTGAATCTTCGATTTGATCACTAAGAATGCACTCTATAACCATGTCATCGCCCTATAACTTTTTGTAAAAATAGTAATTCATATAAATTAATGCAATATCTACGAAAAGAGAAATTTTTGAATATTGATTAAATTTATTTTTTATTTTGATAATTTGTACTAAACAGATATGCATACGTCCTTTAGAGCATATTATGGAACCAAACAAATTTAATTCGCTCTGGGCGCAGAGCTGATCGAGTAATATGGTTTCGTCGAGCAGCATTGGTGAGATTCCATCGTCTGATAAGATTAAATCTATCATTTAAAAAAAAGGTGCTGTTTAGATAGACCTATTGACCTACATATGACCTAGTGGTAAAAAATTCTGACTATACTAAGAGAAGAGAAATACTCACTTACATAATTCGCTTGCACGACGGACATCGCTCTTATATTCAATTATTATCTTATTCGTTTACTTCTCAATGGAACGAGGTTGAGTATTGAATATTGAGTACTAGACAAATATTTTTTCTTCTAACAACATTCGTTTTCTTATTTGCTGAGATCCACTGGCTATGGGCATAATTACTTTGGCAGAAAGTGATTTGGACTACACGCGCACTTACGGCATCAGCCAGACTTCACTTTTAATATTAAGATTTGCAACTTTAAAGCGACTGGAGAAGGTAGGAGAGCAGTAGAGCCTATAATGTCCTTGGTTAAAATATATTATTGGCATGATCATATGCATATTAAATTAACACATAAATTCAACGTTTATATTTACACATAAATTTTTCAATTTTTATTTTTATAAAATATAACTTATTTTTAACAAGAGCCCTGTCGTTTTATGATACTGCTTTTATAATTAAAGTTGTTGGCATAAGCTATGGCATGATGGAAATTTTCACCGGTCTTGTTTTTTCCAACACATAACAATTTCAAAACACCATCCACCACTGATCCTCATTTCTAGAAATTTTTAATGGCTAACCATAATCTTATCTTTTGAAAATCCAATGGCAATATATTGTAGTGCAACAGGCGGAAATAATTTCTGCGCTACCGATTGTATTTGAAGAATCGTATCATTATCATTGATTGAAAGAATCAGTCCGAGGGTACAGTCGAGCTTTGGATTGCATCCGGCTGGTTGGAACATGCACAGTGCTGAATGGCCACATTTAGATTTATCCATGGAAATTGCCGGTAAACACCACAAATAAACAAAAGGCAATAGAAAACGCCAAAACATGGTTTTTTGATTGACCAAAAATCACCAATCCACACTATCCACCTATATAACCAGTTATATCATTCACCAAGCAGTTTACTTCTTTTGCCCCTATAAAAGTTTGCTCCTCCCATAATATGGCTTAGAAATGAAATGTTCATTTATAATTTATAATCTTTTTTTCGAACAATTAATTAATCTTATAAATTATTGCTACAGGACATTTCACTTTCTTCCGAAGAAATTTCATGAATGGAGTACCAAGTCAGGATACCAGATCCATGTTTCTTAAAGAACCACTCCCCTTTTTTATGTCATGGAAATCTTTGAATTTTATTTATTTTTAGAGAACAAAACGAACGAAGTTCTTATGGACAACAATTACAATAGTAATTACAACAGTAATGCACTACATAAAAATAATACACAATTTTCAAAGTATTCAATCAAAATATTCATCCGTTTGAATAAAATTCATGAAAATTATGAATTATGGGCAAATTGACTATTAAAATTGTGACATCATTATTTTATCAATTATATGGGAATAAATAAGTCATTACACCGAGTAACAGTAAGTTTATAGGAACGAGAATTGTTAATTAATTAATCAAATCAAGATCACACACATTCCATTGTAATTTTAAGATCGAAGTGGCGCATTTAAATACATTGCTTTCGTACATCTTTGTTAGTTAGAAGTTAAGAAGTCAAACACATTACTCTGATTTATTGAAGAGCGAAGGAAATCGCTCTCTGCTAATTATTTGTGAACAGTGGAGAATTCATCGCCTCGGCTATTTCATTTTCGATCCCATCTCTAAAAAAAATTTTTTTTTTTTGATGTAAAATAGCATAATTTTTGGGAGTTGTTGAGTTTTACGTTTGATGAGTCGAGTCATAGTTGTTAAGAGCTTGTCTATATGCCTTGACAACTTTCATATTCGAGATACCAATAAATCAAACACTATATATTAAATCTAAATACTGCTAAATTTACTAGGAAAGCCAGTTAGGTCCATGTCCATGTGTTTATAATTGTGCGCGGATGACGTTATGCTGAATTATCAAAGGTTTCTTGCAATATAAATGAATTTCCAAGAATTTCAATAGAGTTACGAAACAGAGCGAAATAGAAATTTTAATATTCACGACGGATGAAATTCTTACATAAATTTAAATAAATAATAAATTATAAATTATTGGATATATAAATTATTGTTGTTTATTGAATAAATTATTGAAATTAACTTTCAATTTTATGCCAGAAACTAATTAATTTTGCCAAAATCATTTAAACAAACTTCAAAGATGTTAGAAAAAACTGACTAACCATAATGAAAGTAAATAAATTGGTGGAACGAGTTTTGAAAATCTTATAATAAATTTTAAAATTTTCTGTGCAAAAAAATTTTTTACACAGAAAAAATCTCATTCCAACCATATTTTTCATTTTTCTTGATTAAATTGATTGAAATTTGAAAATAAAACTCGATTGCTATGAATTATAAAATTTTAATCAGAAATAAATTATCAATATAAATTATCAAATTTATTTATATGAATCAATTCTAAATAAAAAATTAATTAAATTTTATTTTATTCCTAATATTGTTGGAGATTTCTTTTTATTCGTTGCGGTTCCTTGGTAAAAATTTCTGACCGTGCCAACCAGCCAAATGAGCCCAACTAGAATTGATATATGTGCTTACCTAAAACTGCTACTGAGCAATATTAAAGTAATCGATGGTTTAAAAAAATTTTTAAGCAATCAAATCGATTCGGATATTTTTTTTTTTTAAATAACCGACAATATCATTATTTATGAAATAAATAAAGGATCAAAATCTTATATCGTAATATTGAAATAATTTGCAAAATGAAACCTGAAATGGAATGACCGAAGAGCATATGGATTCGATGGATAGGCATGGTGCACAACGGCTGTAACATTTTTATAATCGGGACATTCGTCTGGCTTCACGTCCAAACAACAATAATAATCCACTTGATTATGCCAACAACATAATGTTTTTGCATTTGGCTAAAAATTTATTATATTTTTTTTCATGCAAAAATATTTTTTATGCATTTTTCATACTGTCTTTTTTGTAAAAAAATTTAGAAATTTCCCTAAAATTAGTGACTTTTTCATTATTTATAAATGAATATTAGAATAAGTTTTGATGAATTATTGAATTTAACACCACTGAATGTTAAAAATTTTTACCATGGACACTTGATAAAATTTCAGATGGGTCGCTAGTACCACATCGCCCAGATTTTCCAATAAAAGATTTGCCTTTGTCAGGGAGAACAACAATTACGTATTCACGATAAGCACTCGCCTATCTTGTCACCTTTGTCACAACTATCTTACAAAAACTTTCTTTTGCCTGTGCAATTACGATTTGCACAAGATAACAACAGATCGAAACAGATTTTATCAGCAAGAAGTATGAAATATTGATACTTGAGAAAATTTTATCGAAATGAAATTTTATGTCGTCAAGTGACAAATTTGATTTACCTGATCTGGCAATGCATTAATACAAATACTATTCTGATGCGGAAGGCATTTACGTGGCTGGCCGTCTGGACGATACATTGGTCGAGCACCCGTTGGGCAAAATGGAATTTCTTTCCTTTCCAAGATTGCGCACTTATGCGCTAAAAAAAATACCTATGGAAAAAGATTTTTTTTTATATTTACATTATAAGACTCAAATTCAGATGTTCATTCGAGCCAAATGTATGTATAATAACAACAAATAATACAATAAGCAGAGCAATTATTGCTCAGATCTCGAGTATTAGTTAGGTTTTTTGCGATTGGACTCAAATATGCTTTTATTTTCAAATGAATGATCATGAAAGTAAGAAAACGAAGCATGAAGGAAATATTGACAGAATGATAATAAAATAAATACGAACCTGATTCAAGAATCTTTCGAAAAAAATTTGGTCAATAATCTTAACGAATTTTTAAAAGCCTTTGGCATAACTTTTTCTTTTTCTCATAGCTCTATTAGTAAAACGAAATCGGCGACATTTTGCTATCTTTGGGATCTGTTGGAAATGACAGAGAGTAAGAAATAAAAATAATACGGTAAGAATTCATAAAACCTTCTTAAAATTCTAAAAAGGGAAAAACAATAAATTTTTAACAAAGCTTTTTAGATCAACAATATGTAAATTCATATAAAACTGTTTTTCCTTTCTCTTTGTTCACGCATCTGTTAGTTAATTTGTAAAGCATTTTATTATAAGCATTTTATTTTATTAAAAACAACAATCATGAAAAAATTCCCTTTGAATAGAAATAAACTGAATTTGATATAATTTTTACTAATGTTTATAAGAACCACCCAGATGGACAATGGAGCACTCCGAACCAGCAGTGTTGGATTTGCCGTTTTGGAGGATTGACGATTGACTCGCTATCGTCTTGCTTCACTGTTTTTTGGTCATAGCTACTCTCCTTAACTACATTCGTTTTTACTTCAAATCTGTTAAATAACCATTTTTATTTATTATCGTAATTGTTTTTATTCAGTGTCACACATTCTTTCTCCGACAGGATCTAAATTTCACGAAAAATACAATTTAGGAATATTTGGGAAAATGAGTCTATTTAAAATCTTATAAGCCGTGATTTAAGCCGTGTTTAAGCCTTTTCAATCGAAGGTTTCGAATTTTTCCATTTTATTATTATTTGGCAGTTCTCTACATTTAAAAAAAAAGATATAACTTAAATATAATATAAAATATAAAATAAATAATTTAAATATAATAAGATTAAATATAAAAAGATATATGAACTAGACATGTTTTAATTATAGTTTTTGTCTATAGTAAATAGAAAAAATGAGTGGTTAAAGCCCATTTTTGATTAGATTAGCTCCACTGGTTCTCTGTATAACTTTTTGTTAGGGAAGATAGGGGAGATAGACATTCTGCGATAAAAATACAGATGGATCGCCAACACAATCGGATTTTTGAATGGTAGATTTTCTCCCCTCGTGAAACAGCCAAATCAACACTATGAAAACTAAGTGCGTGTATAATTGAGATTTTTTACGAACTCAGCTTTTCAAATTTCATTGAATTTTTTTTACTGAAAAAAATTTTCACGATTAATTCAGTAATTACAACAAAGTATCTTCGGCAAATTTTACATTCACTGAAAGTAAAACAAATCAATCATTTCAGTGAAAAATCACTAGTTCACTTCTTTATTTCGACTATAAAGATGTCAACGAAATATAATTTCATTTTTTCACTTAAGATTTCGACATCGCAACTTATTGAAAAATTCGTATTAATCAACTACTTATAGTTAATTTAAAGTGCTATAAGGAGAATGAAATTAAGAGAAGCTAAAGCCCTTTTTTAAAGGTAAGAAAATAAAACTGCGCCAGTCCCATTATTCCAGATTGAGTCGATAGGGAACTACGGTACTCGAATAAAAAATCTTTCTTGAAGATTAATCAGCGGATGAACCAGCGAATCTGGATAACATTTCACCTCCTACATAAGTATTAGGAAAAACTCCTAGTAAAAAATTTAGCAATTTTTACCTTGTATTAGGAGAAGAAATATTGCGGAGAAAGAACGCATGATGGAAATGAAACAATGAATATGTAGGTGAACAATTCAGTGGATATAGGTCGCCTTATCATTTATCTTTATCGTTTAACGATCTCGTTTGTAGACTGCAGTTTTTGATTCAATTGACAGATTGCAACATAATTGAAAGACAATCAAAGATGATAAATCCTTTCTCTCCCTTCAGCTTTTTGATTTTTATGAAAATACGATATGAATTTCGTCATCCAATTGAGAAATTATTCTCTTGATTCAATATTTTTTGTAATCGCCAATTATATATAATATTTTATTGTGGATGTTGCATCGACAGCGATTGTCATTAAAAATAAATTCCAGGTGATATTTCCATCCTTAAATGATTATCTCATAAGAGTGCGTCACCACGGTCTGGTTTCCGCCAAATTAAAAGTAATGAAGAAATGAAGGAAATCAGGTATTCTTTGTATGAAGGAATTTAAATCCTCGATCGCGATTCAAATCACAACTTCTCATTTTTTAAATTCACCATGCAGTTTTAAGCAAATTTAGCATAAAGCATGGTAAACGATAAGAAAAATTTTTGACAAAAAATTAGCAACAATTTTCGAATGAAAAGTATCACTAAGAAACTAAATGACTAACTACTTAACAAATCCGCAGGTGCGTGTGCCAAATTTCTTTGTGTGCAAAAAAACAAAAATCGACCCTTTCCACAGAATTACAAATTTCTCATTTGAACTTAAGGATAGCCAAAATAAATAATTCGCTATTAATTACTGAATTTTAATCTCAAATTGCTGTATGCAAATGTAATGAATGCAAATTTCAGTAAAAGAATTTATTCGAAATGCTTCTTCGCCTTCTTCCAACATCACTCACCATTCCCGGCTCGAATGATTTCATTCATGGGAATGGGTCCCAAGACACATAAAAGCATAAATTATCAACACCCAGGAATATGGCTATTCCCCAAATTATTAAACTGACAGCAGCATTTTAATTAAAACTTTTTAAACTTAGACCAAAATTTTTGAAAACCACATCATTAAGAACGTTATCTAAAATTTGCCATTGGTGAACAATGAATTCAATTTCATAATTCATAAGCACCAAAGATAAAAAAAAATGGCATCCTACTATGAGAGCGGAAGTATGTTGTAATTCTCCTTTTTTATTTTCGTTTTCTTTTTTATAACAATAATTTGTTTAATTCTCTTCTACTCTCCCATCCTCCATTACCATATTATCGCCTTTTCCATTTCCATAAAATTTAGCTAATTCTTGCAGTTCTAATCTTTTCACCAGTAAAGTCACTTAATCCAAAATTTCAGTCTTACCACCTTTTTCTCCCACTTGTTTCATCGCCAATTAACATGGTCTACCACTAGAAATTTTTTCAACTTTTATTAAACAATACAATATAGCAAAATAGAAATAAATGGTAATTTAGGAAAAATAGAAAAAATCCTTAAAATAAGACCAGGTCAAAATAATGCGGCAAAAATGAAGTGAAAAGGAGTGAAGAAAAAATTTGAACAAATAAATCTTAAAAGTTGAATCCTCGAAAAGAATGGAAAAAACGAATTTCAAATCACAAAATAATGAAATTAATAATTTAAGAAAAACTATTTCGAGTACTTCTGAAGCAATTTAACCAAACTTATAATTTGAAATTTAACAAAATTTCTTCACTTTTATTATTCTGTAGAAAAAAAAGAAATTTTTTTGAAAAACACTGAAATTTTTTAGAAATACTGAAAATAACTGAAAATATTGAAAAAATTGAAAAATTGAAAAATAATTCAAATAATCGGTAACATTAAAGATATAATAGTTACAAGATCAAAAAAATTTTTTGGTGAAGAAAGTATGAAGGAAAAATGGTATTCAACATTTAGGTAAAATGGTACCGATTTTGGTTTTATCGCTGCAGAACTTGTTGTGATGTAGTTACAAGCGACTTGAGAGCAGGCAATACTGTTGAAAATTCAACAAAATCGCGACCGGACGCTAACTGTGAACATAATGCGATGCTCGCAGCATATTCCCCTCGTGCAATATGTTCCCCTAACTGTATAAGTATCGCATAAGTCTCATTAGTAAACTGAAATGATATAACAAGAAAAAGCAGAAAAAAAATTTATTTTAAAATAGTTTTGCTAGAAAATGCATTCTTTAGAGAAATGATAGAAAAAATAAATTAATTAATTAATCAGTGATTTACCATGTTATATCTAAAAATTTTCGCCATGAAGAAAAAATATTCGAAGTTTTACTCTGATAAACTGATGATCAATAAAAAATGAAAAAACCTTAGTTTTGGCAAGGCGTGGTATCAGCTCATTTGTTATTCTTAATTCAGCATCATCAAGTCGATGAAGAATTACCTACGGTAAAAAAAAATGAGAAAGGATGAAAATGTGGTCAAGAATTCGAAAATTAAGAAAAATAAAAGAAAAATAAAATATCACATGTAAACAACTAAGTTCCAAATCTATATTTCGACAGTAAGAATAAATAGTTGAATAAATCACCGGAATAGTTGTTTTCTCGCGAATCTTTGCTAACAGTGTCTTTAAAATATCAAGAAGCCGTTCATCAGTGCTATTCAATTCATATTCAACTTCTACTGTTTTTTCTGGCACTTTATGATCATAAGAATTAACTGAAAACAATAGTTTAATGAAAATCATTCATCATCAAGATTAATTTTTGAAACTTATTATTCACTATTATCATTCACTATACAAATGTCTTAGAAGGTATTTTAAAAAGCACTCACGTGAATTGTTATTCTGATTAACAAATCGTTGCATCTTAGTATTTCGTGCAAAATTCGATTTATTGACATCTTCTATTTGTGATCTGGGAATACATCCACAAGGAATGAATGGAAGATGTGGAATAAAGGCCTGTTGTTGTGAATAAACTGGATGTTGTTGAATATAAGAATAAGCTAATTGGCTATCAGTACTATATATTGAATATCCAGCTACTTTTTTATAAACCTGTTGATGCTGGTGTTTTGGCATGTTTGCCTGGAAATGTTGCAATGAATTTTTTGACCAATACCAAGTTATGGCGACCAAAAACTTTGAATTTTAATAATAATTTATCTTAAAAAATACGCAATTTAGAGATCGAATGAGTTTCGAAAAATTCGTTCGTTCCAACAAAAATGGATCAATAGGTTGCTCACAATCATTCGACAGTTGCTGCCCGCATACTTGAAAAAGCTCAAAACGAAGTGCACTAAAACTCTAAAAAAAATGTCGAGCAGAATTAAGAGAAATATCTAAAAAAAGAAAAATAAAAAAACAAAAGACATGAAAAAAAGATTTTGTTGTATGAAATGATCTCATTATTAGTTGACTGGTTAAAAATCTTTCTGTATCGATTTATTGATTTTAAATTATATGGCGAAAAATCTAGTGGACATTGAATATCCATTCAAAAAATTTTCAAATTATCTTACAGTAAATTATAAAAATAAATTATAAAAAGTACTTCTGTACAATCTGCATTTGAAAAGGGCTCGACTAATTTCCAAGCCAATTTAACAAAACCCCTACTGACCAACCCATTAACATATTCTTCAACCAAAGCCTGGAATTTCGGCCCAGTTCTTACAATGCGTGGACTGCCATTACCTGGAAATCATAGGCCTACCGAATTCTTAATTATCTAAATTCAATAGTTTAATTATACCTAGATAACATACCAACTAAATTTCTCAATGTGATTCCTAAAAGAATACGATCACTGAGAGGAAGGGATGAAACAGAGTCTGCAAATAGTTCAAGATTGCCACCAATAACGGCTGGAAAAGCTCCACTTAATTGCTCACCATCCTCGATAAGCCTTGAAGCCAATCTGTTGCAGATGACTCGAAGTATATTTGAAGGGGCCTTAAATGAGAGCATTTCCGAGATGAGACCACTAAACAAGAGTTTATATTACGAAAAAAAATAATCTTTTTGTAAATAACCTCAGCCAACAGAAATGAAAGAACTCTTCGCCAATCTGAGATTGGCCAGTAATCGACGAGTCGTTCCCACATTCTAGCAGCCATTAAAGCTATCGCTTTTGTAGAGTCTTCTACTGATGGATCTGAAATCCATTTTTCAAATATAAAATATGTTTTCAAATATATATTAAAAAAATGAATTTTTTTCATTGAGAATTTTTTTTCACTAAAAAACTAATAAACCATCCATCATTGCATCAACAATTGTAATTAACGCTCTTGGCAACACAACTGCTTGGGCGGCTAGAATTGCAAATAACCAATTTTTTTCCCGAATAGCAATAGCGATTCCTTTCTGAGAATCGCCATAACAAAAGCTGTTGAAAGCCACACCGCCCTCTGCAAACTGTAATAAATTGCCTTTTAATTTAAAAAATTTTTTTCCAGTTCTTTCTATGGAATAAAGTGAAAAATTTTTTCAGTTTATCAATATTAACACCAGAAAGCGATATGAACTATATTCCAGAAAAGCACATTTTGAAAAACTAACAAAAAAAATTTTCATAAGAATAAGAAAAAATTCAAAATCTACGAAAAACTTTGAAAGATAGTAAGGAATAATATCATAGAATAAAAAATAAAGAAAAAATAAAGTAAGATAATGATAAGATAACGTTTAAAATAAGAATGGAAATGAAGAAGTGTAATACCATTTAATAGGCCAGACAAATTAGCGATTGGTGCATATGAAAATTCTTTTTCGTTATGTCTACCATTTTTAATAATTTTACCATCACCTTCATCGCTTTCGTCATTTTCCTGTTTAATTTCTAACTGTTGTATAATTTTCACCAAAGCTTCATCAATATTATCAGGTTTCTTCGCTGAAATGCTAACTTCAATAATTTTTTTTTTTTGCATAAACATTTTCCTAACGAAATTGTATCGACTTCCAAATCTTAAAACTTTTATTTTATTCTTATTAAACTTTTATTTTATTATTCTTAATAAACATAATAAGCTTTAATTATTATAATTATCAAATATTCTTGTGGAATATTACCTAAACTTACAGAATAATAAAAACTTTTAATGGTTCTTTTTAAAGAAAAAACTGTAGAACTGACGCTGCTGCAGCAAACTCAAAAATGCTGAACGGGAATTAAAAACGGAATATGTCGAAAGAAAATTCCAAAGATCATGAACTATATCCAATGTTGAATTTACATGTTGATCACAATACGATGTTAATTCATGATTATCTATGGCACTTTGTAGTTCCACCACCGAATGACAATATTCTCCATCTTGTTCGAGCTAAATTTGCTCACAAAACTATTTTTGAATAATTTCAATTAATGAATTTACATTTCTTCATCTCATGATGACCAGTGAAGAAATAGTAAAATAAAATAAAATTAAAACCTTCTTGATATCCACAAAAGAATAAGAAATACCATTCTGATCGCATTCTCGATAAAAAGTACTAAACCTGTTGGCATATGCAAATGCTGCTCCACAGTGGCCACAGTTCATCCATGCTGGAATGACAGATAGTTGAGACGCCAACTTCTGTAAAACTTTGATCTCAAAATATAAGTAAATAAAAAATAATCTTTATGATATTTAAAAAAAATCAAATCGAGAAAAATTTGTTTTAAAAAAATTATGATACCGCTGATTCGGATTCTTCAGCGGTGAAAGGAATGAAAGAATTGATACTAATAGGATGATCGAAATAAGATACAGCGAAAAGATTTGGAGTAGAAGGATTCCAACATAATTGCCGAGGCCATCCTGAAAGATTTGTTGTCAATTATTTCAAATACTCATAAAATTTTAGTATTACTTTGTACAGTATCTTCGGTCTTTCACCTATAATTTATTCGCGTAAAATATCGTAATGTCTTAATCTTTAATCCTTAGAATTGTACCTAATACAAATAATATTTTGATATTGTTTCATAATGACGATTACTGTATCAAGAAAAATTTTTTCGATATCCGATATATGAGTAACTCAAAGACAACAATTTACTTCAACTTAGATCGAATGGAGAATTCTCATTAGGTCACTGAAATAGAAAATGGTACCAGACAAACTTTTTTCAGACACATTAAGACTGTTCATCATTATAATGCAGAAAACCGTAAAATATTAATGAAAATAATGAAAACTCTAGTAAAACATTACCTTTTATATGAATTTTTCCTAATAATTGACCACTGTTAGGATTTTGAAAAATAATATATTCATCTTTACCAGCAGTAGCCATTAACTGACCGTCACGAGCGCACCAATCCATAGCATAAACTCCTCTTACATAATAAAAAATGAATGATTAATTGATGAATGAATGATAATCCTCTAACTTGAATAAATAATTGATCAAACAAAAAACTGTGTGTTTAATAAAGTATACTTGCTATGAAGTTGATAAGTAATTACTGGCGATGCAGGATATCTCAAATCATATTTCATAAGAACAGGAAATGTATCCGACTGAGAAGCAGCAATAATAGTTGCACTATCGAAAGGGCTCCATTTAAACACACTCCATTCCATGTTTCCTGGAAAACAGAAAGAGAATTCGACAAAATCTCACAAGAAAAAAAAGAAAGAAAAGCCTAGACCAGAATCCGCAAAATCGAACACGGGTGCACCACAATGACGCAAATCCCAAATTGAGCAGCGCTCACTTGTCAAACTAGCAAAAATGTTTGAGAAAGGACACCACCGCACGCATTTCTGGAACGATATAATAAATCAAAGATTTCATAAAAATAACTAAGAAATAATACATCCATTTTGCAAAAAATTATCAATTAATTTAGTAACACACTGCAATTACAATCAGTTGTTAATTAACAACCTGATTTTGTCGTCTTTTAAAATTTTTCTTTTTTAAATAGGTAAACAGAGCGAAATTACAAAAAATTTTAGGTAAAATTTTAGGAAATTACAAAAAAATTAAAGGTTAAAACATACAATTTGATGCAGGAAATTGGAACAACCCGGTGACATAGGAATTAATGGATTATTTAAATCCCATAAAAGGATGCATCCTTGAGCTCCACCTGAGCAAATCCATCTTGAGTCTAAATGGTTCACATCTACTGATAATACATGACCTTGGTGGTATCGAGTTTGGCTAATAATCTGCAGCGTTTCACCTGAATGAGTAAAAGTTAAACCTTTTAAAAATTATTGACCATTTAACTTGACACTGAATTTTTTTCATTCACTAAAATATATTATGTATAAAAAATTAAAAAACTATTAATTGAAAATTTAAACTTATTTGAAAAATCCACCTTTCATGAAACTATATGAATCGATAACATGAAGCATTCCACTCTCGCCACCACCAATTATTAAACCCATCGGATGAATTTCTGTTCGTAAAGGCGAACATACGATTTCATTAAATCTTAATAATTTAAATTAAAAAAAGGTCTTTGTTTCAGAAATATTTATATTTATCGCTCATAACTTTAAATGGACGATAAGTACATTTTATTCCGGTGAAAATCTTAGTGCTTTTCGAAAGAAAATACTATTCAAAGGCAGCATTCCCAGAGACGCAATGGAATTTTTGACTTCTGTTCAGCTTCTCTTCTTTTTTCTAAATTCTTTCATCTGCGCTCTTCAACAATAATATCGCATCACCCCTAACCCATCATCTCAAGTCTTTGCTCTATGGCTATTATAATTTTTCACCAATGATTTTAAAAATTTTTAATTGCTTTATCCATTACAATATTTCCTTCCTTAAACGCTTCCTTAGGTAAGAAAATCATATGAATCAGATTATCGACAAGCAGCGAAAAATCTGAGAATTTAAAAAAAACTTACTTCATATTGGCATTGAAAGATCGATTGGCAGTAATATATGGTGGGCATTTAAATTGCGTTATCGATGCGAACGAAATAAAATCGAAAGATGCTGAACCTTCTACGTTCGAAAGATCAATTTGTCGCGCGGCATCCGTAACCACTAAACCAAATTCGTTTTGTTTCGTTTCAATCCATGAAAATACACCACATTTATGGTAATTCCTTCGAAAAAACATCACTGAAACAGAAAAAAACAGATTTCACAAAAAAATCAAAGATTTAGATTGAACCGACGAGACCCGCCGTTCTAAAATTTTTTGTAGAGCCTTTTAATAGGAGTAAAAAATCGGTTTTCAAATGTATTTCTCCATACGTGGCCCCGCTTCTAGTTGCAATACTTTTTGAGGACGCAAATACACATTACATCCAATAACCACTGCCGACACAATATTTTCTGATAAATGTAAAGTGAATATTTTATATTTGCATTTGGCGTTTTAGAAGGTTGTCCATCGCTGGTTTCTCTATATTGCACTTGTGCCCGACGATTCCATCAAATGCTAGCCCAAAGCTATTTAAAAAAGGCTCCTTCGGAACCAAAAACATTTGCAAAAAGTCTATTAAGTCATTCGGTACGTTCCCAATCCCACCGAACTGGACAAACACGGTCGGAGAAAGAAAATGAGAGAGAGAGAGCAGAAAAATTAAGAGAACGACGAAGACACTCGGACAGACGCGAACAAACACATAAGAATGCGAAATCTGCGACCACGCCAACTGGCAACCTCGCAACACCCAGGTGCAAATGACCACAAACTGACTTAGCACATCGACTGCAAAACTGCATTTTGCGGCAAAAGGATTACTAAAACTCGGATTCAGTTTAGATGCCTGAATCAATGCTTTAACAAGTTGTTTGTTACCTTTTGAATTGAAGCGTTTGTATTATTCCAGTGTGAAGACCATTTCGTAGCCTCTGTTATTGCTGCCACCAAACGTTATAGCCTATCACGTTATGGACGGCGTAACCAAGATTCTTCATAAGTTACGTTTAATTATCCAGCCTTTAATTAATTGTCCAGCCTTGCCTTGCCTTTTGAAGTCCAATTTAGGAGATTCTCCGCTTCGTATCAGATAAGTTCATCTTCCTTGATTGTCTTCTTGCCAGAGAATTACTGGACGTGAGCCTAGAAATAAAGACGGGCTGCCAGTATTGCCAGGGTTTCGCTTCTGGTGACAGCTTGGCTCATATCACGGAATATGAATCAGACCTGTGATGGTTTGATGTTAATGATTTAATTTTACCCTTTAATAAATAGGTCATTTAATTAGTAATTAGTAAAGTTGCAGATTTATATTTTGCAAAACTGATTATTCATTAAACTTCGAAAAATTGATTAATCTCTACACTCGGTTTTCAGTCGACTTACTTAATAACTCAAAGAATTTCTTTTTTATGGAGGTGAAATTTCTTCATTATTTCGATATTGAAGCAGGTAGCAGAACGGCTTTGTAGGTGTTGCTTTCCTCTAGGAGCGGTGATGCTAAGGTTCTTTTCTCGGCAGGAGTAAACCAGTCTTCGAAAAGTACGGGTGGTGGTGGCGACTTGCGACTCACTTATGCTTCCACCACCAGGTGACTCCCTGGCAAGGTTCGTTTAACGTGATTTGCCAGTGGAAGCTTAAACCTAACTTAGAGTGATCTTAAAAAGTAAAGCGATGTACTCGTGGATTAGGAAGAGTAAAAAGCCAGCCTAAAATAATTTGCACAATCTAATGCATTATGAGTAATTGGTTTCCTTTAACTTTTTTTATTCGTTATAAATTCTCATTGAAACTGTTTTAACTCTTTTTTTAAACGGAATAAACTAAATAATGAATTTCTTTAGTTAGGTAGATACTGTCCAGTTCTTTAGCGTTAATTTGTCTACCTAGCCATGGTGGATTTGAATTGCGACTGGCCACAGAAAAGTTTTAAAACTTTCTAACAACAGAGAAAATAATAGCACAAATAATAAAAAAAGCAGTATTAAAAGAAATAATAATGTGAGGAGTTCCCTCGTCATTAGTTGATGGTACCGCCATCAAACCTTTGTTAAAATATTGGAACCAAATAAAAACGCAAATAAATAGGATAGGGAGCGAACGAAAAGGGAATTTTGAGAAGGAAAAGGATGTGGTATTAAGATACAAAGGACAAATACATATTTCTTTCAATACACAATTTAAAAACCCCAAACTCAACAAGCCCTTTCGCATAAGGTTTATCGCTGCTTCCATTTGATGGGTATGATGGAAATAACATTCCACAGTATTTATGGGTGAGACGGAAATGTAAATTTTTCAAATATTTAAATCCTCATCCTTGCACTTTCCTGTTCTGTTTAGAATTGCATCGAAGGTTCCTTCGATACGATTTTGGCTTAGGCTTCGGTTAAAAAATTGCAATCGCAGATAGAAAGTTCCGATGAATGCGAAACAAGCAAAGCGATACTATGTTAATTTACTTGAATTGAAAAATATCACATTTTATTGACAAGTTGCTAATCAGAAATAATTGTTGAGATCGGAAGTCGGCTCATCTTTCCTTTGACTTTTTTGTGCTGCTGTCTTTCCGGTCTTTCTATCTTATATCTTTATATCTTCTTAGTAGTCAGTTTATAGCAGTCAGCTTCTTTCGCCACTTGTTCTTTGGCGACTTTTCGCCTGCTGATGCCACCGACCTTTGAAGTCTTCCTATACTCAGAGCCGCAGGCAAAAGATTCGACATCAAAAAGCAGCTTTTGCATCCGCCATTCGACGACAATAATATCAAATTGTTAATCAATAAAAAATAATACGGAAATATGGTTGAACATTATTATTGTTATATAAGTAATATTAAATGTTCATCATTCCTTTAGGTGTGTTGGTAGGAATTTTATCAGGTAGCCATCGGAGAATAAATCCAGGTTATGATGAGCTGGTTTATTGTTATTAGCATTAGCATTCCATATTTAACTTCTTGCAAAGGTTTCTTTCAATGAGGTCGCGTTTTGTTCCAGAATGCCTTTGTGACTGAAAAAATTACGTTTCACGTTAACGCTGAAAATTCTCGTGCCTCACGCGTTTTATCATCTATCAAAATTTATTTAATGTAACAATATTCAGTGGATGAGAGACTAATTTTTTCAATCAACGGTTAAGAAGTTTATGATGAAAACTTTGCGCTTCATGATGAATTAACGACATTCGTAAATGGAGTGGAATGGAAGCAATACGTAGCACCATAGTATTCAATACCAACCAAGACAGCCCAAAAAAGTATTTGGAAAGGTGTGGGAAAAATGTGCCATCTGAGCAATTTTTCAGTAAGAGCATAATGATTTTTGCCCAAAATGTTGATTTTTCTGCAATCAAATAAATATTTCATCTATAACATTGTCTCAACCTCAAACGTTGTTCTATTCAAAATAAAACCTTCAACATTTCGGCTTCAGTCAAAGGACAAAATTTCGGCGCTTGTCGGCCCCTCTATAGTACTATTTCTTTTCGATTTCCATTGAAGGCTTTTTACAAAAGAAAATGAGCATACAAGCTTGAACATATATATATATATATACTGTATAACTATCTCTATTAAATAACCGTCTATCACTTTTTATCACTTTTCTCTGAACCAGATTAACAAAATAAAATTTAATAATTTAAATATTCAAATATTCAAATGTTCTAGATAAATGCATAACTTATGGAGCAAGAAAAGAAGAATAAAGTTGAAATATTATTCAAAGCTGTTGGTGATGCACCGATTATGAAACAACCGAAATGGTCGGTAGATGAAGACAAAACTATTGCTTGGTTGGCATCGTTCATTCGTCAATATCTTAAGGTTTTCTCGCATACCTTATAAGCTTTAAGTCGTATATTTTAGGCCGAAAAATTAGAAATTTAGTTTCTAATTTAGTTTTAACTTTCGAATTTAGTTGAACTATTTTACTAAAAATTGAAATTTATTCTAATAATGTTTTAAGCAACGGTTTAGATACTATTTTATTAAAAATGATACGTGAAGATAAAACTTGTTTACTGAAAAACAGACAATTGGTTGTGGCCCAGATTATCGTCACAAATATCTCATGTCGTGGTGTAGAGAAAAATGATAAAATGTAGAGAACTCCTCTACATTTCTATCTCTAGTGATTGACCTGTCCAGGTGTAGGGAACCCACATGTATTTCTATCCAGGCAAAAATTTCTCATTCTTATTCTTATTATCCTTATTTCTCATTATTTCTCACTTTTCTTTGCCAGCAGACAGTGAGGCTAACCAGAAATGAATATAAAATATTTTATGGATTTATTTAAATATTCATTTTTTTTGTTTTTGTGTTTAATAAAATATATAGCTGAATATAAAATAGATTAAAAAGATAAAATACAGCTACTTTTAGCTGAATTCGACGGAGAATTTGTTCTTCTTTATCAATCAGACATTCGCTCCATCCTTAGATCAGACGGTCTCCAATTTAAAAGAATGCTATGCTGTCGGTGAATCGCGGCTGGTTATGCATTACAGTTTAGTTTATGCGTGGGGCTGATTTTGAATCGTTTGAAGCTCTGAGCAAATATATTTACAGAAAAAAGCTATGTTTTTAAGCGTTTTTGCTTAATCTCTGCAGGAAAACTATATACAATAGGTTTTATTTGCGAAAATTTTTGTGGTGACACAATATTCATTATTCGTTTTTTTTTCGTTATTTATTTCGAAATCAATGAAACTCGTTTTTGAAACTTTTTCAACTTTCTAATTCTTCACTGCAGAAAAAGGTAAAAGAAGGATTATTTAATTACTTTATTTATCGGCTATAATTGAGGAGTCGAACTGAAAAAAAGGAAAAATAATATAGGTGAAATATAAAAAGTAACAAAAATAGTAACAAAGCTACATCGAAATATATATTTAAAGGAAAAAAAAATTTATTTGAGAAATATGGAATTTATTCGGAAAAGAATAAACTCGAAATTTTCCATAGGACTGTTGAGTGTTATATCGCTTTGATAATCTTTTGAAGAGGTAGAGAAACCTATTATTAGAAGGAAAATGTAAGTTGCCATTGGTGACTCGCTTCTCACCAAATGAAGGTTTTACGAAAAGGTTTTCTCCGTAATGCCGAAGCAACTAAATCAAAAATGGTGAGTATAGAAATAAATAAATATAACTAATCTTCACCTACTAAAATAAATAAACTGATTTTAATCCACTCATTTTCGAATTTAATCAGTTTCAGCGTAGATTATGGTTCATGTTAATTGTCTGCGCTGTATTCTAGAGGGATCACTATTTTTCAGCCTTAATTTTATGGTCGTCAGTTTGATCCATTTGAAACCTGGAATACATTGGCTGTGCTGAACTGTTAAGGGATTTCTTCCTTTTAAAATTTTTACTGAGTTTTCAGTTTTCAATTTAAATTTTGCGCTCTTTTAGCCCTCTGCCCTCTCAAGTTATTTTCAGTTAATTTAATGAGATGTGGGATATGTGACGGTCGAGTGGCAGATTTCGAGCTCAGCTCCTTTATATTTGAACTTTCATGTTGACGAGGGTAAACCTTTAATTAAAAGGGGAATCTGGTTGTTCGACGGGAGAACTCTTTATCTTTTTGTCTCTGTAAGTGAAAGCAGCCAAACCTAAATTGCTGTTAATGGAAGCAATAGTGCAGTTGAATAATAAAAATAATTTGTGTACAATAAAAAAAATTAGAAAGGACCTGTAATGGTTTGCTTGGTATATTACCTTAGTATATTATGTTTACCCGGAGAAAAGGCAACTTGCGAATTTTCGAAAAATGCCAGAAACGACGAACTATCCAGCTGTACGCTAAAGTACAATAATAATAAAGTAGATTGGATAAACGGGAATTATTTCCTACAAAAAACGCTTTTGTTGGTGCAGTTAGGTTTGTAGGTTCTATTTTCTTGAGGTAATGGTGATTTCTTTTTTTTTTTTAGTTCGAAAAGTAATATTGAAATGCCGAAAAGCAAAGCAAGTAATAGTGAAAATATTAAGACAAAAAAGGTTGGTCTTTTAAAACTTTTTATCAAATTATTTTATTAAAATTATTATTTGATTACTCATCTCTCGTTGCATCCTTTTGAAGATTAAATCATTTCTTTCTTATAGCAGATATTAGAAAAATAACAATTTTTTAGAAAAATAAATGGTTTGTAGGACGCTAAATATAGTGGTTGGAGGTGGTACTATTTGCAGTACTGCCTGATAACTGGATTATATATGCTTGAACCGTGGGAAAGGGCAGTCTTTAATATTTTTGTTTTAGTGATATTTACTGTGCTTTTTGCCATTATTTATACTGTTTTATCCCTTTAAAGAACGGTTGTTATCAGGTATTTTGTTTTTTCTTTGAAATTATTTATTTATTTAATATTTATTTATTATTAAATTATATATTAATATTTATTTATTACATAAATTATATATTAATATTTATTTATATAAAATATTTTCAACCACTCTTTAAAAATTGATTTGTGATAATTGATTTTTAACTTTTCGACTAGCAGTTCAAGTTAGTCTGTATTTCTTACTCCAGATGGTTGCATTGCGAAGATTTGTAGTAGGTAACCTGTGGGAGCAGTCAAACCAGTTATTCTGATGCCTGTTAAAAGGAAAATTTTTCAACTCTAATAATTCTTAATGATTCGCAAGTGATGTCCTTCGTTCAAAAAAATACGAATTGCTCGCGAAATTTTACCATTTTCAGATTATAATTAGTTTAATTTTTTTAATCGATTACTAATTAAGATAAAAATAACTTGGAAATCTCTCCGATTCATCATATTTTTTTCCAGTAATCAACAACATTAGTTTAATGTTTAAAGATATATAAGATGAAGAAAAACAAAAGGATTAAGAAAAAGTAAAAATAAAGGAGAATAGGAAATGTGGTTCCCCAACGGCGCAGACCATATAACCGAAAAGTTACATATCATTTTTACTTTTTATAAAATTTTATGTATAATATAATTTATAATATTTATATTTCTGTTTTGTATATTTCTATTAATCACTAGTTGTTTTATAATATTATATGTTATTTATATATATTATTTAATTATATATTATTATGTTATTTAATTTAATTTAATATTAATCTATAAATTTATTTTAGTTGCATATTGGATAAAGTCATTCATTGCATGGAAAAGCTTCAAATGATTTGAAATCTGAAGACAATAAAAAATAGATTGAATAATTGAAAAATCCGTGTTTGATTGAAAAATTATCTGGATGGAATATTGTTTTCCAATGTTTTTTCGAACTTTTTCTTTATTTTAGAATTTGGTTGAAATTTTATTTTGTCGAATGAAAAAAAAAATGAAAAAATTTTGATTTGCTTTCTTTATTTTCAGAAAACGAAAAAATTGACTGAAAAAAAGAAAAAAAATCAATGTTTTACTTATTTTCATCTCATTCAATTCACCTTATTAAATATTAAATATTTTATCTAATTCTTTTTTGCTTTTCACTGCTGTATTTCATTTATTTGCTTTTTTTTCATACTTTTAAAAATCATATTTTTATCATATAAAATCATATTTTTTATAAATATTTTTATCAGAAAATCACGTTTTAAACGTTTTCCATTTAATTACTTTGGGTGCCTAAAAAGTAATATTTGAATAGATTTTATACATTCTTATTTAGAATTTATACATTCTAAAATTTTTTATTTCTAAATTTCTAAAATTTTGTGGTGTCTTCTGGAAAAAATAGTTAAGAAATGAACAGAATAAAAAAAAGTGGATCAGGTCTACGTGTTCTCTGCTCACTGTTATCAAGTAACTGGAAAGTGCTAGAAATTTTAAATACAGTCATGAAGATGAGAAGAAATTTTGCTGCTTGATTATTTATGAACCCTACATTTTCTAAAGGTTATCATCAAATGTGTATTTTGCCTTTGCGATCTATTTTCCTTTTTTATGAAGATGGTGGACGAAAAAGGGATGAAGTGCGATCAGTCTCTTGGAAGTTCATTAGCTCACAATATCAGTTGGCAGGTTTACTTATTATATACTTTATGAATTTTTTGTCTTATTTAAAGTTGAGCTCCATTTTTTAATATTATTGTAGTTTTATTTTTTAATTGATATTATTGCTAATAATATAGTCAATAGTATACGTATAGTTTTAATAAATTCTTCTATAGGTATTCTCCAGAATTATTTCGTTCTTGATTAATATGTATCTTTTCCGGCGTGTTGATGGATCATTAATTGGTGTTGTTAATATTAAGTAAGTTTTTTGGTTTTTTCTGATGTATTAATAATGCTTATTAGATTTTTGGCAAATTGTTTAAAAAGCTTCGATTTTCTTTGTTTTTAGCGAGATTGCCAATTTATAAAAAAAATATTTGAAAAAACTGTTTGAATCTGTTTGGATCTTTGTATAGATTTTAATAATTTTTTGTTTGATTATCAGACTAGTTCATAACAAAATGGTAAAGTTTTTTCAGCTTGATGCTATTTTATACAACATGCATTTTTCTGGTGCGAGAACCATTTAGAAAAGCTTTTTTATCAAGTAACGAATCATTTTCAATGATTGTCAATCATTTATGGTTCGCGTAAGCTTTCTCGCATTTGAATTTTTTTTTAATTTTTCTCCTTTTGCAAAATTTTTATCATATAATTTATAAGAAATTATAAATTAATTGGGTATTTTCATCCTCGATATTGTTCAAAAAATTCTATCATTAAATAAGAAATATAGCGAAAGCGCAATAAATATTTTATCTTTTAATCTTTTTTGAAGTTCTTTTTTTAAAATTAATTTTTGGAAATATATTTTTTGCAATTTATATTTATATATTTATATTATAATTTATATTTGTGCAATTTGTATTTATGCATTATGTATTGTTTTAATTTTTTTATGCATTATGTATTTTTTTATTTTTTTTAAAAAGTTTTCTTTGGTTTCCATTAGTATGAAAAATCAAGCGTGGTTTTTTATCATTCTAAATTAAAAGTGTATTATTTTTATTTCAGACCAGTATTATTTCCCTTTGTTGCACTCATTCTGTATTATTGTCTTTGGTTTCCATTCTCAGCAACACCTCCCACTTCACTTGTCCCATCGTACTCATTCGCATTATTTTGTTTCGGATTTTCCTCTTGGTTAGAATCTTTAGCAGAACCTTTTATTATCGTATCGTTACGTTTGGCAATGAATGCGGAATATGCCTTCTTACAAAGTCTTCTCACCGTTCTTCAGAGATTGCTTGTTCTTATCTTTATTACTTCTGGAGTTCTGTCACATATTGATGCTTTCTGCTTTGCTCAGGTAAATTATTTACTCGTTTATTTACTGTGACTAAAGGAATCTTTTCGACTGCGAATTTTTATTCCTGTACTAATCGAAGTTATTCTTTGTTACGAACATGTTTTTCTTCAGATTATTTCTTCCTTATGCTATCTTATTGTTTCTTTGTTTTTGGTTTATCGCCAGTTCAATCGAAGAAAGCACATTTACTCATTGGAAAACTCTTTTAGGACTCTTTTTCCTAGTTTTATTTTCATACCATCAAAAAAGGTTTTTTTTATCGATTTCGACTTCAGTTTTTTTCTTAAATTTCTTAAATTGCTATCATTCCTCGATTTTATTATAATATTTATATTTTCATTTTATAGGATTTATCAATTTTGGGTACATTAATAGTGCATTCAGTTTTTAAACAAATTCTTACTGATGGTACAGCATACGTTCTTACTTTCACCAGTTATTTTACACTTTCTACCAAAGGTGAAAATGCCTTCTTTCATTTCATAGGCAGTTCATTTTAATATATATTTGCAGTTTTTAATATTTATTTTTTAAATTTATTTCATTATTAAGGTGCCTATGATGCAGTAGATAAACTTGGTAGTTTGGTTGCCCGTCTAATATTTGCACCTCTTGAACATTCAGCTTTTCTCTATTTTTCTTCCAACATTAAGCGAAATGTGCAATTGGATGAACAAGATTCAGTTTGTCTTCTTTTATTATATTTATTTATTGTTATTAGAAATACATTTTAAAAATTTCTAACTTATGGACTTTTCAGAAAAATGTGAAGAAAGCCACTGAAGTTTTGATAGGCCTTCTTCATTTAATAGTTGTGATTGGGATGGTGATTTCGGTTTTTGCTGCTCCATATTCTTATCTCGCAGTAGCATTCTATGGAGGCGATTTACTGGTCAAAAATTCGGGTTCGTTTTTCCGAATTATTTACGTTTCAAAAAAGTATTGAATCAGTTTAAATGAGTTATTGAATTGTCAAATATTTCTATTGCGGACAGATAGAATTCTTTTTTTTATAGATTTATTTTTTGATTCTGCTGTCATTCTAAATTAATGAGACGATTAATGTTAAGAGAATTTAGGATTTCGATTTGAAGGAAAATTTGAAGATTAGCGTGAGGGAATTTTTTAGCGAGGAAGCTGTTTTTCGTCGAGATGGATAATAAAGTTTGAAGAATGTTTAAGAGGCGCAAGGATGTTTAATTTATAGTCTAGTAAAAGAACTGGTCTGAAGGACAACAAAACTATTTTCAGAGTTAGGTAAATTCCTAAAATCTCAAAGTCCATTTCCTTGTTATTCCTTCGAACCCTATCACATTTTTTTACTTACCTGATCCATTGCTTTTTTTTAGCTTAACTAAATCTTTGTTGTACTTCCTCAATCACTCTCATGTTTACCTTTGCGATTTTTTTAATTTATGACTGCAAAGGTATACTTCGAGGTTCGAAGAAACACGTAGGTCAAAGCAGTAAAGAGTGTATTATTATTGAATATGGCAGAATAGGTGGTTCAGAAGTGTTGACACCAGAATTTCGCAGTTAGAGCCATGTTTTTTTGTGGAAGATCACAGCGCATTAATATAACTGTTTATTATATTAGTGTGTATAGTGTATTTATTATATTAGGTATTGATATTTCAGCTCTTAATTTCTTAGGTGCTGGTTTGCTGAGGCTTTATTGTGTATATATTGTTATAATTGCTTTGAATGGTATTACTGAATGTTTTACAATGGCCACGATGACCACTTATCAGGTGCTCTTTTTAAAATATTTTAATGTCTTCCTAAATATCTATTTGCAATTTGCAGTTGTTTTCTCATGGTTGGTTCTTTTTTGTCATTTCACCTCTTCATATAATTTCTTCATCGCTGTTTTCATTTTATATCGGTGCTTACGGCTTAATTTTAGCCAACATTTTAAACATGTTAATGAGAATTGCATACAGGTATGGGTTTTTTTCATACATTTTTTTGGTTCATTTGCTCTTTAAAAATATGCTAATTAGAAATATCTTAAGATAAGCGGAACATTAATAATTAAATTGCCGATATGAATTTTTTTAAATTCAATGGGCGACATATTTGAAGAAATTTATATATGTCGAATTTATATGTTGTATTTTATTTATGTATTGGCCATTCTTTCCATAAATTTCTTCGGAAAGGATATTCACATAAATTGAAAACAAAAAGCTTTTTAATATTCTTCGAAATAAACCATTTTTAACTGACTTTAATTTAGTTGGATTTATATTGTGCAATATCTGCATAAGGGAATCAGTGTAATGACAGTTTTACCTACTTTATCGACAATTTTTCTTCTATTATTTTCTTTGCTTATTTTGACTCTTTCGTTATTGGTTCGTTTCGATAAATTTTTTTGATTTAGCAATTTTTGGTTTAGTTCGTCGTGAATCAAGAAAGAAATAATTTTCAAATACTTGTTTTTGGATTTATAACTGATTGTTTATTTGTTGAGTTTTTTTCTTCAATTACCAGTTCTTAATATTTTGTTGCATTATACTGCGTTTGGCCGTTTTAAATTGAACCTCAATTTGTTTGATAAAATATAATGAGATAATTATTTATTTTTATTATTTATTATAACTATTTAATCGCTCTTTCTGATCTATCTTTTTTGAATTATATTAATTTTTTATCTTTTAACTATGTTTTTGGCATTATATTATTTTTTTTAGATATTTGGAAGTACTGGAGGTATAATTCATAATGGAGCACATCTTGCTGTTGGTGGAGCGCTTTTCTTTTTTGTTATCAACCATATTTATCATCAAGATATAAGTTTGGCTCATTTTGTTAATTCATATTTATATCATTTATCTACTCACAATCAGTAATTTATTAATTATTTCGATCATTAATTAATGATTAATTAATGATTATTGAATAATAAATAATAAAATAATATTATATTGGTATATCAAGGGATTCATTAATCAACTAGAATTCATCGGAAATTTGATCAAGTTTTTCTTTTTTTTATTTTTGTTTGTTTGTTTATTTTATAATTTCTGTTCAGAAGCGTGCATTTTGCTATTTCTATTTTAACATTTGTGTTCTCGCTTCTCGCTTTTATTCTCGCTTTATATGTAAATGTATTGTATTGAAGTATAATATTCGTTGAAATAGAGATGCTAATTGCTTATTATTATCATAGACTTTTAAAATTTTCCATGATTTCTCATAATTGGCGCTTCACTTTATTTTTTAAGAATTTTATGGCTTTAAACTTTTTTGAATTTAAAAAGTTCATTAAAGGTCGAAAATCTGTGGATGCAATTTTTAAAGTGATTGTTGATTTAATGTTGCATTTTATCAAAATTTGCATATATTGTGTAAGGTCACAGAATTATGGGAAGATTTTTCAGATTTTAAATATATTTAAATATATTTTTTTAAAGTAGTTCTCGACAAATAAGCAATATCAATTGTTTTAATATTTTTTTGCGGCGGTGTTCTTTTGTATCTTTTGTATCTTTTAGTTATTTATTTGTTATTTGTTGTAATGTTTATTTTTATTTTTCGGTCGGTTCCACCCTTAGTTTATACTTGAATTTATTAAATATCTACCAGTGTCAAAATTTTTTAGATAAATAAAAAACTTAGTTGGATCGATTGAGGACTAACTGTATAATCGAAGTTGTAAATGAAAGTCAATTATTTAGGATGAACAGATTAAATATTTTTTTAAACGATTTAGATGGTACAATGTTTTCATAAAAATTATTGTGGCTTTACGTTCGATGAAGAAAGGCTCTCCGACTATAAAAAACGAAAGCTGTAAGAGGACAAGAATCATGCGTGTTATAATTGTTGGTTTAATCACTCAATGTGTAATTAATACCTCCATCTGCACACAATTTATTATTTGCTAACTATCAGGAGATTAGTTTCATTTTTAAATCCTCAACAGTGTGGCATTTCTTGCTGAAGTAAGTTGGGTCGATCCTCAATTTTTTGACTTATGTGCGTATATTAATTTAAATTTTGCCTCTTTTATTCATTAGTAAGGAATTTATTGTTCATTGCTTATTATTATCATATGCGCAAATCATTAAAAAATGAATTCAAATTTTTAAAATTCTAGAAATTCTGTTCTGAGAATGTTCGCCTTTTGACGAATTTAAATACTTGCTTATTACAATTATTAGTTCATTAGGAATTTATTATAATACGAAAAGAGAATATGAATTAATCGAAGCATGCCACTCGGGCGTCGTCCCTCGCTTTTATCCCACAATGATGTGGTTGGTGCGGGTGCTGCTGGAGTTGCGACTACACCTCCGTCCCCAAATGTCTGCAATGAAGGAGTCATTAGTAAGTGGTTAAATAAGTAAGTGGTCAGCACTGTATGTTTAGACTCGCTTCACTGGTTGTTAGTACGATTGCAAAGTGGAGGCAGTGGAGCGAGTCAAATCGGGATTAGTATAGGAATTAAAATAGGAAGAACTTTAAAAAACTTTAAAAAGTTGCATCCTGCTTGCATTTATTCGTATATGGATATACAACAGTATTCATTTCTTTGCCGAAGTGATCTTTGCAGCTCTTAAAGGATTTCAAAATATGGCGATGTGTCTTTTTTAATTTAGTCGCATGAACGACGGTTGTATAGGTTTCATTATGGAAATTTTAATTTTAATTAATTTTAATTATTAATCAAATATTAGTTTAATGAATAAAATGGGTTTATAAATTCTACTCAAAAGTATTTAAGAGTTTATCGTTTATATTAATGGTGCTTGGATTCTGAATATTTGTTCTTTTCCTGGTTGCTTAGATTATCACATCGAGCGTCCTAGTTCGGCCGCTGGCTCCAGTAGGAGAAAGTCTGCTATTAAAAAATTCAATTGGTAACCTAACTGTGCTTTTATCCTAAAGTGGTGATGCATCAAAATTGTCATTCTAGCTATGAAACTGAAGATTTATCCGTAGATTAATTTTCGTATAAGTAAATACATTTATTGAATTATTAGAAATTGATGTAGGCAATTTGCGCTTAGGTTATCATTATTAGTATTATTATTGTTATTTATTTATTTATTGATAACCAGCCAAGCAAGGCGACAACGCCATGTGCTTATATTAATAATAACAATTGAGATAACAGAAAAAGAAAACACAAAAAAAATAACATAAACAAAATTAATTATAAAACAATATGACAAAAATTAACAATTTAAAGAGGAAATTACAGATCAATATAATATAGTACAATTCGAAGTAACATATATAACCTGAAGATAAAATCGAGATTTCTCACTTCCTGCAGTTCTTGCCTGGTGTAAACTCTTCTCTTTTTTTTTTTTTGTTTTTAAATAATATCGTAAATGATATTATCTAGTCTTTTTTTAAAGACAGCCAAGGATGACGCACAAGCTACATCGTTCGGTAATTTGTTCCAGTAGTTAATAGTACGAATAAAGAAGTCATGACTCTTAGTTTAGTTTTGCATATAGGTTTTAGTAATTTTAAGCCATTAGTTCTTGTTGGATTCAAATTTAGTCTAAAGTTATAATATTTCGAGCAGTCTAGTTTAGCATAACCATACAGAATCTTATATGTCTAAATTAAATCTTGTTTAATTCTACGAACTGAGAGAGAATCCATGTTATATTGTAGAAGTGTTCTTTTACAATTAAAATTATAATTTTTATTAGGAGAGAGGTGTCTTAGAAAATATTTTTGGAGTCCTTCAATTATTTTACCTGTTTTGCGATGTCTAGGGGAGTAACATATAGTATTGTAGTCAAGAAGAGGCCGAACAAATGCTTTGTATAATTTGATAAGAAAATTTTCAGTTTTGTTTTTAAACGGACGAAAAATAAAATTTAGTATCCTTGAAGATTTCTTTAGACTATGGTTCTGCAGTGAAGATCGAAATCGAGATTTTCATCCATGATTATTCCAAGATCGGAGATGTGTGAGATTCTACTGATTAAATTACCATTTATAAAAAGGTTAGGAAGATCAAATCCTTTAGAGTTGATGTGAAGAACGCTACATTTTTGAAAGGAAAGGGTAATTTGCCTGTCATATAGCCAGTCAGCTATTCTGTTGAGGTCCTCCTGCAGTGGAGATAGGCTATCCGTTCTACCATGAGAATAATAAATATTATAATATTATTATTATTATCATTATTTTTATTATTAATTATTATATTTGTTTTTCATTGATCAAAGTGAAGAATTATTTTTCAAATGATTTAAGAGGAAAAGATTAATTTTTAATTTAATTTATTAATTAAATTATCAATTTTTTATTAATTAATTTAGCAAATGAAAATTAATTTTTTTTGCAGCATTATTCTTAAGGAGCTACTTTAACACATATATCGTGGCAAGGATCAGGCTAATGTTGATGACCTACCAAGTAATTCTCTGGCAAAAATTCCAAACCATACCCATTTTTTTCATTTGTTTTCAACTATCATTTTTTCTTTTTTCATAGTTACTGCCATTACAACTTCGTAAATGTGAAAGTATATTCTCATATATTTTTCGAACCTATCATTAAAACCAAAATTCAGATGGTTGCTGAAATTCTGGAGAAGGGATCTGGTAATCAATAGAGCCAGCTTAATCTGTAAGATATTATTAAATATTAATAGAAGAGGAAGAAGAAATAAATCATGCAATGAGCGGTGAGCTAGAAAATATTGCAAAATCTATTTGGATAACGTTGTGATTTATTTTTTAGAGCTTTGAGATTTTTGACGTTTTCGACAAAAATAACCCATTGATTTGTGAAAATTTAATTAAAACGGAAGTGGGTAATTAGAAGTGAAACTCAAGTATAACTCAAAGCATTACTTTTGTTGTGATCACATTTTTTCCATCTTCAGCACTATGGCATTATGGTCGAAGGAATCAAATCGCGTTGCTATGGTGGTGGCTTTATTTATTTTAAATCTTACTTTCGTTCACTCTTTCTCAACATATATTATACATATATATTAAGAGGTGGGATAGTCGAGTAGATAGTTGATGATTTAGATTATCGACTTTCCCCTCAGTGCCAGAAATGAACCTTTCATTAAAAAATCTGGATATTGTCGGTGTATCGATGTATTTCTATCGCCAAGAATTCCTTAATAAAAATTCCTGACCGTGCTAACAGTCAATGCAGATGACGTAGCAATGACGCCGCAAATGGTAAGTACTGGCCACTTATATATGTGCACTTGCTGATGCATGCTTTTTGATAATATATTCGTGCTTTATGTAGAATTTTATTAACATTCAAAATGTCTCTACAATTTGCAAAAATAATCAGCCACTCTTCTTCGCTTTGTTAAATTAGGTGAAATTCAGTGATCAACTCTATGGAAAAAATGAAGTCCAGACTCATTAGTTTTACAAGGAAGATGCAAATATATTTTAACATATTTTTGTTCATCATGTTAAAAGAAATTTTCATTTTAGAAATCTGATATCTGAGATCCAACATGCTACTAGAAGAAATTTTTTTCTGTATGCAAACACTTTAAAAATGGGAAAAAGGAAGCTTTTCAGTTATAAATCTATAACTGACTAAATACACGAATATATAATAGAAAAAGTCTGTACAGATGTATCAATAAAATTTGATTTGCGTTTTTATAAATATTTGATTTATACAAATGGGTATCTAATTCATATCACATCGATTATAATAGGATTCCTTCTTTCTTATTCTTCTCTTTCATTCCTTATTTCTGATTTGACTTGTTTCACTAGCAGCTGCTATTAGAAATATTTTGCCATAAAATGACTTTATGGAACAAGCAAAAAGTGCGCAATGTAAGTTGAAACATCGTAATTTTTATTTTTTTAACTATTTTTTAACTTCACTTTCTTTAACAGGTAAAATCAAACCTGTAAGCTTAATTGAAACGTTCGACTATTCTGAGCCTATAAATTTCATTAAAATCCATTTTTAGGTGCCACTTTCACCAATATTTTTTGCTTCATAATTTTTAAATCTAAAAGTGGCTGAATTAGAGGGAATGTAATTTGAACCACATTGGTTATAATGAATATTATTCTCCTCAAATTCATTAATTTCCCATGAGAAAGAAGAAATCGATTGCTAATAAGATTTCTACCAAATAAATTTTGCCATTTCTCGCACAAATCCTAATATATTTAAAAAAAAAAAAAAACGAGGTGATTTAAATGAGTTTTATCCAAGTTGCGAGTAAATAAAATAAGACTTATTTGCTCTAAAAGCGACGAAAATAAAAAGAAACGAAGAAAATTTAGAGAAAAAAGGAAATGCCATCATTTAAGGCAAAATGTTCCGGCAATCATTATAAATTTCAATTAAATTTAACTGAGCACATGAAAATTCCAAAAAAATTTTAAGTTGATTTCAATCAGAAAGCGAAATTCTTTTTCAATGAATTTTTTTCTAATTTTTCGATGAATTCATTTTTATTGTTTGTTTTGATAACAATGGTGATAATTAGCTCAATATGCGTTGGTAGCAAAGTTGATTTGCAACAAGTTGTTTACCTATTTTGATGCCAATAATTTAATTTCCACCTATCAGCATGCCTTTACGAAAAAATCTACTTCTTCAGAAATAATGACAAATCTTTTCGATTGGTCAGCATCAATTGATAATGGAAAAAAGGCAGCTGTATACCTAAGATTTGGCCACCTTACTGTTTCCCATAGTAAGTTGTTAATCACTCTTAATAGTTATGGCATTACAGGAGCCCTGTGTAACTGGGTATCAGTGATAAATCTAGGCTATATGTGTTAACTACACTCTTTCTGACATGGCGTCTGTTAAATTTGGCGTTTTCCCGTTGTATTGCGCCATTACTTTTTTTATAATGCATAAATGATATCACCAAAGTGATGCTAAGCTCTACTATTTTTCTTTTGTTGATGATTGTAAAATTTATTATTATCATGGTAGATCGAATAACTTATCTTCACCGCAGGATAACATCGATAGAATTGCCAAATGGCTATATGACAGGCAAATTACTCTTTCTTTTTAAAAGTGTAGCATTTTACACACAGATTTGAAAGGATTCGATCTCCCTGATCTTTTTATAAATGGTATCATAATCTTACATGTCTCCGATTTTGGCATAATCATGGATGAAAATTTTGTCTTCGACCTTTATTGCAGAATCATAGTAAAGAAATCCTCAAAATACTAAATTTCATTTTTCGTTTAAGAAGAAAACTGAAGATTAAACGAAATTCAATTTATACTGAAAAATCCTGTATGGTTCAGTTCAAATTAAATCAAATTGTTCAAATTATTGCAATTTCAGGTTGAACCCAACAAGATCTAATGGGCTAAAATTACTAAAACTTATATGCAAAACTAAACTAAGGAATCATGACTTCTTTATTTTCGTACAATTAATTATTGAAATGAGCTACCGAATTTAATTGTCCGTCATCGTTAGCTATTTTTAACAAATGATTAGATAATATCGTTTGAATATTATTTACATTATGTTATGCAGAAACTTTGAAATTTTGTTTTCTGCAGTTTGATTATATATAAGTAATATATCCACTTCGAATTGTGCTATTTTGTAACTTCTCTTCGTTTCCTTTTTAATTTGTTAATTTTCGTTGTTTTCCATCTTTATCATTAATTTTCATTATTTATTATTGTTATTATTATAACTCATGACGCTTGCCGCATTGCTTGGTTGGTTTTCAATAAATAAGTAAATAATGATAATTAATGATAATAATAACAAATAAGTGTAAATAACAATAATAATAGCAGTAATAATAGGTATAATGTCATATAATGTTAATAATAATAATTATAATTATAACAATAAAATACAATTTTTTAAGCAACTTCGTAATACATACAATTGGCTTCATAGTTTTTAATAAATTTCATAAGTTTTGCATATTTTCGTAACGTTTGCAGTTGGTTTGCGCAAATATCTACTAAAACTACAAACTAAGTTGGAAGAAATTATAGGAAACTTTCTAAAAAAACAAAGATAGGAACGTCAAAGAAAAAGAACTGAGATCCGAGATCCTATTTCCGGATTAAATAAAAATTTAGTCGTGTTAGAACACGATTGGGCGAAAATTTAAATTCTTAGAAGAGATCTAGGATCCTGCTGAAGTTTTACAAAAAACTTAGTATGAACCAAAAATTTGTATTTATTGTACTTCTATATATGCAGTTTTTAAGAGAGAAAACAAATTTTTGATCCAGTTTTTAAAATAAAGCGTTCACCATTTCTGTTTAGACTCATTCCACAAATGTTGATGTCATGCGATTTTCTTAGAGAATCATCTGGCGCTATGCAAATGTGCTACCAGCAATACCCAGATTTTTCGATAGCAAATTTACTTCTACCGGAGACAAGCCTTTTGATGCTTAAGAAGATCAAGCCACTCAGCCAAGTTTCTGAAATTAAATTCGATTAAAATTATTAAAAATATAATTGGCATTCATTCATAATATTCACGAAGGAAATAATTTCGGTATTCATCATTCAGTCGACTTTTATATGATTCAGTTTGTTTAATTGGTTTATAATGAAATATGTTTTTTCATTTTCGTTTGCAAAATCACCAAACAAACAATTATCGCCATATTTTTACAGTGGCAGTCGATCTTTTGTTTGTTGGTTTACAGAATTTTTGCAACATTAGACCGAATGATTTTTTTTTTCCAGTGGCACTCACCATCTTCATTTTCGGTTCAGTTCATATTTGCTTAGGTGAAAACCGTTCACCAATAAGTCATTTGAAGAAATATGGAGGAGTTCCCAGCAATATTCACTTGAATGATTTTGAAAATTTATTCCATAAATTTTCATAACGCTTAAGCAAAGAAAAAAATCAAGCAGACATCGCTACAAACTTTTTATACGATAAAAAAATCTACTTTCATAATCAGTGGTGAGCACAACTTTTGAATTATTTATTAAATTTTCAAATTTTATATAAAATTTTTGTAAAAGAATAAAAAGAAAAAACTTTGTTTTTCATTTATTGGAAGCACAAGTTTTTTTAAAATCATATTTCTTGTAAGGATCATTTTAGCCATTTTCTTTTTTAGAACTTTTCAGCTTATCTTCATTCACCGCGTTATTCTTGATTAGTGAGGTCAGTGAGGGGTCAATAAATTTTGAAAAATTACCAAATTAAATAAAGTGCTTCGAATGTTTAAAACTTCAAAATGTTTTGTTTGAAATAAAAAATAAAATTTCGCGAAAAAAATTGAAAAAATGGTGAAACATGTGGACACCAATTTCAGTAATTGCTAAGCAAATAGGCACTAGTGAAAATGAATTTTATTTAATGCTATAAAAATTATTGATGGATTAGTTTTGTTGGCAAAAGTAATGAAGGCCGCAAAAAATTTTATTACAACACAGTTTTCGACCACTATTTTAAATAGTTTTAATTGATTGCTTTAATTCACTAAGGGATTAAGTAAATTAGATAACCACCATAATATGATGGATAATAATTCTTTTTCTTTCAATAGCCATTTCTGATTTGATTTACACTGATCTGAAATAATGAAAATGATATCCAGATAATCACCATAGTCCAGATTTCATTTGAAATTGAATGTCTCATGCCTCCACACGCGCTTCTTTAGGCAGCCAACTCTTTATTCTTTTTAATAATAACATTTGGATGAATAGGCTTTTTGCTGGACAAAAAATTTCGCAAAAAGTGCCAAAGACAAGTTGATTACTGTTATTTGATTTAAAAATGAGTTTCTAAGTTGTTTTTTCTAATTTTTTGGGATCGCCAGCTGGTTGTTACTTAGATTATAGACTCTCTTTTGAAGAAGTAAACTTCCATTCAAAAGTTGTGAGGTGGTGCTAGAGACTTATCGTCACTTGTACTATTCAAATGACTCGCTGATAAAAATTTCTAACCGAGGTGCGAGCCTGTCCGCTGGCCTTATTCTTTGATCTTATGACTAATTTTTCAAACTAATTCTTTTCTTTCGTTTCATTTGTACTATTTTTTTTAAATTTAGTTTATATTTAAAAAATATTATTTTAATATTGTTTCACCAAAATTTATTTATTTAAAATAACGAGACTATAAAAAAAAAAGAAATTAAATGAAGTACAGATGTTTCGGATCAAACAGCGTAATATTTTGTGCTGGCAATACAACAACGAAAATTTTATAAAAAGGAGTTCTTTGTAGAAGGAAAGTTCGCGATAGTTGCCAGTCGATATCAAATATTTTTGTTCTAAACATTTTTTTTATTAAAAACGACTCAATTCATTCATTCACTTATCAAATAGGTAATTTAATTTGCCATGAATCTTACAAACAAATTTTTCTGGCAAGTCTGTCGTAAAATTTCATTTTTTTATCAATATCGATAATGACATATCCTCTAATGTACTTCTTCTTTTAATAAAAGTTAGCACAAGTCGCTTCTTTCGATTAGATTTTTAATGCAAAAAAAACAATAAGGCAATTAAACAAATCGCAGTGAATATCAAACTTCATCTGAAATTTTCGCCTTTTGGCCACGAATTGACAAAATGAATTTTTTTCTCCAAATTGTTATTGCTTTTATTTTATTTTATATTATGTGATTCGCTCTAAAATATTCGAATTAAGAGAAGAAATTAAAGGAAATAGAAATAAATTTCAAAGACAAATTTTTTTTTCTGGATGCGCCCAATTTTTTCAAAAAAAATGATTAGAAAGGTGGATATTCGTACTTTGTTCATTCAGCCATGGAAAATAAAATATTGGAGAAATCTTCATTCGAAAAAACGAAAAAACGTTAATGATGCCTATCTTTATCCAATATAAAAAATTTAAGCCCAAAAAGCCATAATTCAAACCTCTATTAAATAGTTTTTTGTGTAATATTTTCGATTTTCAAAGAAATTAGTTTTGCCATCAGGCTTAACCTCGACAACATTACGCCACGATTCGCCAGTCCCATCGCCTCTTCTACGTAAGCCATCATTTTCTCCTATCCATTGCCTTGTTGAATATTCGTTCAAAACTCTGCCCTTATCGTCTTTTGTAGTCCATTTATTAGTAACACTTCGCTCGGCAGTCCCTGTAGATCTTTCCTAATTTTGAAACAAATATTATAAAATATTCATTTTTTCCTTACCTCTCTTACCTCTATAGTGATTTTATCAGTGCAGTGAGTGGACTAATCTGAGTAAAGGAAAATAGCAACCCTTTGCTACCTAGTGTATCCTATTTTCTTGCGTCTTTTGTACTCTGTTATAAGCAATTGCAATAATTTTGAGAATGATTATTTTATGATATGATATGGTCAATTTGAAGTTTAAATTAAATTTAATTTAAATTTCTTCGAATTATTTCCTCTAAATATTCATCTCGCACTATTCTTTCCTTTTCACTTTCTAATAAGTACTTATCATTTCTGGTTTGGCTGGCTTCACTAAGATCTGTTTATTTTTCACTAGAGATGAGTCAGAAGAAAATATAAAAAATTTAATATTTTTTCAATTTAAAATGAGATTGATTTTCTGGACATTTTTAAAAATATCGCTTGCTAAAGCATTGATAACGAACTTTATAACATATTACCGATTCCATTTGAATAGTATAAGAAAAGTTGGAAGTTCGTCAAAAGTAAAAGGCAAAATAATTTAAATAAAATTTATAATAAATAAAAATAAATGAATTAGATCAAATTCATTGGATGAAAATATCGAATTTCAAAGAAAATTAATGCTTCGTCTTACACCGAATCCATTTAATCTTTCTTCTTATCTTAAGATGGCAGATGGATGGCAGAAATCTAGAAAATCCATAAAAATCCAGTTTTTTAATTAACTTTGGTTTCTCCAGCCTTTACAACTTCAACAATAAATTATTTAGAAAACCCAACAAAAATTTTTTTTAGAAAAGGCTTGATATGAACACGAGAATTCATAAAGTTAAATGCTGTCTTTTAAAAAATTTTATTTATATAAAATCGATTGCAACTGAATAAATAATGCTCATAGAATGATTAGATTCCAAAGAATCCACTGAAAATAGATTATATAAATTTGAAGTGAAATAACGAAAATTCTTCTAAATCTTCAAAATATTTTCAAATAGCTTGATTTATCATTAAAATTGGTTCTGAAGCATTAAAAGCTATTCTATATATATATATATATATATATATTTTGTTCCTTATTTCTGATAGGCGTCTCTTAATAAACAACAAACAGTACAAATCTAATAAATAGGACCCATACAGACGAATGGCTTAGTTAAGTTACAGCTGTTGTCGTGCTTGTTACTTTGCAATTATTTTTTTTCGATGCACTTTCTTTTCTCCCTCGAAAAATCTCTTTCGATCGAAAAAATGCTTATTTTTTTTTCTCTTATTTATTTATAATCTAATATTAATTAACAATGGCTTCAAGAAACATGACATTCTTAGGCAGATAGCGAGTCCTGAATTGTTGTCACAAATGTATACTTTTTGGGAAAAGCAATTAACGTTTTTTCTGGCTAGGCTAAGTTCATTATTTTGCCACAGTGTCACTCTGCGGTGGAAGAACAAATGGGTCGTCAGTCCTATCCCAACTTTTTAATGACAGATTTATTCCCATGGTGCGAACCGAATTCTTGCCTCCCAACACGATAGTGAAACTATCCACTTGGTTATGAAAATATAAAATTGAACTGATGAGCGTCCTTTACCTATATGTGTGTCAAATATATAATAAAATAATGACTACACACTGCATTAATAATGATAAAGTGAGAAACAAAAAAAAAGGGATCATGAGGAATACAAGGATAATGTTATCACATAACAGGAAGATTTTTTTAAAGAAATATAAATCACTTAATTCCTGAATTAATAGATAAATTTAATGCTGTTAATTTTACACCTTATTTCCATGCTGATGCAATATTTGTGGAATGGCTCTTATAGAAAAATTTATTTCACAGGTAAAAGAAAAATATATGATTGGTGCAAGAAAGAGCACCAACAAGTAATATAGTTTGGTTAAAATACTGCAAACATTTTTGGAGACTTTGCAGATTTTTTTTTTAATAGCATATAGATTTTTTTAGAATAGCATTTGTTTTATGATGAGATTTTGTATTTTACCACTCAATAATTAATACTAACTTAAAGGATCAGCAAAGCCTTGTGCAGAAATTAACTTTACTTTGCATTTATTTGCCTTATCAGGAAGAAAAGACGTTGTATGTACAAAAAAATACTGCAGAAAGAAAATTATTAAGCTCACTGAAAAAGATTTGTAGGGAAATATTTTATATGATCGGAAATTTCGTGATAATTAGAAATTATTCCAAATGCGTAAAAGTGGTAATGGTGGAGAATAGGATTGTTGAATAATAGCCTTGATCATCAATACTCTACTTTTGGAGAAAGTAAATTTCTAAAGTAAACTGAAAGTAAACTGAAAATTTTCTGTGGACAAACAAATGCCAAAAAAATTATTTGGAAGCTTTGAGAAAAAACTGATCCGTTAAATTGATAAAACGAATTGATAATTAAGTGGCTAAGTGATTCTGAATATTGTGAATACAAACCCCATCACATAATAAAATACTATTGTGCTTGCAATGCTAGTAACATTTTTGTCCCAAAGTGACCGCCTGACAAAAATTCCTTATGGTTAGTGGAGCCTGTATAACGAGAAATCATAAGTGCTTTGACTACTAATGGCAAGACTTACGACGGCAAGAAATAATTTCAGTCGGAATTGAATTCCAGTTGTTCTTGACTATTTCCACTCCAGCTGTGTTATTTTTTGGTGGCCAATGCCTGAGAAAATAAAAAAATTCATTAACTCAAGTTAAATGAAGGGTGATTTAGCATGGATAAAAATCCTCCAAAGTTCTTGCCTGTATCTGCATGCTTCAAAAAAGTCTTGATTTCGCAATTTATTTATAAAACTTCATTCAGGATTTCGTTCTAATTTCATTTTCTTCCCATAATTTTATTACTATGTTTCTATGTATTTCATTAATTATTTTCACATTGGCGATTACGGCAATCTTATAGTTTGATAAATGAAATGTGGTTGAATTTATTTTCTTATTTCTTTTAAGTAATTATCGAACGAAATTACTGGAGAAATTTATCAGAAAGAATGGAAGAAAACAGGGCAAAAAATCAAACGATTCTAATGTTATTCTTACGTTATTTCATGCCCCTATTTATCAAAAGATTTTATTTATTTTTCTGAATTATTTTAATTGTTTTTTCCCACAGAATTTAACGATCACCCCTGTGTGGTAAAATTTTACTATTATTTCATGGGTAAAACTTTTTCAATGAAATATTATCGCAGCGCTCGTGAAAATTTTCAAAACTTGAAATTAAGACTTTGATATGTTCAATTCTGAATTTTCCATACTTTTTTGAATTCATCTATTTTGATCTATTTGAATTCTTAATAGGTATTCAATTTATTGAATGGAAAATCTTAAACGCTTAACCTCGTCATCTCCATTGCTAAATTTGAACGTGGTTCCACAGTTCTCGATCGTTGCTTTAATACATTTATCCTATCTCCATTTGTTCTAAAAAATAATTTACTCAATTCAAATTCAAAATATTCAAATTTTTTAAGAACAGAGATTTATGCAATTTTCATTACAAAAACCTTATGTTTTATTTTGCTTCGAATTCTCAAAAGAAAAACATTTTATTTTTTGATTCCTTAGTGAAAAACTTGTGTTCCAAGAGATTATCGCAACAAATTAAATCTAAAACGTTAATGAAACACTCGAAAATTTCTTTGATATTCCCAATAAAAAAAGCAAATAAAAGCGAAAAATAGCGAAATAAAAAAAGCGACATAAATTTACTAAAAATTTTTAAACTTCTTTAAATTTTTAAATTTTGAAAGACCAGAAAGCCGGTTAATTTCATTAGAATTAAAATTAATTTTATTAAAAATTAATTAAACGTTTATTAAAAACTCTTTGTTATCAGTTATTAGTTAAGTACAAATATGGGGACAAATTGCTCGTTGACCTGCTGATATGTTGGCTGTTATCAAAGCGTGAAATTAATGAAGCTAAGCGCGAATGGGAGTGAGATCTCGGCGCGAGGTATTGTTCAGTACCAATAGGCGTATAATAATCGTAATGATATCGCTCTATCGGCGTTTGTCGATTGTATGTGTAATCATCGCATGGGGTTGCAATTCGTGATCCTAAATGACTCTCCGGTGTGGCTGTTGCTTTTCGATTAATTGATGTACGTAATTCTTCTGCTTCCTTAATAGGCGAAAATACGCTTTGTCCCATAATAAAATTGTTCTCGGAGAGTCGGCTATGTCTACAAATATTTTATCTAAAAATATTCGAGAAAAAAAGTGTATGAATTGCCAGGAATTTTTACTTATTAATCGAACTAATTTAAATTTATACAATAACGAATGAAGAATACCTAAAATTACAAAAATTATCTACAAAGGGATAACATGTAATCTTTCCTATTCTTAAATCTATTTTTTGCAAATTTAAATTCATCACTTATAGTTTATTATCAGTTTTATTATCAGTTCTAGTATCTAACTGCTATATAAGTCATAACTAACATTTCAGCCATCTGTGGTTTAGACGCTCTGAAAATGAATTGAGCATTGGGATCATTTGGCTTAGAAATTTTCGATACAACAGATTTCTTTGGTGGTATCCAGTGTACATCTTCCTCTTCACCAAATACGTTATCTCGATCATCATATTCTTTTAAGAAGCTACTATGTGGTCTCACTAAATCTTGAAATATCATTCGCGCATTTGATACCGTCCAATCACCATCAACAATTTCACTATTTGGCTAAAAAATTGAATATTTTTTTATGAAAATTTCATGTATTTTTTAAAGTTAATTCTGTATTTTTATATTATATTATATAATAATTATGGTCATTAAGCTTGAATTTTACTCTTTAATTGAATGGCTCTATCACAGAAAAACCGTTGTGACATAAAGGTTTTGGATTTGAATTTCTCACAAAAGGATTAAAAAAATAACTATGATGAAAATAGATAAGAATAAAGTGAATATTGAAAAATGAAATTATTGTTTGCTAAAATAATAATTAAAATAAGTGAATATGATATGATATTTTTCAAACTATGAAAATTACTGATTTGACTTTCTCCCTCGATTTTTCCTTTTTCTGCTTCAGATAGGCGTGAGTTCCAGCCAAAACATCAGGAGGGAATAGAGGAACGGCCCCTTTTGGTACCTACCATAAATCTTAATAATTCGGAAATAAATTCAATTTTATGTTGAAAACCGAATAATTGCATTTGTAATTTTACCAAGAACGTTGAATGAACTTTTTTGGCAAATTTTTTTTTACAAACTAAGTAAACAATAGGAAACTAACACTGTTTTTCATTTTTCACCGTTTTTCACTCACTCAGTGATAGTAGCCGACAGGATGATGATGATTTCGATTTGGGAGTTACGAATAAAAATACCTCTAAATCGACCAACCTTTTGCATCGTCCCTACTTGAGGTGATGTTATCCAAATCGGTGCTAGGGGCGGTGGAGGTGGCGATAAAGGAATTGGATAGAGTGAGGCCGTTGGATCTTCATCACGCTTACAATTTTCGCTAATACGACGCTTAGTGGTATAGAATTGAGTTCCTCGCTCCTCATTTTGCTTTAAGAATTTTTCCTTTCTTTCGTGCATTTCTACAAAAAAATAACGTTTATCGTAAATAGTTAATCATCACCATTAGATTATCTTTTCATATTATTCCTAAAATCATGCACTAGCGATCAACCATTTTTCAGTTAGAATAGTACCACTTTGAAATTTTTAAAAGCAGCTTTGCGCAGCTTAACTTTGCGCGTCTGAGAAATTAGTTGCAACATCTATATTGCTAATTTTAAATCATTTTTCTATATTTCGCCATTTATATTCATTAATTTTAAAAAGAAAAAATAGAAAATAGAACGACTTACCCGATTCGTTCGATTTGGAAAGAGGCGCTCCGGTCGTTGAAAACTGGATGATGTCGATCTTCTCTTGCTCTTCTTGATTTTGCTTAACTGCTTCATCTTTCATAGTCCATTCATTATCGAAATATTTTTGCACAAAATCGTCTAAATTCTTATCTTCTGTCTGATTAACTGATCTTTGCATATCATTACCAATCAACGCCATCAACCAGTAAATTCCGTCCTTTAAAAAAGTGCAAATGGCTGTAAAAAACCTCAGGATTAATGCTGCAAATTTATGCATCGATTCGATTGCTTTATTGACATGCTGTTGATTTAATCCACATATACGACTAGAACTGTCTGAGAACATAAAAAGTGAAGTTCGTCGCTGAAAAATGCAGCGGCCTTTTTCCGCAACAAAATCCTCATTTATTCCACTTTCTCGCGCATCTTTATCTTGGCTGCAATATTCTTTCGTTGAATTGTGTAGGCAACACACCGGTGAATTTCTGGCACATAAGCAATCATCTGTTTTTTGCCATTCCGGTTTTCCTCTGAATGTCTTTTTCTATAATTCTCTTTTTTTTATAATAATAATATTCTCACTCAAAATATTCACCCCTTAATTAATTAAATGATAAATGGTTGCTCCTAACATGAGTTCAACCCCTATGTATTCTCCGTATTTTGGCATCAAATCTCATCATCAAAAGTGAAATGCAAGGAGTATATGCGAATGCACCACATTTTTAACTGATAACTTAGAATTATTTTAGCAATTTTTTAAGTTATAAATTAATAAGTTATAAACAAACAATTGAAAAAAACACACTATAAACGAATTAACCCCTCTCTTATTAGCTATATTATGTCAACAATAAACACTTTAAAAGCTTACTTGAAAAGGAAATAGAAGAAATAAAAGATGAAAAGAATTATTTGGTATAAGGCAGCAAGAAGAGCGTGCAGCATAATCACTTAGTAAATCAGTTGGCTGCTTGCTAGCAGCTGCTTTTACACATTTCTCATCGTTTAACTAACATTTTTGTTATTATTATTCTTGTTTCGATCAAATTTCGTAAAAAGTAGTGTTTACAAGAAAAGGTGCAAGAAATAAACAAAATTTGCAAAATGAACAGAACATGCGAAAAGTATTCCTCACACTGCTTTGAAATTTCTCCATCGAAATGGTACAACAATATCGAACACTTTTCAAGTAACCATCATTTATGAAATTAGTGTGGTAAGTACTAAATTATTATCAGAAGGGTAAAATAAATCACTGGCAAATTTCAGAGGAATTTCAAATAATATGAAAAATATTTAATAATTCTTTTTTTTACTTTTTTAACAGGCTTTTCGCGCTCGCAATTTGTACGATATTAATCAAGATTATCTCATTTCAAAAATTATCTCATTTTAATCATAAATTTAATTATTTAATCTCAATAAGCATTAAACATTGAAGGAATTTTAAAAAATTGCAGCCATTTAGATAGATAGAGTGCAATGTAATGCAAGCAAATAAACTCTGCAAATGGCCAATGTTATGTATATAGAGAAAATTTTAAAAAAATTATATTTTTTATATTATATACATATTTATAATTTTTTAAGGCCTAAAAGAAACTGATAAAAAAGTTTGGTTTAACTGCAAATTGATTCATAAGTTAGTCGTATACAGTGGATAAATTTTTTTAAATCGATTTCTCAAACTTTTAAGCATTTTATTGGCTTTATTTCTTTTTTAAAAATGAATAACCGATGTGTAGAGACTCATATCACTGTGCTGAGAGGCAAGAGTTCGGGTCCAGCAGAAGTCATCCGGGATGATAATGGCGTCCCATGTATTTTCATCATTTCCTGGCAAAATTTTTCAACCCACACTAATAGCCAGTGAAGGTAGTCTAATCAAATATGGTGTGCATTAATCATTTATTTCACTCGCAAAAAAAAAGTTAAATTCGGTATAAAAACGTATAGATTATGTCTCTTTTGTGCACTTTTTCAATTTTTTGTTATTCAAGAAAAATGAAATCAGCTTGTTTAAGTGATAATTTTTACATTATATGCATTTTTGGAATTTTGGCATCTCGAGAATACAAACTTGAAAAATTTAAAAATTATTGTCAAATTAATACTTAATATTTTATTAAATAATTCCGGTTATTGAGTGATAACTCTTCTTTTTCTACCAGCACTCATCATTTATAGTTTGGATTCCTCGAATGATCATTAAGATGGGATCTCTGCTGGGAAAGTACAGATGATTCCACAGTAGGTTCACTCCTTTCAAGAAAAGAATTCATGGTGCTTGATTTCAAATTTCCACTCGATCTTTTCGGTTTACTCATTGAATAAAGAGTAAAAAATTGATCGCTTAATTTATTAAGAATATCAACTTATAATTGATAATATCTAGCTCATCAATAGAAAAAAACACTAAAAAGTTGAATTTATAACAAAAATTACTTTCCATCGAATCCTTCATTTTCCACATTTTTTTTTAATAGATATTCAACATCAGTTAATGTTATTGAATAATACAAGATAACTATAAAATATAATTTGCGCACAGTTCTTTCATCGATTTTCGTATTTGTTTTTTCAGTGATAAAAAATTTTTCAGAAATAATGAACTAAACGACTCGGTCGATGGATGAAATTTAGAAAATAGTGACAATTGGTACTAAAAAAGGATATTTTAGCTCTTTTTTTCTCACCATCTTACTAATTTTCATTTTAAAACCAATTATTTGATCGAAATGTATACGGATAAAATGGAAGCTCAAGCCGCTCATATGCGAATCGTTTCATCGGCATCATCCCTAGCAGATTCATCACAAAGATTGCTATATGCTCGAATCATTACTGTTTTGCCATGTTTAAGAGGTTTTTTGGATTCGGAATTTTGTTTTTTATACATTTTCTCACCAAAATGAATGATTAAATATATATCACTTAAATTTTTTGAAATATTTAATTATTTTATGCTTAAATTCATCCAAAATATGAATTTAAAAATATTTAAACAAATTAAGCAAAAAGAGTTTCGTGCGATCACAAAATTTCATATTTTTCAAGCACTTCCTGTAATTCATTCATAATTTTAAAAAACGACCTATTTTTAGTGATTTTAATAATGCATTTCATAACTAAAATAACTAATAAATTAATTTTTCTTTTTCATTATAAGTTGTGGCTAAATGGACGATTACCTAATTAGGGGAAACTAATGGGTAAAAATTATATGGTTTCATGCTAGGATTTTACGATTTTTTAAATGAGAAAATATAAGTAATTTTGATTTTCTGCCTCTAAAAGTAATTTCCATTCAACTTGGAAATTGAGTTAAACCAGTCATCTTATTTAGATAATATTTTTTCAATTTGTGATTTCTTCGAAATATTCTATAAAACACATTTTAGAATTCGGCTGGGAACGACGAGCGCTTTTGCGTGAAGTTATACCTGATATACAACAATTCGCTTTTCACATGGGTGTTGATATCGAATTTATCAACCCAGTTACTATTAACGATGAATCTGAGTTGTGTAGCGATATTATTAATATTTTGCAACGACCATATTCTTATGTTTTGGTTTTTTTTTCAATTTAATCAATTCAATAAACTCAATTTATTTTCAAATATCGAAAACAGTTACTTAATAAAAATAAAAATATTAATAAGTAAAATTAATAAGTAAAATTAATAAAAATAAGTAAGTCAAATGAGAATTGAAGTATAGATGACTGGCCATTACCGCTCGGGTTCCACTTATTTATTGTTTTACCAGAAAATCGAGCATACGATGGCTAGTAATGGATACCAGTATCAATGGAACATATCATTCGATCATCCTCTCCCATTTATTTGCATTTTCAGTGTTTTCTTGGAAATAAGTATGGGCATGAAATGCTTCCGAAAATTATTGCCGCTACTGAATATGATGCGATTCGAAATGCTGGATTAGAAACTGGCTGTGGTTATAAATATTTCTCAGCTTTCAAAACAATAATGTTTTTAAATGATAATAACAATTCTTTTAAATTAATTTACAAATTGTTTATTTCCACTTATCTCATTTATTTCAAAATCACGTAAAAAAATTTTTAATAAAAATGTCGAAATCATTTAGACATCAAAATACTTGACAATTACTACATGCCACACAGCACATGGAAAGGGAATGAATATCGACTAAGGTGCAGTCAGAAATGTTTGGACAATTTGAAAGATGTTATCAAGATTATCAAAGAAGGAATGAAGCAGGTAATTATTGCAAGGATTATTGATTAGGACAACAATTTAATAATGATATGATACTAGATCGATTCTTCTAAAAAAAAACTTGTCTAGAAGATAATTTTCTAACCAAAAGACCATTACATTTTTTAATAGATGCTAAATATACAACCTGTTTAATTCCAAATGATACTAATGATGATACTAATGATGAATAAATCTGCATAGGCCTGTGATGATGGTCTAATTAACCAAGCAAATTCGAAAGGAGATTTTTTTTTTGTTTCTGCTCTAGAATATATTGTAATGTCAGCTCTCAAACAACCTCAAAAAGCTATATTCATAATCAGAAAAATTGAAGGTTTGATTATTTCCTAATATATGCTCATACAAAAATGCATTTATCTTTATATCAAATTATTCCATATTCCCTGATTATTTATTTTTATATCAGAATTAGAAATTTTATTGGTGCTTTTTATAAAAAATCTCGCTATAGCTAGTTTAATCTATTTGTGCTATTTTGTTTAAATATCTTTTGCTTTAATCTGCAAATCCACAGAATACTGCGAAAATTTGTAATATTTCATTAAATTAGGATGATTTTTGAGTTGTAGCATTATAATGAAAATTATAACATCACATTTAAATAAAAAAACCAAATAAATCAACAAATTAAATGATAGATTTCTTACTTTAACGACTGAATCGAATTGTTTCTATCAAATCAAGAAATTTAATTTAGATAATTTAGTTTTCTCAGTATACGACGAATAAAATTATAGGCATTGGTGATGATGAAGAAAATTCTGATTGGATTGAAACAGATGAGGAAGCAAACAAGAAAATGGAATCCTTAAAAGAGGTGGTAACCTCCAGTGAATCCAAGAGAATTAATTTTAATGTGCAACCAGATTCGACATTTATCGATACGTGGATCGGAAGTCGATCACATGACAAATATATTGAAAATTTTATACAGAAGGTTATCTATTTACTTAGAAAATTGGTATTTTACAGCGAACAAATATATTTTAATGAATTATAATTTTTAAATTAAATTTAGAATTAAAAACTTTTCATGGAGTTTTCTAAATTCCAGCAAAAATTCTCGCTTTTCTCAAAAGCCTATCCATTTTTAGTTAATCGACTATTTACGGTCGTTGGTAATATTAATTGCATCGGGAGTTAAAGAGAATCCACAGACAGAAATTGATATACATATAAAATTTGCTCAGTCACGCTTACCACAAAAGTGGTTTCAAAGAATTAAAGTAGATGAACAAATTGAAAGATGGATAGATGAAAGTATGAAAAGTGCTTATATACATTTGTATAGCGGCAATGCATGTGGCAAAACTGCAATTCTATGTCGTCTATTGTCGCTGTTGAATGACAAAGAATGTTATGTGATTATAAGGTTAGCCTGGATTTCTAATTTGTTATGTGGAATTATTTTCGAAATCCGGGATTGTCTAGAGATGATTAAAATGTCGATATTTCATGCCAAAGCATTTATTATAAATCCATTTCTTAAAATTTTTTTGACTAGTCTTATTGCTTTTAGATTTGTTGGTCTTACTCAAAGCTCGAACTATGCGCATGAATTGTGGCATAGCATTTGTATGAACCTTTGCATTCTTTGCGGTCGGAGTACGACAAAACTGCAAAATTCATTTCATCTTTCCTCTACTCTTTCCATTTTTAAAGCAATTCTAGAAAATCTGGACAGACCACTTTTTCTTTTTTTGGATGATGTGCATTTAATAAAATTTGGACGTTCTCTTAGTATCGTGGATGCACCCTTTAAAAATCTCCTTCCAAATTTAATTCTTATTGCAACCTCTAATACAAATATGTCAATTCCTTTCATGCCTCCACCTTCCTTCTTCCAAATTCCAGAATTCTGTGACCTCGAAATGCTCAATTTTTTAAAACATTATTGCAATGAAACAAGAAAGTTGAATACTGGCCAACTGGATCGAATTAATTATCAAGTAATTTTAAAAAAATGTTATTTGTCCTCAAAAAAGTATTAAATTTATGTATTTAAAAATGAACCCTTTCTAATTCTTAAACTGTCAGATAATTCATAAGTTCTTGATATGTTTGTAAGCCTTCTTGTTTATTATCTCTGTTAAAATTTAAATTTGCTATTGACAATTTAAATGGAACATTTGATTTGAAATGGGAGCTGTAGATCAAATAATGGTAACCATGAATAAAGATTTCTGTTTTCAATAGATAATTTTTAGCTGGGTAAGGATAGAAATTTGGTTACTGGTTTGTTTTTCGCTGACCAAATGCTTGAGACTGGGCGTTTTTCGAACAACCTAGATCATTTTCTCGCTGAGGCTGAAAATCAAATTGGCGTTCAATTTGTGCAAGAATTCGCTCGATTACTGTCAGTTTCACCGAGTGGTCTGACAACTCTCGAACTGGCAGATCTTTTTCGCTGCAACGACAAGTTAGGAACAGAGTGTGCAGATTCTCTTAGTGAACAACCCTTTCTAATCTACTCAATTATTGATCATTTCGGTACATCTACGAATAATTCAACTTGATTCTTTTTGAATTATTTATTTATCTTTAATTTTTCTTTTATATAAAAAGAATGTTTATTATAGAATTTCAAATATTTCTATTAGTTCTATTAATTTGATAGTCCAGTGTCGCAGGTTTCGACAGCCGCCGAATTAAATTATTTTAGAAAAGAAAATTATTTTTTAGTAAAGAAAAAATTCCATAGTGTCCAGAATTAATGGCATCTTTTAAATATGTTTTTAATTTGACTTGGTCTAACTAATGAGATGAAATTTTTATTAGAGAACCACTTGGAAATGGCTTATTTTTAGATGAAGCAATATAAATGTACGTTGCATCATCACAGGCCGAAATTAATATCGAATAATATGAAACAAGATACAATAGTTTTATTCTATAGACAATAGTTCAGTAATAAAACGAATACCAATAATGTGGCAGTTATTTTAATTCCGTTCCTTTTCTTAAAAACAAAGCCACAGATAACCGATCTATGAAACACTAATGCTGTTAGCCTTCAGGACGTCTAATTATTGAATTTGTTGATGATAATCGCCTTGTTTACAAATGGAGTCACAATTTTATCGCAAATGTGATTCGAAATCGTTATTTTACAAAGGCGGTAAGTCATCGAATTTTCACCTTTTTTGATGAAAGGATAACTTCTCGCTTTATGGCTATTTATTGACAGTTTTCTGGTATCTCCCAAGATTTATTCCATAACCTCAAATCCAAATATTTCCTTAGCTTGCCGCCAAGCCATCTCTTATTTTTTTATTATAGTCCATTCATTTGTCTCATCTGATTGTTCTCAAATGTCTGAACATTTCTCTCGCCAGTTTTTGCTCAGTCACAAATCGCAAAACTGCAAAAAGTAGTTTATTAGGGAATGGATGTGTCGAAGAAATTTGGCTGAAATTGATGGTAGTCGTTTTAAGTAAATAACTGGTTAGCGCTCACCATTTCTGATTACCAGCATTGCCGGTTAGTACGGTTATAAATTTTTGTGAGGAGCCACTCGGGGCTTTTTAACCACCGTCATAGGCCGAGTCTTTATTTTTCACCAAGAATTTGAAGCTATTTATTCTTCTTACCACAATGTTCAGATGTTTTTCGCTAAAAATGGATAAGATTATAGACACAATTAAAGCGAGCACATAGTTTGCTGGCTGATTTATTTGCCGATATAATAACGGAGTCAGAACTATCGTCTCGTTCAAATGAAACAACAGTAAATATTTTTCCTCGGAGTCTAAAACGACATAATGGTACCATGAATATCCGGAGAATCAACAATTCATGGTATCATCTTCTTCATACAGGTTATTTGTTGTTCGATAAAGTTAATTCAATTATCGTCTTTGTTTAAGGTCCTAAAATCATTATAAAATTTAGGCAATTTGGATTCACTGAAAGAATTTGCATTGTGTTATTTTGATTATGTTGATGCTTGTTCACGATCATGTGGCCTTTTTCGTTTGCTCAGCATTTATGAAGAATGTTCTATGCAAATTCTTCATCGTGATATTCAGGTGTTCAATAATTCTGATAATTCTGTTAAATAAGCTCTTGTTAGCTTATTGTTTTTGAATGCATTCCTTTTTTTCCTTAATGCAGTTTGTTTACAGTTTGTGGTAAGAAATGAACCTTTTATCCATAATTATAAATGACTTTAGGTTTTGTTTGAACAAGTTATTTTACCTTCCTTGAAAACAGTCGTTCGAGATACTGATCAGCTAGCCGCAGAATTAATTGGAAGACTTCGTTATACCAGAGGTGCTTATAATAATTATTTCTAATCATTGGTTTTTGTATTGTTTTTTTATTTTAAAATATAATTCTAATATGTATATCTGATTATACAATTATAGAAATGATTATGGTGATTATGAGTCATTAAGTCGTTTTCGACTCCTAGCGGCCATACAGATAATGTGTCAGCTGTGACTTCTTGACCTGTTTATAAGTTTTTTAATAAAAACAAGAAGGTTATGGCATTATTTTTAGCACTTCCCACAGCTCGAGATGACCAATACAATTAAGGCTTTCCTATAGTTAGTAAAGCATATGCTGACTTATTTTTCGACCTTTCACGTCCACCATATATTGGCAGTAATCTCTTGTATTTCTCGGTCTTTTCTGAAACCAGCTTAAATATGGCATCTCTATCTCGATGTAGTGCCACAATCTGTATTGGATTGTTTTGTTAACATGTGGAATTAAGGATATTATACGATGGTTAGCATTCTGTTAAGTCTTCTTTTCTTAATATTAAAATGTGGGCTACTCTCTTCCAGTCGGTTGACCTCTATTCTCCTTATTTACTGGCATAACCTAGTTAGAACTTTGATTGATTCTACTATTATCAAATATCACTAGGTATTCCATCTACTTCTGCAGCATGAATTCCGATCTAATTTTATCTTCTGATACTAGAAGTTCCAAAGGACATCATCCATGATATCTTGGATATTAGTGGCTATATAAAATATTGCAGTATATTCTATCATTTGATTTCTTTTTGAATTCCTATAAATAGTACCATCTGTCTATTAACCTTATTAATCTATTAATCTTTTACCATATCAATCCGAGATTACAATTTCTTTCGGAATTCGGAGCGTAAACTTGAATGATTATCATTAATATCACCATCGGACCGGGGCATAGTTGTGCTGACCAGACGTTCATATGAAGAAGAGTGTTAGAAAATCAGATTGAAACCTACGTGTTTCCACTTTGCAGCTGCCTTTGATTCGATTGATGGAGTGACTCTTTGGAGGATGTTGGAACGCGATAGTATTCCAGAGAAATTCATTCGACTCGCTTTATTCTGCATATCCTGACACAGGTATGTGTATATGGGGAGCTGAAAGATCCTTCGAAATAAGAACTGGTGTCCGCCAGGGCTGGCTTGCTTTCCCCTATAATATTCAAATATAGACCGGATAATGAGCATCGCTTGTCGGCACTCAAGAGATGTCCAAAGAAATTCATAACATCTTATCACAGATCTTGAATAAGCTGATGATGCAGACCTTTTTGCTGACAGTTATGAAATTATAATGCTAAATAATGTATTAGCGACTGCAGCGAGAATCGGACTAAGGGTGAATGTAAATAAAACGAAAATATTTTCGTCTTATGTGCAAGAAGCTGATAAAATGCCTTTTTTTATAAATTCATTGCTGGTTTATGAAGTGCTCGATTTTAAATACCTTGAATCCACTCTAATGCCAAATAGCCAAGAAAAAGATATTACAACACAGACTATGGCAGCTAGAAATGCGTTTTTCTGAAAACCTTCATGAAGCCGTCGTGAAATCACCGTAAGAAGGAAAGACATCTACAAAGCTGCGATTCGTCAGATCTTGCTATATGGCTGGCGTGATATGGCCAATGAGAGTGGAGAATTAAGAAGCTATCTGCCTTTGACTCTAAGGTACGGGTCGGTTGAGCGGATAAAATATCACATGATCGCATCTACCTTCGTTCAAATACAAATATATGTATTAATTATGCTATCAGAGCATTGCCTTCGGTGATTAAGGCACGTTCTCCGTCGTCCACCACAGTAGTTAATGAATATTTCGTTACTTGCTAAACCTTGTGATGGTTGGTGTCAAAAGCGAAGTGGGCCAATCAAGACCTGGACTGATATGGTGGGAAAAGATTTTGAACGTATAGGTGGACCAGCAATATATGGACTTAGACGATGGAAAAAGGAATGGCTTCTTTTACTGTCGACGATGATGTGGTGTTTATCTCCCTGCTTAGCTGGTAATAAATATACTATTATATATACTGAACTCCAACTCAAGTCATTTGTCCATTTGCCTTATAATTTTAGCGATTTCCACAGTTTATTCTAAAACTTCACCAATTTTGCTGGAATCCACTGGCAATCTTTTGCTCTTCCTTAGAGTCTTTAATCCAAAAAATAGAAAAAAAATAATTCTTGGCGACTAAGAAAGTAGTGATAAAAATTTAAAATTTATTATAAATGTAAACTAGCATATCTTCCCAACGATATTTCAACCTATAAGGATTGTTTGCAAAATTTTCACAAAGCAATTTATGAACATTTTTTGATAAAAGAGAATAAAATATTGAACTCTGATATCATTTTGTAGTCATAATAAAAACAGATTTTCCAGCCTAAAGAAGAGTTCGATATTTTGATAAAAGTGGTGATTTTTTGATCATTGAAAAGCATATAAACATTGTCAGCACATTTAGCAACTACTTTGCTGACGTTTTTTGGACGGCAATGTTTCCTCCAAGCACGGCTTTTAATGCTCCATCGCTTTCAAATATTGATTTTTCACTATTAGATGTGCACGTGGCTATCTAATGCAGTTATTTACAATCGTCCTTATGCACTGGGCCCGATCAATTCCCAATGGAATTTGAAGATTTTCATGTGCAACTCCAAAAAGATAGACTATTTTAACCCCTCTAACTTTTAATTTTTTATAGAATATAATAAAATGCAATTATATAGAATGGTAAACTAAGCATATCGATTTTTTATTATTAATATTAGGAATTCATTCTCACAATTCCCCCCAAAAAAGGTCTATTTATGAGATTAAATGACAATATTACAGCCGAAAATAGTCATTTTTTGAATACTATGGTCGAGCAAGCCATGACATGGGTTGATATGTACAATAAACGACCATTACTCGTTCCTCTGACTTGTTGGATTGAACCTCCGAAGACGAAACAAGTAAGCCGATCCATCATAAATGATTATTGTTCTTTGAAACGAACTAGCCATACTATAATAATTAAAGAACATATATTATTCAAAAATTCAGAAAATTTTATTCTTACGATATGATTTTTTTAAAGATTGCCTTTGAGAAATTATATTCTGCATGCATGTTGCGCGAAAAAAAATCTTAGGAAAAACTGCTTTTCCAATAAAAATCTGAAAAAATTCGAAAATGAAAAATTTGAAAATGAATAAAAATGAAAAGTCGATAAAAAGAAAAACTAAAACTGTGAAAATATCGAAAAAATACTAGAATTTAACTAACAAAATATAGAGCTATGGAAATGTTAAGTTATATGTTCCTCCGTTTGAAATCAAGCGCCACTTGTTCGACTTTTGCTCCTTATTGATGTCCCTGCCATTAAAAATAAAATCCCGAGAAATTTCACGAACCTATTAGAGACGTTTATTTTTATTTCCATGTGCCTCCCTAGCAATAGATAGAGATAGAGATTCACTATGAAAAACGGTAGAACGAACCAAATGAGATGAATGTTGTTAAAAAATTTTTCCAGTTTCTTAATTTTTCCGATTCCACTTTATCCTTGTCTTCGACAGGAATAAACCTGTCATATCGAAAATCCGGGTGGCTGCAACTCTATCTTCTCCATGGCGAAAAGGTCAAATGCTCTTGAGACCGACTCTCTCGCGCTCTCCAAAGCGCATACCCCATGCCCCCAGTTCGATAGTACACACGATAAGCATAAAATCTGAGCGTAAAACGATTCCTTGCAAATAAAATAGGCCAGAATTATTTGAAATCTGTCAGGCAAAACGGCTTTCTGCACGAGCGGTGAGGTATTAATCGTATTAGCGTAGAACTTATGGACAGGCCAGGCCTGTCCACATTTTCATTGTCCACATTTTTTCTGTCGCGAAATGCGATGTTTTCTATTATTTCAAATTCATTATTTCAAACTGGTGACCCCGACCCTTTCATTAACTTAATAATTCTTTACATATGTCAATAAAAGGTAAAGGTCAATTTATAGTATATATTGTATATTCTTCTCAAAAAAATGGCTTTTCTTCCCTCATTTTTGGTGCCATCAAGGGACCCGAGCGGTTGGGTCCCAATATTTCAATATCATACACTTGTTTTTTCTGCCTTAATATAAGATTAATATTAATCGGTTTAATCACACAAGTTTGAGGTGGCGAATAAAAAGCAGGATCAAGGTTATTCTAAAATAGACAACGCGTGATAGGCGAGCAAAATCCCACTGCTTTCAAACATTATTAATCTATTTTTTACTCTTTCTAAATATCGTGTGGATGTCGCCTGTTTGTCGGAGATCCGCCTTCCCACCTTAAGTCTCGAGCACTTATTAAGTTTGAACCTAGTTCCGAGAGGTACTAGTTGTATCTCTTTGGTTTCGAAAAAATTTCAAAAAAATCTGGGAGAAATGGCATGACGATTACCATGTCTGAAAAAACTTGGTGCACTCTGATCGGAAGTTCACTATGGCATCATTGTTGTTCGCAGTTGAACCTCCGCTTAGAACTTGTCCTGTCGTGATCATCTGTGCATAAAGTTGGTGCATATATATTGATACAACTAGTGCCTCTCAGATGACCGGCAAATATGGTGCCTGGGTCCGGTGTATTAATGGAGAAAACCTTCATTTTGCCAAAGAACATGAATTTTTTATTACTAATACTTACCATCGTATAAAACATCTACTCACGTGAAACTTCCCGAGTGACCAACATTCCAACCAGATTGATTATATCTTAATTAGCAGTTGGAAAAGTTCCGTACTGGACAATTATTTTATTGCCACTCAGAAATGGGGAATCTTCACAGATGTTATGGTTCGATCTAAGATCCGCCTAAAATTAAGAACTTGCAAGAAATTATGTTGCCTAAGATTAACTATCTAAAAGATTCGAGTACAGTGAGTGTATTTCAAACTGAATCATTGAAATACCTCAGTGGCATAAATATCAATAACTTTTCTGGAATGGCAGATGAATACTGGTCCAAAGTAAAGGAATGTTTCTAAAAGTCAGCCACTTCTCTAGATCATATAAGTACGAGGTTATTGATTGGGTATAGGAAGTAACAATAGCCCAACTATCTGAAAAAGCTGCCAAAACACGAATGTCAGGTGATCCTAATTACCGAATGCTTCAGAAAATTGCAATGACAGTAGCTCAACGGAATTGAAATAATTATTGAAGTGATATGGCGTTGGAAATGAAAACGGCAGCTGGATTAGGCTATAATAAGGAGCTATAACCTTTCCATAAAGCAACTATAATTCGAGGAACGATCAGTAAAATGGTAAGAGTAGCAATGATGTGCATATTAAAAGTATTAAGGATCGCCTCATAAAATGGAAGGAATTCTTTGAGGCCAAACTTAACCATGAAGCGCCATCTGTTGCCCTGATATAGCTAATACCGAAGCATACGCTTGCAATTGCGAGTCTCCAACAGAAGAAGAAATAATCTCCATTATCCATAAGCTCAAGGTCAATAAGACTAACTCCGGAAGAAGATAGTCATCGGGCTGAAGTCTTCAAATGTTGTCTATGATAACGCAGCTTCAACAAAGTATTCTTTGGTATGGAAAGAAAAAATATTACCAGATGACTGCAGCAAAGATATTCTACTCCCAGTTCTGAAGAGAGATGACAGGACATATTGCGACAATTATCTAGGAATCAGCCTGCTAGACGTCTCAGCGAAAATTTTTCGACTAAATAGAGTTGTTGCAGTACCAGAAAGCGGGATAACAAGGTTGGATTCAGGCGCGTGGTTATGCTGATCAGATATTCACGTTAAGAAAGGTGACGAATATTACAAATATCTGCAATCTATCGTTACGTTTTTCATCGATTTTGCAGCTGTCTTTTCAATTGATAGAACGGCGTTCTGGAGGGTAATGGGACGCGACCGTGTTCCAACGAAGATCATTCGACTCATAAAGGTATTTTATCGTACTTAGGTTGGCCTATATATATGGAGAACGGACTCCGAAATAAGAACAGTAAAGAATTTTAATATTATTTCCTTTCCTCCACAATATTCAACGAAGCGATAGACTGGATAATGGGCATCGCTTGCTGACACTCAAGAAGAGTACAAATCAGCCCAAAGCATCACAGATATTGAATAGGCTGATGATGTAGTCCTTTTTGCTGATAATTATGATGAAATCCAAATAATGTTTAACGTATCAGCAACTGCAGCGAGAATCGGACTCATGGACATTGTAAATAAATTGAAACCTTTTTCGTTTTATATACACAAGCTGATAAAATATCTCTTTTTACTGCAGGTTGAAGAAGTAACCGATTTTAAATACCTTAGATCCACTCTAATACCGAATGGCTAAAAAAAGAAATTACAACCCGGATAACTGCAGCTAGAAATATGTTCTTTCGATTGACGAGCGAAATTATCATAAAAACGAATGTCCGCATCTATATGGCCGCAATGCGTTCCAACTTGCTATATGGCTGCGAAACATGGCCAATGAGAGTGGAGGATATTATGAAGTTATCTGCCTTTCACCACTTATCTCTAAGATCAAGCGGATAAAATCGCATGATGTATTCATTTTCACTTAAATACCACCAATACCACCTGTATTAATAATGTCATCACAAAGCATCGCCTTCGCTGGTTAGGGCATATTCTCCATTGTCTACCACAGGAGTTGACGCATATTTCGTTACTTGCTAAACTCTATAATGGGTGGTGTCAAAAACGAGATTGGCCAATCAAGACCTGGACTAAGACGGTCAGGAAAGATTTTGAACGTAGATGGACCAGCAACATATGGGCTAAGACGATAAAAAAAGGAATGGCTTCTAAAACTGTCGACGATGGCATCAGGCCGCGCTGCTTGGAAGCGTCTTACCTTTGTATCCGTTGGAGCCAGCCTAACCAGTAATGAGAAGAAGAAGAATTGGAAATTGAATAATCCTTATACAGTTTAAATTATCTAGTGCACACGATATTCAAATATCTCTTTCAATGAGAAAAAGAAATTTTATCAAAATATTTGGAAAGGAATATCATCGATTTAGTTAAAAAAAAGAAAGCTGTTGAAATATGTTACTGAAAAAATTACTGAAAAAATGTCCTTTCGTAAAAAATTTTAGGTCTTGTCGTTCATTTTAAAAGATTGGAAATCTTCCCGAACAATTTTACAACCAACTTATAATCACCAACATTTATTAATCTCAGGAAATGAATGTGCTCCAGGCTTCATATATATGTATCATATTGCATCGAACTTATTAATACGCACTTTTTCTGGTATTTCTTTCTCCCTTAAAATAACTTAAATAATTCGCATATAAAAATTAAATTTTGGTAAAACTCGAATCAAAAATGAAGAGAGAGCTAGCAGAACTCATATTCTTTTATATGAAAGTAAGGATTTTCATGGTTATATATTATATCTTAGGGCATACTGCTCGTGTAACTTCCATATCAATTAGTCGAAATGGGCAATTTTTCATTAGCACCTCTTTGGATGGAACAGTCAGAATTTGGACATTCACTGAGGCAAGAAATTTTCTGATAACACTTTTTTTTAAAATTAACCTTTAATAATTAAAGCCAATTTTTAAAGACCGATGCCATTGACGTTTTGAAACCACATAGAGGTAAAGTGACTTGCTCCTTAGTCAGCACGAATTTTCAATATATTTTCACTGGCGGAACAGATTCTTGCGTTCATGTAAGTTTTTATTGCTAACTATGCTCTGAAAAAAATTTGGCTGTGAATTTTTAGATGAATTTTTCATATGGAATAAATTCAGATATAGAAAACTATTCATCATGAAAAATTATTCTAAACCTTTTTCATTCTAAGACGGAATTAGTTAGTTAACACCAATTGTTTCTGATTAAAATTGCTCTGTCGGTTGTTAGTACTATAAGAGATTTGCCAACGAATCGTAAATTGACCAGCAGCAATAGCCATTACCCTATCCTTTCTTCAGATTATTTTAGTTTAGACCAGTATTCATTTGCCGTTCCAGAAAAATCATTGATATTTGTATCCCTGGGATGCTTCAATTCTCATAAAACATTTTTCTTTTCTTCTCAGATGATATCGATGGAAAGTAAAAAAATCGTTCGATCATTTCAAGAACATACAGGAGCAATTACCTCAATGGCTATTGCATCCAATGATGAATTTCTTATTATAGGTAAACCATATTTGTTGCATAATCCAGTTTTTACTGAAGAAATTCAGTTTGCTTCTTTTGCTGATGAAAGGAATTCTTCAATAATTTTTATATTTTTTAAAAATGCCTTTTTCTTTTTACTATTAGAAATGAAGAAAAAAATCACAGGATCTGGCGATTTTGTGGTTATAGTATGGGATTTAAGTACAGGTGATCAAGCAGTTCGACTAGGTGGCCTTATGGCACCAGTATCTTGCGTGACAATCACGAGGTAAATTGATTTTCTCATTGATGATTGTACAAAATTCCAGTGCCCATTAGAATAGTTCTTTTTTAAATATCTAGAATAGGATGGAGCAAAACTAAAAAAAAATAGGCTCAGAATATAGGCTTACATTACATTAATTTTTGGTGTTTACTATTGGATTTAAATAGTTGAAAAGCAATTTGGAAGTGTTTCCGGTTGCAGCAATGACGCTTTTGTTATTGTGGCATGCGAAGATGAGACTTTGCGGGTATTTGGAACCGTTAGCGGGCAAGAGCTTCATGAACTTCTAGGACATGAAGGCAAAATATTAGCAGTTGCAGCAGCTCAGGATGATTGCCAAATATTTGCTGGCACCACATCACGTATTTATGTTTATGACCTTCATAGTGGCAAATTACTTGACACATTGAACTGTATCAATCAACAATTTATATTCTCACTTAAGGTTCAATTTTTCAATCTCAACTTTTGACATCCTTCATTTAAATTTCCCTTAATTTCATTTTTCTTCGTTTTTGAGAGATTTCATTTTTTTAAATAATTTTTTTATTATTTTGTTGTTAATTTTCTTTAAGAATTCAGGTCCTGTAAAATCTGCATTTTTCCTAATTTTCAGATTACTAACGACAATAATTTTTTGGTCTCTGCTTGTGGTAATAAAGTTGATATATGGAATATTTTTCATTCATCATGCGATATGAAACACGCCAATAAGTTCGAAAAACAAGGTTATTGTGTTGAATTATTGATAAATAAAATATTTAATGGTGCAGTACACCGTTCTTCAAATATTCAAAAATATTCAACTATTCAAAAATCCAAAAGAGATGTCTGTCGAAGAAATTCATTAAGATTCTCCAGATTTCATTGATGTGCAATTAACTACTCTTTTTTCACTTAAAGATATTGTCACTACGGTCGCTATGTCAAAAGATGAGAAAAGTGCTGCATGTGGAACTAAATTTGGCTTTGTCGCAGTGTGGGATTTAGATATTTGTCAATGTATATGGACGGTAGGTTCTCTTTTTTTATTCTTAGCATTAAATCTTGAAAATTTTCTATCAATTAGCAAATCTATAATCTTCATAATCATAATCCCATATAAAATCAGTGGCATACTATATTTTATAACTTTGATATACTTTAATTAGATCATAAAATATATCCTACCCTTCGCTTTAAATATAGAATCTCTTAGTTGAAAAGTTTTAAAGTTTTATTTTATTTTGCGAATAGCCGAAAGGCAAATTTAGACCGAAGATTTCATAGCAGAAATCAAAGCGAAAAATTTTATTAAAGACGAAAAATTTAGTGATTATAGTAAAATAAAATTTAAGATGAAATATTTTTATCTGACTTCAAGAAAATTAACATTTCTCTATTTTTGTAATAGATATGCTCTATAACGACAGTAAATATCAGTAGTCCTTGCTGAAATAGCCTTTCAGTTGGTGCGCTTGTTACCATTTCGGCCAAATATTCTTGGCTATTATTGAATATCGAACATTGTTTTGATTTCATCGAATAAACATAAACATTCTATCCTCTCATTCATTAAATGATCGACGGAAAAGTATGATCGGTTCATCAAGATTTTCGCAATTTTTTGTCGCATTTATTTTTTTCAGTAACGATGGAATTTTTCAATAATCGTGAAGGAGAAAAAAGTTTTTTTTTAAATATTCAGTGAATCTTTAAGAGATGAGTAAATGTCAAGCGCAACATTCTCAGCGTTATATTTTGGTACCATTGGGGAAAACTTTTAAATCTTCGTTTTATTAACATATCTATAGAAAACCATGTTAAAAGAGATAGTATTATAGTGATTTTATAGTGATTTTATAGTGATTTTCATGTTAAAAGAGATAGTATTATAGTGATTTTATACTATTAAACAGTTTTAAAGGATTGCATGCCTATGGCCATCTATTTTGGCACTTTTTGACGAATACCTGCTTTTATTACCTTTGGATTATTAATTATTATTAATGGACAATTGTTGATTTTTTGTTTACGAATCTACAGCGGACTGTTGCTTTAGTATTAGAATGCCATTGCCTGTAATATCTTGTGGCTCAAACTTCTTTCCTACTATTCATTCAATCACACAGACATTATAAATATTACTGTAGGCGAGTCGCTTAAGCGGATCACATTTTCATATAAACTCGAAAATCCATTATTGCAATGAGAAAATTTGGCAAAGGAAGATATTGAAAACCAAATAAAAGCCTCCACACAATATTTCTGTTTCTCTGCACTGATCTTCATTTCATCGCAGAGAAAATCCACTTCTATAGATCCACTTTGGTTTCGATTTTAATTTTTTTAATAGGAATGAGAAGTAGAGATAGTAAAAATAATATCCATAGCCCAGGAAACACCTTTGAACTATTAAGTAAAAATAAAATCACACGAAATGGCGCTAAACTCATTACTATAAAAAAAATTTTTCATTGTTTTTTATTTTTTACAATTTTCATCATTATTACATTGATTACATAAATGCTTTTAGTTTAAAACGAAATTATCATCAATCAATTATCCAGAATCATTAAGAATGTTAAAAGATTTCCAAACTTTTAGATGATTCAAAGGAAAGGTATTGCTGTAAATTGCGTACGTTTCACCATGAACTGTATGTACCTTATAAGTGGTGATAATGAAGGACAAATATGTATATGGGAAGCATCGAATGGGTTTTTCCTCAAATCATTGGATGTAAAGCTTCTAAATTTTTTGCATCAAAAAAATGATTCAATAACTCAATCTTCTTCATGTTTGTAAATAAACAATAATTTAGCATCACAGTTCTGCAGTGAAAGCAATATGCTTTTTTATGGACGATGAACGTGTGTTATCAGTTGATAATTCCTCGATTATATTCATATGGAACATATCCACAGACGAATCTCCAGATTCCGATCCTAATATTTCGTTTAATGGTATTCGAGCACCGATTATTCTTTCACCATATGATGACCGAATTATTGGGTATCACCCGAGCAATAATAATGAGTAAAATTTTAATCTATTAAGCATTATTATAGAGGTCAATCATTTTATTGATCTACTGTCGTATTTAAAATTTCTTGATCCTTGCTTGCTAAGTTCTATAAAATTTAATATAGAATGAGGATTTGGACAATAATTGATGAGAATATTGTACCGAAAACGAAAATTTATCATAATGAAGAGATTACATGTTTCAATACAACGACTAATTTTTCACTTTTGGTGACCGGATCTGTTGATCAATCGTTGAAAATTTGGCAGATTGATACGGGATTCCTCATACAAGTTAGTTATTGCCAAAATCTGGTAGCTGTTGATAGCAAGAATTACTTATGTGAATTGTACTTCAAATCAAAATTTTAGGTATTAGTTGGACACGAAAATGGCGTAATTTGTTGTGCAATAGCGGAAGATGAAAGGGTGGTTATTAGTGGAAGTAAAGATAGCCAAATTATTGTATGGAATGTCTCGACAGGTGATATATTCCTTTCCATACGCACAATGGCTCCAGTAACTGCAATATACTTAACTGTAGATGCCTCCGTTGCTATTTCTGGTTTGTTTTTTTTATCTGATTCATTTTTTTAACTCGTTCGATCTTATACTCCTCTTTTCGTTATTTACTTCTTTAAGTCAGAGAATATTCATGAAATGTTATGTTTTTTGATATTTCTGATAAATCCGATCCTGCCATTTAGTAAAAAAGCCCAAAAATGAAAATTTTAATTGAAATTTAGTTTATCTAATTACAGTATATAAAGATTCTGATCCAAATTATTCAAGAAGATGAAATATGAAAAAAATGCTTATGGTCTTATCAGTTGGTTTCTTTAAGATGGTTCCATGTAGATTTGAAAACTGCGTATAAAAATTGAAATGAAGTGCATAAACGAGGATAACTGTTGAATTAATTTCCTTATGGTGAAAAAAAAAATCATAATTTCAATTTATCTATTTATTTATATTTTCATTTCCAATTTAAAGCTGATGAAACTGGCTGGATTGAAACGTATGATATGGAATCGGGACAACTTCTTTCCTCGTTTAATGTGCATCGTTCAATAAAATCATTGGTAAGTTATAAATTTTTTTAAAGCATCGACATAAATAAAGTTTTTTTTAAACCAATATTATTAATAATAATATTAAACTCTATAATTCTGTAACCCACTTTAGTTTTTGCAGGAATCATCTGCTGATGGAAATCGCATATTAGTTTTACCTGTAGAATGTTCTCAACTACCTATTCTTTGCCTTCATAATACGCCAGCTGGAACTGTACCTATCCGACAAGAACGACGTCCTTCTACACGAGCTCATAGCATTACAAGCGTTGGAAGTATGTATTAGTTCAGTATGATCATTTAGCATTTATTTACATACGCATTAAAAAAATTTTAGATTCTGTAGAATAAAAGAAAATTATGCTGTATGCTTTATAAAAAAAGCTTTAATTTTAGCCTTTCATTTTCGATCAAGTCAGGTAATAAATAGTTGAACTCTTAACTTTTAAACCCGAGCTTTTCAGGTAACATAAGTGAACCAAAGGCCTCGACTGTTTTGATGTCTTCACATCAGAATTCAAATTTAACGGCAACCACATCAAATGGTTTTAAAGGTGGACCGCGAACTTTTGATAAAATCGAACGGGCTCGACCGAAGCTATCTGTAGAGAAGGAGCGACCAACTAATTCATTATTATTAAGTAAGACTCACTCAGTGACCATTGCTGCTAAATCGGCTTTGTGTGCCTTGATATAAATTATTGATAAAATTCGGCAATTCAGTTCTTTAACGTTTTAATATTTAGTTTGTAATATATATTGAAATAAATAGAAAAAGGATATATATAAATAAGTTCATTGAAAGAAAGGAAATTTCCACCTAATTTTATAAATAATTGAAGCAATTTTTTGTTTGTTTTTATCATATATTTCCCAACTTTTTGGTCCCCTCTTTCTCTAGGTTTGTTTTTTATCTCCTTTATCCTTTATTCGAATTAAATATCTTTTGAAGCTAAACTAACCCTAACATTAAAAATTCCAGATCTAATGCTTTTTACACGTAATTTTTAAAATTTAAAAAGTTTTATTGAAACTGATTTTTTAAAGTTGTACTTGTTTTAAAAAATAAAGCAAAATGAAACTATAAAAATTGAAATCATAAAAAATTCATGAAATCAAATTATCTAAAATGAAAATCAATAAGGAAGTTGGACCTGAAATGCTGCAAGTAATATTTCCATTTATTTGGCTCAATTTTTAGCAAATTTTCAAACAACAGCGCTAAATTATTTGGAGTCTCCTCATTTTTTTGTGAAAGCTTTGTAACTCCACTAAATCCACTTCTGATTGAAAATTTGATGCGGGAAATAAAATAAAATTTTTCCCATAGTCTATATTTCAAAATAAAGTAATGGCATTTGCCTCTTCAATCGAGCATAATATCTATTTTTTACAAATTTTCACCCGCACTTGCATCGCTTATTTTTCGTTTGCTGGTAATTCGAAATTGCAAAGAAAGAAATTCTGATTCTTCATTTAAAATCAAATTAGGAATTTTCATGTTAGGAATATCTTGAAAGTGCCAATTAAAGTCATCCTAGAGTGCCAATAAAGAAATTGTATCTGCAAGGAATTGCATCTTCGTCGTTTTTTTCTGGAAGCAACCGTGAAATCACCATAAAAACGAAAGTCCGTATCTATATCTCCTCGATTCGTTCGATCTTTCTTTCTTCTGACTTAAACTATTATAAAAATAATACTTAAGCTATTATAAGCTTGACATGAATGCGAAACACTCTTAATTTTGAAGAAATTGAATTCCCTTGTAATTGTAGGTTTCATTTAAACTATCATGCAATCTATCAAATAGGCTAAGTCATTATGAAAAATCAACAAATTTTTTATTAACGAATCAACCTTTTTTCTTCAAAAGACTTTGCACTTGAGTGAAAAAAGTCTTCTTCTATACGCAATGCATTTTTGCATGAAGCAGCATCTTTTCGTTTTTTATGCGAAGATTTAAATAAAAACTATCAATTTATAAAAAATCAGAAAATTTGCCAAGGATTTTTATAAAGAAGAATCTACATCACAGTACTGCTTCTGATTTTATTAACTGCTGTAATTATATGCAATTACATATTTAAATTCTTCTTCTAACAACTCTCACCATTATTGGTTAGGCTGGCTGTACTGACTTAAAGGATAAAACGTTTCCAAGCGGTGCTATCATCGACATCATCGATAGAAGCCATTCCTTTTTCCATCGTGTAAGTATTGCTGACTGATCCACCTATACGTTCAAAATCTTTTCCAATCGTATCAGTTCAGGTCTTGATTGGCCCACTCTCTTTTGACACCACTAATCGCAGAGTTTAGCAAGTAACGAAATATGTGTCAACACTAATGGCGAAAGAACATGCCTGTTTAACGAAATATGTGTCAACACTAGTGGCGAAGAAAATGCCTGTTGTACTGCTAATGCAGATGAATGCATTCATGTGAAATTTTATCCTCTCGGCGAGCCCACAAAAAATATTTTGAATAAGAGTGGTCAAAGGCAAATAATTTCTTAATATCCTCCACTCTCATTGTCCATATTTCATACAGCAAGATCGAAAGAATCGCGGTTATATAGACGCGGGCCACTTTCGTTTTTATGGTGATTTCACGGCTGCTTCATAAAGATTTCGTCAATCGGAAGGACACATTTCTAGCTGCCGTAGTCTGGATTGCAATATCGTCTTTTTCCTGAACATTCGGTATTAGAATGGATCCAAGGTATTTAAAATCGGGCAATTCTTCAACTAGCAATGAATTTATAAAAAGAGGCGTTTTATCAACTTCTTGCAAATAAGACGAAAAGATTTTCATTTTATTTACATTCACCCTGAGTCCAATTTTCGCTAATACGTTATTTAGTATTATTTGTATTTCGTTATAACTGTCAGCAAAAAGACTACATTATCAGCTTATTCAAGATCTGTGATACTACAACGTTGTTGGATTGAAACTGATCCTCATTGGAACTTGAACAATTTAATTTCCAGTGGCTCTTCTTATAGCGAACACAGTCTTATAGAGATTGATTTAGAAGCGGCTTTGGACACGAATAAATATTCGGGTGAAAATTTTTTCTAGTGATCGGGGAGTTGCCTTGGCCTTTGTTGTTGAAACCCCTAATTCGTTTTTCTGGTTGTGGTCAAGACGACATCCGTTGAAATTCAATTTTTTTTTCATATATCACCTTCAGGATTCGAAGATTCCACTGAAGACTTTTTATTTTTCCTAAGCGACTCTTCTTGCCACTTTTGATGGTAATCTATCTTCAATAAAAATTCTTCGCAAAATTCTTCTTCATAAAGATTCGCCATGTCTCAAGATTCTTTGCTCTAAACAACCGAAACTTCTGATTGGGAGACAACTGCTCAAATTCATCATAGAGCGTTGCGAGGATTATTTGTGGATTTCCATATCGATACTCAAGAATTTTCCAAACTTTCTTGTAAGAATGGTTGTCAATTGCGAAGCCTTCAAGTAGTTTTTTTACCTCTCCATCTAGACACGACATCAAGTGTTTAGTTTATGGACTGGTTGCAGATTACTTGGCTCGATAGAGATCAAAAAATTGTTTCTGAATGAGAACCAGTGTTTCCATTAAACAAGGCATTTGCAACTTCCGCAATTGCACTGATTGAATATTTTTTTTGGGGATTGAAGCGGGAAGGATTGAGAAGGACAGGTCCGGAAGAGTTCTTCAATTTTAATTTTAAGTCTGAAGTGTACTGATCAACACTTGTGATCTCTTACAATTAGCTACGAATAATTTTGTTTTCTCTTTACCCAGTTTTTATTCTTTGAAATTGGTTTCATTGGTACCACGGTATGGAAAATTAATTTGCTCCTTGGTCAATATTCCTCTGAAGAGCGTGAGCAGCTTAGTTTTTTGGCCTTCGAGTTCGCCTTTGAAAAATAAAAAAATCGAGGCTTAGGTTCATCCTCAGGGAAATCTTTAATGCTCAGATTATCGATTTGTCCTAAAAGGAAGATAAATTTTTCTTTATACTGGTACATGGCCTTTTTTATTACAAAGGTATTATCATTTTTTATAGAAATAGAAATAATCGAAATGGTATGCCGAAGAACACAATTAATGGAAAGAGTAAAATTAAGACGTAAATTTATATTAAAAAATTATAGAAAATTATAGAAATAGAAATTTATAAAAATAAATAAATTAATTAAATAATAAATTAAAAATCAGATGATAAAATTGATTTGATTATTGATTTTCCCAAATAATTACTTTTTTATTATTTAATTATTTTTTATTTTATATTTTATTATATTATTTTATATTTTGTTTTATGCCCTTTCTGTCGATTCTAATATACCAATAGCCACTGTGCAACGGAATGATGCTACGCGTTAATATTTTAGAAAAATCGTAATTCGGCTGCTTTATCAGGGCATAATAATGATATTGCTCACCACACGTATCAATAAAAAATCTCTTCTCCACCTCAAATTTGGATTATTAAAGCTCATTAATATTTTGATAAAAAAAAATACAAATTAAAATCAAACACTAAAAAGACAAAAACAAACAACAAATGAATAAGATAAAAAAAAACACCAAAAAACTATTAAATATACAAATATTGGGGCTCAACCGCTTGGACCTCTTGATCTCCAAATTAAGAAAGAGATATAATTTTCTTAAAAAAGGTGAACAACTTGCAAGTCTGTAAATTGGCCTTTATGGTTTATTAATATATATAAATGGAATCAGCAAAGAATTAATTAAGTTAATGAAAAGTTCCTTTTGGCGGATTTGTTTTGACCACTAATTTAAAATGATAAATTTAGAAAAAATATCGCATATCGTGACAGGTATTTATTATAATGAACTAGAAATAGATTGGTGACATTTAGGATCCGCAAATATTTTATGGTCAAAGCCTTAAATGAAAAAATGACCAAAAATGAAAAAAATCAAAAATTTAAAGAAATGAATGAAAATAAAAAAAGAAAGAAATAAAGAATAAAGAAATAAAGCAAATTATTTCGAGCCCAACCACTCAGGTCGTGAATTCATTAAGAAATACAAAACTTTGAAAATTTTATACCTCTTTTTTAAAGAAAGCCTTAGAGATTATATTGATGCTTAGATTTTTATCTGTTGCTTGTCGCGTTCCTGATTGTCCATCTGCACCCCAACTGCCCTAAAGCTTAAAAAATCTATTGTTGGTATTAGATAAATAAATTTAAGTATAATTTATTTTTCCGGCAATTAACTAACAAAAATTCTTATTAATCGTCTTTAAAATTGCTTTAATAGTAAGCTATAAAATTAATTTTATAATAATATTAATATATAATATTATAAAATTCATACAATATTCAAATTTTTGAGCATTCCAATTTGCAGTGCCAATTATAATTGGACACCTATTTTTATTTATCATCTTAAGCCTTAAAACTTATTTCAAATATATTTTTATTCTTTTACCAAATAACCAATGAAAAGATGAAATCGAACTCTGGACAGCAGTAGCTGGAAATGCTTTCTTCCGTCTTGTAAACCTTTGTGGAATCGCTACAAGATTACTATTATCACCATTTGAATTATTTAGTTTCAATGCACACAATCCTATAAACCCACAAACCCGGCTTCGAAATATAGCCAATAAGATTGGAAGATAGCAGGAAATCATATATCTTTGATTATTCTTATCAATGATACACTGCATTAACAATATATTACAATATATTGTCATAGACCGCCACGTACCACCCTTCTCCACCTAGGTTTCCATCATCTGCTAAGCTCTATGATGAATGGCATCAAAAGCGAGAAGGACCACTGAAATGCAAAAAGGATATACTTTGAGTGGACGATGCGATGATAGATATATGGAGTTGGAGAATGAAGAAAAGAATAGCTTTTAGATAAGTATCGAGAGGTTGGAAAGATCCTCCTAGGCAGTGGAGTTAACCTAATCGATGGTAATGCAAGGTACTAGAAAAAGGAAAATTCAGTTGGAGAATAGAGATGATGTTGAGTGAAAACAAGATAGTTGTGATGGTAATATGGAAATAAGAAAATATCGTAAATGCCAGCAAAAATATTAATCGAAATTTGCTAGTTTTATATGATCCAGTAACAGACAAAGTCCTATTTTGACCGTTCAACTTTTATTATAAAATGCGGTCAGCCACTATCATAATCCTTTAAATATCGCAAACTGGTTTTCATAATTTTCACTGCATTTTAAATATTCGTTATTGTTATCTATGAATAGCAAATATTAGTAAAATTCAATTCAAATTCTAAGCTTATAAAAAAATCTTTTCACCACTCAGTTGAAGATAATTGTAAATAAAATAAGAAATAAAGTTATTTTATGCCATCACTATTATTTACCTATCATTCACCTATTATTTATTAGGACTTATGAAGCAGAGTAGTTAATAACCAGATTAACTTGCTGGGAGTCAATGTCTGCCTTCTACCGTCCTTAAGAAAAAATCAGTCATTAAGAAATCTTAATATTGGAAATCCACTTCTATTATTAAGTGATTCGCTGCAAAAATATTTCTCATCTCATTAACAACGATCAGAGAGTTTAATCTGAAATATTTGTCACATTCACATTTAACGATTCGAATAAAAGGTGATGCAGATAAGTCTAAGAGTTAAGTGGTAAACTAATAAAGATCTTGAGCAATAAGTAACAAATCCTTTGATCAAAATGTCATTAATTGATATTGTTTGATGAATTAGACCAGGTTGAACCAAGTTGATTAAATTTCAAAACAAGGATTTACCGACTCTAACGGTTAACAATTATTTCAAACCAAAGAATTCTAGAATTTTTGAATTTTTAAAAAGTATTCCAGAATTTTGATTAGGAATATCTGAACAAAATTACTGAATAGATAAATGAAAAATCTAATCAATTGAAGACTTTTAGAACGGAGGATTGTAAAAGGGATTAATGATATTATATGAGAATTATATGAGAAAAGCAAAATGAAGGCTGAGCAAAATTTTTTTTCTTTTGTTAATAAAAATATTTTTTAAATCTTTTACATAAGAATTTTTGTTTTAAAAAAAAGTTTACAAAAATGTTAGATTTTATATGAATAATGATTTAGTGAAATAAAAGTGAAAGGGCAATTGAACCATGACGACGCAATTCTACGGCATTTTATTGTTAAAAGAATATCCATGTTCGTGCTGATCGCCATTTTCAGCAAAATTTTCTATGGTACTTCTATTTTTAGTTTATTTTATTGATTAAATATTTGCTTACTCTTCAGAAAATTTGAAAAAAATTTTATCCATTCTTTTATTAAATACCACTCCTTATTTTATCTTGTTTAGAAGATATAATATCATTCTTTCCGTAAAATATCCGTGCTTTTTGTTTAAAAATTTTGGTTATTGAACCATTCGAAATATCCTTTAGCGATTTTTTTTCTGGTCTCATCCAATGTAAAAGACTTTAAAAGAGTGCATTTAGCTTTGGCTTGCATGCCCGGATATGGTTATGAGAGAATGAAACTTAAAGAATATCTTGGCATCGAATGGATCAAGAATGGTTTAGATCGAAACGGTAATGAACGACTTAATTTATTAAATTTTATAATATTCTCGAATTTTTAAACCTCGAATTTTTTCTCTCTCAAAAATTTTTAAAGTAATCAAAAAACAAATGAAAGGTATCGCTGATCATTTTTGTTATTCTTTTTTATATACTTATATCTGAAATCATTATTTATACTTGAAAAAGTGAATTTCCAAGCGAAAAAAAGTGAAATTCGTTGTTCGAATTATAGCAATTTAAATAATCGGATTTACGATCAAGAAATTTTCCATTTAAGATAAGTCTTACGCGTTTCTTTATAGTTTCTTTTTATTAGCGTATTCCCTCGATAAACCAATACGTCATGCAAGTGATTTGGATTGCACGTTTGACCATCCTGAGAAATGTAGATGGAAAAATGTTGAAGCACAGGAAGCGCTGGATTCCTTAGATTTTCATTTATTCGAAAAAAGTGACTCAACAGAGTTCCCAGTATTGCAAGTACGCCCCGGGCCATCAAAACTTCGACGAGGTATTCACTATTTTTCGCTTTCAAGGATAAGTTTCGTTTTTTCATTGCGCCCATAAAAATTAATAGTGGTAGGGAATCGAAAATTATTACATTGGTTTTGTAATGGATTAAGTTGATTAAAAAATTCTTTTTGAGGCGATAAATTCATATTCACCGGTGATAGAAAGGAAGAAGAGCAATCCGCTATATGGAAGAGCGCAACAATAAAATGTCAAAATTCAACTGGTCACCTTAGTTTCACGTAAGTGAATTTCTGGTACAAATTAAATTTCTGCCTCTATCCGCCATTAATATTCAGATTCTGGCTATACAATGGTGCTAGAGTGGAAGTACTAATATTTGAACACAAAAATGGTCGTTTAAAAGTGCTACCAGAAAAACCATTTGTTGACTGCGGAGTTGTTACTTTAAATACAGATTGCGTAGCTGCAATTCCTCCTCATGATACCCCATTCAGGTGATAGCCATTTGCCAGTAATTATTCATTTTTTCTTTTCATTTTTATCTTCCATCTTCATTTAGCCAAGAACCGCACTAACATTTGAAAGCAAATCCATAATGTTATTATCGAGATATTCCTTCAGCTTTTAATTAGAAGGTTTTTCTTTCGATCAAGTTTTTTATCTTCTGCATTAAGCCTTGGAATTCGAGCATATGACATCAAAAATGCAGATGGCTCATTTGTGATGGTTGATAACATTTATTATCGCGCATCATTGTGCAAAACAGGAAGTAAGTTAACCAATCATAATAAATGAGATGATTATGAAAGTTAAATTGTCAAAATGCCGCAACGATCCAAAAAATTTTTCATTGATCTACGATTAGTAGAGTTTTTTGAAGAAATTATTCAACGTGTTTAGCACAGAAGAAGATAAAAATTTTATTCGCATCATTTGCCACACATAATTTTCAAGCAAAAAGAAAATTTGGCTTTTTTTGTAATAATAACGCAAAAAATTGTGATTAGTTTCACTTTTTTCTAGCATTTTTCAGTGACGGAAAATTTTACTATTTCAGTTGACTTTGGTAATGATTTTAAAGGAGAACCGCTTATGACACTGACTGAAGATTATGTGATTAATAGTGCGAATGAAATCGATTGCACGGATTTCAACAAAAATTGTAAATGGATGCCCATGGGTCGCGGTCCTGAGGTATTAGTGAGATTCAATGAATGGTTATAAAGCCATATGCAATAAATTCATTATAAATTACTGAAATGAGTATTAAAATTAATCAAAGTTTTAAGATAACGATTTTTAGGCTTTGATAACGATTCCTTTTTAGTTAAGACAATAAATTTAAACAAAAAAAAGTATTTGAAGGCTTGGAAAATTGCACGAAAACCACCGGATCGACATTCATTTTTTAATGCAACAGGGACATATATTATTCCACATCCTCCTTTTGCTTTTTTATATATCAAGCAAGATCAAACAGGTCCTTTTAGTGCTCTTCGATCAAGCGTTATCACTTGTCAAAATGATGAACCATCGAAATTATCGTTCAGGTTATTTTTCTAATTCTTTCAAAACCCTTATCGAGATAAAGTGATTTAATCTCATTTTTTAGATTTTGGACGACACGCGAAGTTCTTTTAGAAGTATGCGCTATAGATAAAATGCTAAAAGATCTGGAATGCTATCCATTACCAATGGCACAGTCACCAAATCTCGTTCAGGTTCAGCTCAAACCCCCATCACCATACATTGTAAAAGTTTTTTCATTGTTTATTTCAAGTTGACAACGTTATTACTAAAGAATAAATCAATACATCATTTCTAATTTATTTACCTTTAGATTACGATATGAAATCTAATATGATCTGATATAACTGCATATCATTTCTTTAAAATTTTGTAAGCTCTGAAACTAGGCATTGAAAAAATTGCAAAAATGAAATAGAATATATTTTGAAGCAAACGACGAAAAAAAATTTTTTAAAAGAAATAATTCAGATAATTATTCGAGTTAAAAAAATAAATCCTGATTTCGATAATTTCATCGCAATTGATGATATTTCGTTTAAAGCAGTGTTATGTTCAGAAACAACTGATGAGTGGGATTTAGATTCGAATTTTTTCATGGCACCAATGCTAAGCGTACTTCAACAAAGGCCTATTTTATCATCAAAAGCATGTTTCCCTTTTAAGTCAAATTTAACAAAATTTTTTATACTTTTTTCATAAATATTTGCCGGAATTGGGCCAATGATAAAAAAATTTCCAATCTCATTATCCCTATTGATTACAGTCTTTCAATGCTCCTCTGAAATTTATAGTACGCTATTAATAGTCAGTTATTAGTAATTCTTTAATTCCGTTATTCGCCTTTATTCTTTTTTTTCCTTCAAGTTCCACTATATTTACTTGGTGATGTATACCCCGTTTCTTTTTAGCGTCTTTTGCTTCCAAGTCCTGTTTAGTTTAGTTTAATATAAAGTGCCAAACAAGGATTCCATTAAATCGGTGCTGTTCTGTTTATTCCTTCTGCCAACTTAGCAGGTTTTACCTTTCTACTTACCACATGACTCTTTACCTTCATTTATTGGTCATATTTTTTTGCAAACACTAAGCATCATTCCTGGTTTATTTCAACTCACTATTCGGCCTTTTGTCAGTGAGTTACTTGTAAAAAGCTATGGATGATGGGTTGCTGCTTGGATTTCAATTTTAATACAGATCTGCTCATGCTCAAAAGGTGGAACTCGAATCCATTTGTCCGTCTTCGGCTGGTAGAACATATTAATCCCTCTCCCTCATGTTCTATTATTTATGTCCTCTTTTCTATTTTCATGCGCTTCGTTATGATGAATATTTTCATATTTTTGTTATAATAATATAACATAAATAATTTAGGAAGAATTTTCATCTGATTTCTTATAATTGAAGAAAATCATTGTAATGGTTTTATAATTTAAAAATCCAGGATTTGGATTGTTCATTTAATCGACGTGCTATTGACTGCATGTGGGCTAATTATGATAAACAAAATCCTCAATGGCTTGTTGCATCGATGCCAGTTAATAAACAAAAAATGTATTCATTGACAAGAACAATGCAATTCCCAGGTTTAATTTGGTCTTTAAAAGCCTAAATTTTTTATAGAATTTTTGAAAATTTTTTAGGATTTTCGAAATTTTAGAAGGAGAATTTGCCATTGTGCGCTTGAAACGTGCACAAACAGCTCACTTAATTTCTGAACTTATTCGTTGCGTTTCACATTCGGCTATACTTTCTTTCAGGTACCATCATAATTTTTACTTTCATTTAATCCTTTATTTTTTATTCTTTATAAACTAATCGCATGAATATGCGTAAAACATGGAATGAAATGATAATATGGAGCAGAATGGCTCAGTGAGGCTGAAGGTTCATTTAGAAGCCTCTCGGTAGGAGAATAGTTGTCTTTCAGACACCATGATAGTATTGGTGACCCATGTGTAATTTTATCGCGAAGTAATTAGCTAACAGAATTTATCTGGTTCGATAAGGCAACAGAACGAGCTGAGCCAGAAATGATGAGTGCTCTTAGAAAAAAAATGATAGCTATTATCATTACACAACTGTAACAACTGTAATAAACATTAAAACATAAACATTAAGATAATAGTAATATCAATAGTACTAATAACAAAACTATAATAATAAAAATCCTCCTGAATTTCATAAAAGCATTTTAAGCATTTCTAACTGAAGAGGTATGGAAATTATAGATCATATATTTATAGATTTTGGGAGACAGGTTCAGCAAGACTAAAGGTGTGCTTACTGGAAGAAAAAAAACCAGATCTGGTCGATTGTCAGCAAGTCACTCTGGAACAACCTGGACCAGTTATCGTTGATATACCAAGGCTTAAGCACCCATTTCGCATTGCTATAAGAGCTGAAACATCAGCGAAGAATCTGAGTGGTGCCGATGGCAAAGGAATGGCCATTATTGATGATCTACAAGTATCGGTCAGTGAGAAAAAAATATCATAAATTAGGTTCTATCAAATTTTTACTCATTGCAAAAATTTCGCCAATGTCTGGTAAAAATATCTGTCCAACAAGAAGATGATGAATGTTGAGAAAATAATGGTGGTTTTTCTCGCTGAGATGATTGTGGTAATAAATAAGCTTCCAGAGGATCAAATTCAAAAATAATTAAAAAATAAAATTAATGCTATAAAATTTGAGCCAAATACATAAATTAAAGCATTTTTAGGCATGAAAATTAACATCAACATCAAAGTTAAAAGCCTTCGCCATTTAAATAATTTTTTGAATCAATCTGTTAAATTTTCACCATCTTTCTCAACATTGATCTTTAATGAAATTCATTATGTTAGTTTGATATCTTGAAGCACTTGTATTAATCTAGCCACTTGTATTAATATTCACGCTCTTTTGAACCACCGGATACAATTGAATTACTTTCGTATTACTCATTACTCATTACTCGTCAATTACTCATCAATCCACCATTATTCTCCCAATATTCGTCATCTTACTACGATTGCTCAGATTGCTTCTATGGCAGCCATGGTTTAGCACTTGTGCTTACTTCTATTATTTATTTTTTATTATTTATTTTAATCAAATAATATTATTTTATTATTTGAAAATTCTTCTTATAACAGCTCTCATCATTACTGGTTAGGCTGGCTATAAAGGTAAGACGCTTTCAAACACCACGGTCTGATGCCATCGTCGACAGTAATAGAAGCCATTCCTTTTTCCATCGTCTAAGTCAACTGTCTACTGCTGTGGTGGACGATGGAGAATGTGCCCTAACTAGCGAAGGCGATGCACTGTGATAACATTATTAATACAAGTGGTGTTTGAATGAAGGTGGATGCGAACATGTGATATTTTATCCACTCGACGGATCCGTAAAATATACCTTAGACAAAAGTGATCAAAGGTAGATAGCTTCTTAATATCCTCCACTATCATTGGCCATGCCTCAGAACCATATAGCAAGAGCGAACGAATCACGGCTATATAGATGCGGACTTTTGTTTTAATGGTAATTTCACAATGGCTCCATAAAGATTTTGTCAATCGGAAGAACGCATTTCTAACTGCCGTGATCCGGGCTATAATATCTTCTTTTGCCTGGCCATTTGGTATTAGAGTGGACCCAAGTATTTAAAATCGGGCATTCCCTCGACCAGCAATAAATTTACAAAAAGAAGCATTTTATCAGCTTAAAGAAAATTTAAAGAAAGTAATAAAATAGACAATGGAATTTTAAAAAAATAAAAAGTGAAAAGGCAATTATATATTTTAATTTATTTTATTTTAATTTTAATCGTGTTTGGTAAAAAGATATTAAAAGTTTAAGAAGACTTAACTGAATTGTGATCAGAAATGAAAAATAAATTCACAAAAATAAATCAAGAATATTTTTTGAAACGACCGCTCATCAAAAAATTTTATGACAATAGCCAATATTATTATTTGAAAATACTTAAGCGCTAAAATTTGTGACCAATTTTTTATAGCTTTGCTTCTTTATACAGGGTGATATATGCTCATCAAGAGGAAACATTCATGGCGCTAAAACTGTATCCTTTCAATCCTTTCAACAACCTGATCCCAATGTTTGCCGCCTACTTTCTTGCCAATTTATAAATGGTCAAAATTTTTCTTAGTAATTGTATGCAACTTACTTTTAAGCTTTTAAATTAAATAATGGCAGGTGAAAAAATAGGAACGATAGATAAAAATTAGGTTAAAAAGAAATCAAGTATTTTGAATAAATTTTCATTTGACTATATTAATTTGCAGACAAAAATATTATTATTATTATATTTTAAGAGTCATTTTTAATACAGGGCAGACTTGTCTTTTCAATTTGGGCCAAACGACATCATCTAATCGTTTTCGAGTGGCTCATGATTTTGTTATTGCTAATTTGCATAGAAAAGGAAAAATAGTTATTCTTGAATCACCAAACTTCGCTCTGAATGCGCCTGCTCGATTGCATTTCTTTTATCAAAAGGTTTGCTGGCCGATTTCAATCAGTTTTGCTAGGTTCCAAACTTGTTAGTAATTTTAGAGATGAACAATCAAAATCTGAAATGTTTTGATTTACAATATGGTGATATCAGAGGAACAGTGATGTTTTCAAACATCATTGTCAAGGTTCAAGTCTATTTAACTTAAATATATATCTTAAACTTTGAATTTAAATAAATTTTATATGGTTTGATGGTTCTATTCATTCGTAGATAGAAAAGACAATTTCGTAAATAAAAGAAGAAAGAAGCAAAATTTGATAATCTTGTTTAAGTATAGTAAGAAGACAAAGACAAATTACATATTGATTTAGGTGGAATCTTCATCCTTATTTTTCTGCCATGACAGTTTAAATCGAGAATTGGATGGATGCTTTGAGGTTAATAGTCATAATAAGAATTCAACTTGGCATCATGACTTCGTGAAAATCTTACCAAGTGATGCAAAAATTTATTTTATCGGCAAACTTCGTGATGGATTTCGAAAGGGTCAAATATCAATTGCCAATATAACATTGACTAATCTGGATAACATCGTTTGTGCATAGAATTCTTTTTTATTTTTCCTCGTTTTCTTTTTTATTTATTATTTTTACAAATAGTTTTTTCGATTAGCAAAATTTGGTACTATTTTTTTTGCATTTAAATAATTTTCATATATCTAATAAGCAATTTGTTGGATATTTTTATTCAATAATTTTTCAACTGTAAATTAATTTAAGTACCATATTCACCAGTGTTCATTGCTGATATCAGTAGTTCAACTTATCTTCTATTTTCGGATATTTCGAATATCTTTATTCTTCCTTTCTTATTTATTGGTAGGTGAATGGTTAAGGTGAAATCTATTATTAAATTTATCCTATTAAAATATATTGAAGTAATAAATTATTTTACGTATTATTATTAAAACTTTTTCTGATTTCTCATTTCTTCTTCTTCTTCTAACAGCTCTTACCATTACTGATTAGGCTGGCTCCGCTAGTTACAAGGGTGACGCCTCCAAGCTGCTCGGTGCGATGCTAGTAGTGATAGAAGCCATTTCTTTTTCCATGGTCTAAGTCCATATATCGCTGTCTTCTTATACGTTCAAAATCTTTCCTAACTGTATCAATCCAGGTCTTGACTGGCCTTCCTCGTTTTTGACGCCAACCATCATAAGGTTCGGCAAATAGCGAAATATGCGTCAATTCCTGTGGTGGATGACATAGGACGTGTCCTAACCAGCGAAGGCGATAATATTCTGTGATAATGTTATTAATACAGGTGGTATTTGAGCAAAGATGGATACAATCATGTGCGATTTTATCCGCTTGACGGATTCGTATAATGTATCGTAGACATTAGTGGTCAAAGGCTAATAGCTTATCTTCATATAGCTTATCCTCACTTTCATTCGCCATATTTCGCAGCCATATAGCAAAATCGAGCGATTTCTCATTCATTTATTTAAGAAGTGAAGACGATTGCATCATATGCTAACAACAATAAATAAATAAAAAAGACCTAGTCAGTAATGGTGAGAGTTGGAAGAAGTAAAAATCTGATTTTTTGAAACTATTATATAAATGAAATAAAGCTACACTGTACTGTTTTAGAGCTTAGGAATTGTAAAAAAAAATCTAAAATCTCAATTAACTTAATTGATTTACCCAAGGGAATGAATAAGCCATATCCTAAATGAAACTATAAGCGAATGAAATGAATCTTATGCTTATTAATAAGAAATTATTAAGGAAATAGTAAGAAATACCTAACTCATTTCAAAAAATTTTTTGTACATTCCTTAGTACAACTTCTTTAAAATCTTAGAGAATGAAAATTCTTAATAGTAATCCTCTTAAAGCCAAGAGTCTTATTTTTAAGATTCCAAAGCCCAATCCCTACTGTGGATCAGTAATTAAGAATCAGAAGAACTAATTAATCAATTAGTTTGAAAGAAATTTTCAAAAGAAAATTAATTTTGATAACTTAATTTGAACTGCTTAATACTCAATGCTAAATATCCTGAAAAGCAAATTTCAAATTAATATTGTAAAGTATGCAAAGTAAATATACAGGTTAAATAAATTTTCAATATTTGTTTCATTCGAGTTTGGCTTTAAAAACCATTAAAATTCATCAAAAAATAATACAAGATGAAAAAAATTTGGAGCGAGAACAGCGCCGGTATTGCTGGCCAATTGCTGGCCGAGCATGTTCCCAAAGACGTATTGCGAATATTCATTTGAAAATTCTTGCTTGAATATACAAAAATGCATGCAAAAATAGCATGTAACAACTAGTTTGCCAAACAAAATATATGTAAAATATTCAAAGGCTTTGCACTAAAGTTCCACTTAATGTAAAATATATTAAGATTGTCATGATTAAGATTTGAATGAAACCCTTAAAACCCTTCAGGAAATACGTACGAAATTTTTCAATTTACTTCCATCTTCAAATCCGGGAAAAGCTCCAGCGATATGAGGGAGGATACTCCTGCTATGAGATGAGCTGCAAGCACTTATTGTCTTTCTGCCAAATCTAAATTTTACCTAATCAAATGCATGCATTTGTTGATTTACCGATCTGAACATTTAGAATCAACCTTCGACAAAAAAATTCAAACGATGACTTCCAAAATTATAAAATCAAATTATTAATGTATTTATTTTAACAAGTTTAGTCTAAAGAACAAAATTTTTAAGACTAGTTAACCGATCAAAAAGTCAAGTCCACCGCCGTAAGAAAGTTTAATGGGGGATAAAGTATAAAACAGGCATGGATTTGAACGTTGTACTCAAATATAAAATAGCACTATAGATTAAAAAATCAGCGAACCTGTAATGATAAGAATTTAGGAAGATTGTGGCAAAAATCAAATATTTTTGATCCTAGCATCCTATTATTAGAATCTTTGATATTATTAAGCTTTACAAAAATTTTCCGAATGGTGCTAAGAAGTCACTTGCGCTTCTATCTCAAATGACTCCCTGGTAGAATTTTCGCACCATTCTAATTGGAGCTATTGAAGTGAGTAAAAATGATTCAAAATGATTTCCTTACTTACCTCACCAATGTTAAAATTATTTATTATAATAAAACATATTTTAAAAAGTGCCTATTACTACTACCAAAGATAGGAAAAAGAAGCCAAATACAAAAGTAATGTTTTATTTTTTCGAATAATATCAAATATTCTTCCATTTGCAAATTCATCACATTTATTTGATTCAATTATTTTTATTGTTATTTTTATTATTTCTAATTTTTCCCTCGAAAATCTTGGTGCTTTTGAAATCCATTTCATAAGATCTTTTTCACACCGCTTTAAAACCATAAATTGAAAACTTTTTAGAGTTAGCTAAAAAATAAAATTTGCGTTTACCGGATTTATTGAAAAGATCCTTGAAAAAAGTAAATTTTCAAGAACTTTGGTAAATATTTAACTTTCTAATATAACAAAAGGATATTTATGCTATGAAATTAATGAATGTCATAGGTGCGAGATGCTGCGATACTTAAAGGAAAAAAGCTTATCAAGTGGTGAATAAATTAGTTAAATAACGAAATTTTGAATGAGAATAGAAGCACAAGTTTTAAAGTATAAATTGTAGTAGTGTGGCAATTATTCATTATTCATCGGCTCAACCAGTTATTTTCCTTCATTTCATTTCGTAGCGCTGAGTTTCTAATTCTGGCTAGAATAAAACATTCAAAAGTCCAAAAAGTGCTTATTGCTCATCTATTTCTGTCAAAGAGTGAGTCCTGACAAAATTTGCCCATACAAGCCAGCGAAGCGAAATGATAATATCCATTCCATTCATTTGGGAACGAATTTCTTAGATTGAACTGAGGTAGTTGTTGATGTACACTTACTTTTTTCAAAATGATGAGAATCATATATAAGGGAATACAATGAAAAATTCTTTGTGCCAGTTTATTACTTAATTTTGATAAACTCATAAAACTTTAAAGTTTTTCCTATAATTTGCTGTTTTTTTGCTTCTTTATTGGGTGTTTTTGGAAAAGTTTTCCACTTTTCCAGGAAATTTTTAAAAATTGATTCCACGTTGTCATCTAATAATCGTTCTTTATTTTAATTCGTTCCATCATTTTTTCATTTATATTTTAAATTAAATTTGTAAAATTACAAATTCATAAATTATTTGTAAAATTACAAATTACAAATTTACAAATTACAAATTTATAAAATTACAAATTTATAAATTATGTAAAAAAAGCGATAAAATCAGATTTTTTATAAATTGATTTTTTAGTTAAATTGTAAATTTTAAATCTGCAAATATTTTTTTTTAAATATCAAATTTTCGGCTTTTTATAAATTGAAAATCCGAATTTTTCTTTTATTTTACTTCATTTTGTTTTAATTAATCTCAATTTTAACAGTATGCACCACTTTTAAAGTACAATCATTATTATCATTGCATGAATACGTGCTTTTTTGCAATAAAAGCTAATGCCATAACAACCATGACCATTAGAGTCCAGATGAAAACCACTGAAAACATCAAAAAATAAATATATCTATTAAACAAACCTGAATGCAAATAAATTAAGAAAATGCTTGATTATTATTTATGCCATTTCAGAATCAAAAAAGAATAAGAGATTTTCGCCTAAAGTTTTTTTCGTAAAAGCGATATCATTTTAAGCTGAGATGGTTTTTATTTATTTCATAAAATTCAAATCATTTCATATTAATGACAAACATCATAGATTTCTGCCTTTTAATGGAAATGAAATTGTCATCAAAAATGAAATTTGAATGGCTTTTGAAGATATTTCATTTTCCGATTCACTTGCCAATTGTGCTAGTTAGTAGAGCCATTCAAAAATGGATTGTCAACTCGTCTGGATTAGTTTTGAAATAAAATTATCTACATGGTACATAGCTTTCAAATAGTAATAAAATAATAATAAAACTTAAAAGATTAACCTATAAATTTAAGAAAACTTTCAGCATTGCTGCATTGCTCACTGTTCAATCGAATCGACTCGCGCCAAGATGCCTAGATTGAAGAATCAGGAATGATCCATATGCTATTACTATTCATTTTCGTCGTTAGCTTACTTTCTTTAGTCTTCACATCTTTTTTTCGTATAAGATGAAAAATATATTGTAGGGACATATATTGCATATCACAGAGATGGATGATATAATAATGCAAAGATATATTAGCGTAAATGTAGAGTGACTGACGCTCGTGTTCTGCGTTTTTTATCTTGTATTATTTGGGGCTATAATATTTTTCTGCGAACCATGGATTTATTATATTATTGTTTCGCCATTGTATTTTATTTATTGCCCATCGTGCGCCGCATAAATGTTTATATTACGGTTTCGTTCTACAACGTTACTCCGGTATAACATATATATATATCAATTCGAATTTACCCCAACACAAATAAGTTAAAGATTCAAAACAAGACTCAGTGAAAACAAATAAATAGCCGGATAGATTTTTCTAGATTTTCCGTCAAATCTCATGAAATTTGCAATATATCTAAATTTGAAAAACCCAAATTTTTTTGACTCTTCATGGATAAATCAAATTTTTTTGAAGAAATTTTATTTTTTTCATTTTTTATCCATTTTTTATTGTTATGAGTTTTAATAAAGTTAATAATAATAAATTATAATAGAATTAATTAACAACAAAATTAATTAATTAATTATTATAAATTAATAATAAATAAATAAAATAAATAAGTAATAATTATAAATAACATTTTTAAGAAACCAAAAGAAGAAATAAAATAAATTTCACTGGAAATTTCTGAAAAAAAAACTTTTAAAACTGTTAAAAAACTGAAGAATGTTAAAATTTCAAATTGCAAAATTACACTTTGATGACATCAGGAGAGAAGATTTTAATGTGACTTATACAAGTCGAACGCCAAAAATGATTTTTTTTTGATATTTTTTAAAAATTTATTATTATAGTTCTAGTGCAACAATAAATATCCCACATATTTTTATCTTTATTTTCACAGTTTTTGAGCCATTTTTTATCACAAATCAAGAATATCAAGCAGCATTTAGTTTGGTTGACGAGATTGTTATAACTGATGTGTCAGCGGGTTAGTGGCAAAATGATTGCCACTGAAAATAGTATCAGAAATAATCTTCCGATAAAAGAAAGGTAAATATCCAAAATTATTGAAGAAATGTAAGGATTGATTAATCATTAAAAAGTCTTGAAATTTGCAAAATATTTTTTTTAAATTTGAAAAACCCAAACTGGAGGAGAAAAAATGATGCTAATGATCATAATCAATTGTCCAGCATCGATAAAATCGCTAAAGATTAATTATTATACAACTTAGATTAATTGTCCAGTTCCAAAATCTAAAAATTTTGCTAAACCTATTTTTAACTTATAAAATCGCCCTCAAAATCCTATAAATATATAAAATTAATTAAAATTAAGTTAATGAAGCTTTTCTTCAAATTATTTTCGTTATTTTTTTTGGTTCCTTCCTAAATTACCAGTTATTCAAAATTATTGTATCATTTTCTATACCACTTGCGATTACTCTTCCAATTAAATTATTAAATTAGGAATTCTTTTTTTCCTACAAATAGAGAATGGCTCAGATTTGAATCTGAGCAATGCATTACACTTCATTGGACACTGTCGCCAAACTCAAGATGAAAGGTCAATTTGTATATATAACAATATATATTTTAGAGAGTGGGATAAATTGGTAATTTATCAGGCATAGGGCAAGGGTTCGAGTTCCACGTGGCACTTTGTGGAATCTCTACACTGAAATAAAAGAGCTTAACAAATGCATATCTCAAGAATTAATTGAGCACTGGATGTGTGGACATATTTGGAAATGTTCACTGCTAACAAGAAATGATCCATTTCTTAGAAGGCTTTTAATTTCTGCCAAAAATTGGATTCTGAATGACAACAGGTAAAGATGGACAAGGATTTATGCCAAATTTTTCACCTTTTTTGAAGAAGGTAATTTTGAAGATTGAAGATTTTGAAGAAGCCACTATTTGGTCTGCTGTTAATCCATTACAGTTTCTTAAAACCTGGTGCAGTAATCACAGCTAAGAATTGGAAATAGTCCACTGAGAATGGTAATTAGAATTAACCAAAACTGTAATAAAGGATTACTATACTCAGGTAGACCGTAATAATCACTTTGTAAAAATTTGTCGGATTAAATATCGAAACATTTCCTTATTGACCAAATTCCTGAGGCCTTTGGCCAGCAAGCTTTTATATTTTTTCGTATTTTCGCAAAAATAGAAAAATCGCATTTTCACGCTGGTAAAAAATATAAAATATAAAAATAAAAATATATTTGATGGTATTTTGTTTAATCTTAATCTTAGTTTTCAAAAAAATCCAAGTTTTCTAAAACAAATGACACAAAATTGCTGCCTTCCGACGTAATTGATGGTAGATAAGTGTGCAAATTTTATTAGTACATCGTTAAGCACAATCTCAAAATCAATCTCAACTATTTTTCGAATTTTATGAGATCTAATATAGTTAGAAATTTAATATTAATAGTAGAAATTTAATATTAATATTAATTTAATATTAATATTTAAATTTAATTTTAATATTATTGCTCTAATTTTAGGTTAATTTTTTCGTAATTTTGACGCAAAAATCCAAAAAAAACAACTAATCAGTTTTAGAAAAAAATCAAATTAATCAAATTAATTGATTTATCATAAATCATTTAATGAATGAAAAATTTTATAAAATTATCAATTATCAATTTAGAACGATTTTTGGTGGAATTCTTGTTTTGACACATTCGCCGCTTTCGATAATTTTCGGTTTTTGTAATCCTGGAACGAAATTTTAGCTAACTTGATCTGTTTGATAACAACAATTAGATTAATCATATATTGATCCTTGTCATTGCTGAAAAAAATTAATGCTTTGAAACTTATGATAACTAATTTTAATTTTAAATTAACCAGAAGAATCATGATAATTGTTATGATAATTATTTGACGAAATTAATCCATGAACTGGCGGTGGCGGAACAAAAGAATATTCAGGAACAATGAATGATAAAGCAGGAAATATACGAACGGCAGCATTACGAAGAGGCAGTATGTGCCAAATGATAAGGAGTGGATGAATGAACGAAACTGTTAGCGGGAGAACAAAAAATGATAACTCGAATGCAATAAACAGACACTGAAATTAAATTAATAAATATGGAACTGAAATAAGAAAACTCATGAATTACCTTAACTTTGCACAATAATTTAAAAATTTTCAGAAATTTAAAATTTAATTGGAATTTTTTTTTCGCAAGCTTTTCATTTATCGATGAATTAGTTTTCCAAATTTGATATTTCGATTTTTTCGTTTTTTTAGATATTTTTCCAGAAAAATTATAAAAACTTTAGTTATGAAATAAAATTTAAAACCTGCTCACAGACACAATTTGCGGCAAATTGGTAGATCACAAATATTCCACTGAATAAGAAAGAAATTTGCCATATTAGAGTTTCAATGGATATAACATCCTTAACTTAGTTGAGACATTTAATTAATTACATAAATTTTTAATTTATTTCCTTTGTTTCATTTAAATTTTCTGAACCGATTACTGGTTTTTGATGAGGTGAGGTTTTTTCGCCAAAGAGACTCACTCGAAGATAGAAAAGAGAAGGACTGCAGCATCAATTAAAAATCAATTTTATTGAATGAATTTTCTAGCATGAAAATTTCGTGAATTGTTTGCTTTTATCATATCTCATTCATTCTAAAGGAAAAAAAAGCATGGAGGGAGGATTTTTTAAGTATGAAAATGGTAATAGTCTTCAGCATTTTTTTTGCTTCTTTATAAACATTTTCTTTCTTTATAAAATGCAAACCTTCAATGACAAAGTAAAAAGTAAATTCAGAGAAGTTTTCTCAATTTGAATTCGGCATGAGAATGAAATTATCAAAACTGCACCACTGTGTAATATAATTAATATTGTTAACAATAAAAATCCCAATTGTCTTTCATGAATCGCCATCAGTATAGAACACTAATAATTTTCGCAATATGTCAACATGGCTTACAATTACATGGAAATTTTTTAATTTTTCTTCTTGGACACGTAAATTTAATTTTAAAAAATAAATGAATATCTTTATTAGATCTTCTTCCTCTAACAGCACCCACTTCTGATGATTTGGTTGGATTTGGTTGGTTTTACTTAATACTAGTGCAAGACACTTTCGTCCAAGATACAGAAGTGCAAATGGGATCGAGTTTTATTATTAATTACACGTTTACTCCTACCGGAAGACAAGAAGAACCAATGATGCTTAATCGAAGCGAAATACCACATTTATCCCAAATTTCTTTACCATGGGAAAAACAACTGAAAAGCTAGCTAATTATGGAATCAGTGAGAAATAAAAGGAATTCTACCAAAAATATAAAGAATTCAAGACAGAAAATTAGAAATATGGATCATCATATTTTTTTAAAAAAAGTCACCACACCTGTTGAAGAATACTTGAATGATCGGCGTCAAAAGCAGTAAAAATCAAAGTCGCTGCAATACATAAAGCTGCGATAACCGAATACCATATTGAACATGAACTTGCCCATGATAATAATCGACGGTCTTCCCTTTAAATTTATTATATGATATATAAAATAAATCACATTATAATTTTCTTTCAGCAAAAAATCGCAAAAATTCTTCCTCTTCCTTGTAGAGGATTGCTGTACAATGCAGTCCAGTCATATGAACATATTTTCAATATGGATTATAATCCTAACTTCATTGGCCATAATGTCAATAATGATAATATGAAAACAAGTACAGCTCCATGTAAATAGCAATATATGATGGGAAATCCTTGCAATTTACAATTAATCGTTGTTGTAATCACTACGCAAGGATCGTATAATGAGAATAGTAGAAAAATATTTCTAGAAAATTGCAATCCTGCTAATAATGCGTAATTCATAGTCATCCATGCCTGTAAAATGATTATGGTCTACTATACGTGATTTTTCATTAAAAGTCAGGATAATAAATTTGCGACGTTTGTTATTAAATCTTATATTATTAATAAATCTTACATAATAAATATTAAATCTTCCTTGCACAACCTTAATTACTAGGCCAATTTGAAGATCAAGATCAATTAAATTACTCATTGTGCATTTTTGCACGTTACGTTCGTTCCTATAATAGCCAAGTATTACAGGAGAAATTTAAATTTTTTTATAATAATTATTGCAAGTTTAGCATTTTTTACGGATCCATCGAGCAGATAAAATCACGCATGATTGATCCATCTTCGCTCAAATACCACCTATATTAGTAATATTATACCTACATTAGTAATATTTTCACAAAATATTATCGCCTTCACTGGTTAGAGTACATCCTCTGTCGTTCACTACAGGAATTGACGCATATTTCGCTATTTGCCGAACCTTATGATGGTTGGCGTCAAAAGCGAGGAGGGTCAAGACCTGGATTGATACAGTCAGGAAAGATTTTGAACGCATAAGAAGACAGCGATATATGGACTTAGACGATGGAAAAAGGAATGGCTTCTATTACTATTAGCGTCAGATCGAGCAGTTTGGGGACGTCTTACCCTTGTAGTCAGCGCAGTCAGCCTAACCAATAATGGTGAGAGCTGTTTGAAGAAGAAGAATTATCCCAAATTTAAAATAATAATAATTCATTGGTAACAAAAATGACGATTCAAAATAGAAAAAACTAGAAAACCAAGGCAATCTCTGCTTAAAAGATTTAATTTGGTAAGAAAAACTTAGTTTTCATAATTTTTACTTTTAGGCCCTTAATGCTTATTATTTTAGCTGGTAAATTTTGAATTTTTATTCAATGCATAACGGAGAATATCGCGAAATACCATAAAACACCGTTGAAGAATCGGTAGAGGAACTGAATTATGTGTGAATATTGTCGCACAAATATTTAATATTAACGAAATTACAGCAGTAATTATTTCAATAAGATGAATTGTCCTGAAACTCTCTGTCATTATTTTAAATTATCCTTGTCACGAAACGGCGAAAGCAAAAGGCTCTTAGGATCGTAAAAATTGAAAATGGGTTCGAATCAGCCGTTTGGATCTGTCAATAAATTAACTACCGATCAATAAATGGTCAGTGAAGAAGAGATGAAGTTTTCATGAATTTAGAGTGGTGAATTTAGAATCTAGTTAGTGGTATACCAAAATAGTGAAATAGTGAATCAGCGAAAACGATTGAAATATATAAGAAAATGACCCCCATAAAGAAAGCAAAAAGTGCCAATGGAGGACGAAAATTGCAAAAAGAATCCAGTGATGTTGACGAATAGCCCACTGAAGGATATATATAATCCCAGAGCCTAAAGGAGTGGAAGCGGACCAACGCCAAAGTAGCCTTTTGTTTTCGCCGTTCCACGACAGTTCTACAAGAAATTGAAAAGTTTTTACGCTAAAAAATTTTCTAAAGGTAAGCCTTGTTTAAAATTAAAATTATTTTAAAATTAAATTTCTGCAGCATATTCTATGGTGATAAATGATTTTTATCTTCTAAAAATAAATATTTTAGTTTTAATTTTTCAACACTTTTTAGTAATCCTAAAATAAATTATCTTTATATTAAATAATTCATTAAATGTGTGGAATGACCCTATCGATTTTTCAAAAAATTTAAAATTAATGTAATTAATTATACTTGAAAGTCTTACCATTCATATGGTTGCATGAATGTCGCAGAACATGGCTTATGCGAGATATTCCTTATAAACGGTGAGAATTCTCCAGAGAGTGATTTTGATAGAAGAAGCATGGATTTTTTAAATGAATCACCTATTTTAAACAGATTTATCAACCTAAAATTAGGTATAAAAAAAATAATAATTTATTACATTGGTATTTTTAAGATTATTTTTTTCTTATTTCCGTGATTTTCAGGCCATTATCCCCCATCAATCCATTTCAAAAATATATACATATCATTATTTGAAACGTTTTATCATATTCTTAATTAAGATGAATTTCTTTATTGAATTTTTTTTTGTTGGCAGTATCCCTGCAATACTTATTAAGTCTATTCTCGAATTATTTTTTTCTTTACTCCTTATTTCCGTGATTTACTTTTTTTTAGAGCAAAGTATGTCAGCAGCTCGCCGTTAAAGAATTATAAAAATTCAATAAGTTAAAGAAATAACAACAGATAAGCTTTGCAGATACGATATTAAAGAGCCGCCTCTTAAGCTATTTTGATTACCTCTAAGAAAGCGATCAAGACTTGAACTAATACAGTCAAAAAAGATTTTATTCTGTTTGTCAGCGATTACCTCGTGCAGCTTGGAAATATCTTACCCTTGTAGTCAGTGGAGCTAGCCTAACCAGTAATGACGAAAGTTGTTAGAAGAAGAAGCAAACGATAAGTATTCGTCTTGGAGTTCATGTCCACATTAACTTCGGGTATTTCCTGGAATTTCTTGGATTTAAATGCTTGGATATGACTTCTTCAATCTATTCAATAGTAAGACTTGTCTTATGAGGCAAGCTTGTCTTATGAGGCAAGTCTTTGACAGCTAAGGTTTATATCTATGTCGGATGTATCACTTTCACCAATATTTGTTCAGGAAAGAAACAGGAACCGAAAGATTATAAATAGTTTAAATATAATTTGGAATTATTGAATTGAATGTTAAACCTATTTTTATAGATGAATTTTATATATAAATCGAATTATTAGAAATCAAAAAAGAAACAAAAAAAATTCGACATAATTTGCTTAAAAAAAGTGGTATGGAACTAAGAAATAAAAAGAAATGATTTGCAAGAAATTTTTTGATTAAAGAAAAAAGATTTCGCATCAAAAGGATTGAGAAGCACTATAAAATTTAAACCAAATTCTTGAAGAAAATCTATTAAATTAGGCGGAGTAAATCTCTTAAAATATCCTTTTTCCATAAAAATTCGGCTTTCATTTTCATTGTTATACATATGTCATTCTTTATTTTCTATCGATTCATTTTCGTAAAATCCATGAATTTTCGAAGTTTCTCTTAGCAAAACATATATCTCTCGAATAAATGAAGCATTATAAAATTCCCATTAGAGAATGGCTTATTTCAATATTTTTTAGAATAATTCTTAGATCGAAAAAATATAGTATCACCTAACTAAACGAATATTAGCAAAATTCACAATATTTCAGCAGTCATGCAGTCCGTTAAAGTATAAAGACACAAAAACTCTTACGAGATTTTTGCCATGACTCTATTTCCAGCACGAGAAAACCTATCATCAAAAAGCGTGGATGATGTTACAGATCTGTTTCTACTTCTATGAAACTTTAAAACCAGCACATCACCAGTATAACAAGCAGTAATTATAATAAAATCTATAAATGAATGAAAATAATTATGATAGCGAATATCCGAATATCTTCCTCATTCGCGCATTATTCGGAAAAAAATTTCGTGAATGCATTTTTAAATTTGGATAAAAAATAAAACTTAGAAAATAATTTCGTTAGTCCATTGCTTAGATAGATTCTTGAATAATAAATATATTAAACTAAACGAGTGTGCCTTATTGCATTCGGTATACTTCACAGTCGATAAAATGCAAATTTACTAACATTTGATATAATTTATTGTATAATGATAAGTTATCACTTTTTCTAAATATAATGACAAATTAAGCAACTATCGAATGAAAGACAGTGTGATGAACATTAAATATTAAATAACCAAATTATTTGCCAAATTTTATTTTTTAGCCCAACTTAAGAATATTTTGAATATTGAAAATTTTTTCAAAAAGTGCTCGAAAGAGGAAGGTATTCGGATAATATTTATTAAAATATTCCTTTATGCACCTTTCTTATGGAAAAGGTTTTTCTGGTTAATTTTTGATGCCCAAATCAAAATTAGCCAGTTTGGTTTTAAAACCTAATAAGTTTTTGAAAAGCTCAAATCTGTAAATATCCTTTCGCTTATTTTTGCTTTTTTTAAAGAAAAGAATATAAAATGATCGTAGAAGATGCTAGCAGCTCGATTTTATTATTAAATAAAAATTTGTTACGTAATTTTATTGATTTAAAATTTAAAATTTTCAATCATTGTCCACATTCATATAATAATTGGTCAATGATTGTTGAACCATTTTTCACCTTTTTTTATATTGTTTTTCTTTTTAATATTTCACATTCATTAGCGATTTCTCAAATTTCCTGTTTTCATTTATTTGCACAGATTAAATAATGAAATTTAGTTCGGCACCAAGTATGCTACCGAGTGGTTTCAAAATGAATGGCTTTATATCCGAACTCTGATGATTCAAAATTTAAAAAAAGAGTTTCTATTAAATTACAAAAATTCTTTTTGTTATTGAATGTCTGAAAAAGCTACAACAGTTCAGTAATATGTTGAAGGGTTAAAATATTTTTTTTTGATTGTACATATTTATACAATCCTTTTCTACTTCTCCTTCTCGATTCGATTAAAATAAACCTCGAAAATGAAATATTTCTGATAGGTGGTACTGGAGACTTAACCTTCTTTAAAGGCAAAAAGATCTTTCTTATAGCAATGGTACCACACAAATTAGAAATGGTAAGCATTTACGGAAGAAGGAGGAGAAAGAAGGATTTTTTAATTCACTTTCATTTCTATCTTAGATTTCTTTTTTCATTTTTAATTTTTTAGCTATAATTATGTCGATTTTCACTGCCTTCTATAAAAACCAATAAACTAAACCAATAATCGTAGGGCTTTTTTTTGAAATTTAAAAGAATTTTACATTAATTTGCCTATTTCATATTAAATATGTATGGTAGATAAATATGTCTATTAACATTTATTAAATGAATTTGTGAAAAAATGAATAAATAAAAATGAATAAAAATATTAAATAAAAGGTGATGAAAGCTGAAAATTTGTGAACACTAAGTTATTATAAGGTAAAAAATTCTTAGAATTCGTACATTTCTCGAATTAGATAAAATTCAAGAAATCTTACAGATCAAAAAACCAAATTTTACCTTTATTTATATTTATTAATTTTCAAAGTTAAGTTTTTTGAATTTTTTTTTGGGATTATTTAGCTATTAAAATATTTTTATCACGAACTTCTCTTTTAAGTTCTTAGTGATAATTATTGCTGTCATTAATA